AAGACTGATTTATAAAATGATGAATGACTTCAAAGAGGTTAAAAACAAACAGCTGAATAAAGACAATGCAGGATATTGAGTAATTCAACAAAGAGACTAAGATTCTCAAGAAAAATGAAACAGAAATCTTGGAAATAAAATGCATAATAAATCAAATTTTAAAATTCAGTAGAAAGCCTCAACAATACAAAGGACCACATAAAGAGAATTTCAGGGCTTGAAGACATGGCTGAGAAGTAAGTATATATAAACACTTAAAAATTGGGTATGAATAAAATAGTATGAACTCTGGGACAGTTAAAAAACTAAACTTACACATTTTTGGTGAAGAGGTTGATATACAGAGTAATGGCACAGAAAAACTATTTCATGAAGTAATAACGAAAAAATTCCCAAATCTTGGGAAATATATAGACATCAAGATAAAGAGGCATTTAGAACTCCAAACAGGTATGACCAGAAGAGAACTTCATTATGTCAAAATATAGTTAAAATGAAAGGGTACAGAATAAGAAATGAATATGGAAAGTTGCAACAGAAAAATTTCAAGTCATATGTAGAGGCAAATCTATCAGAATAGCTTCAGATATCTTTGCAGAAACCCTAGAGGCTAGGAAAGCATGGAATGATTTATTTCAGGCCCTGAAAAATAAAGTACCTACCTAGTGTACCATATCCAGCAAAAGTATCTTTCAAAACTCAAGAAGAAAAGAAGATCCTCTAAAATGATCATAAACTGAGTCAAGCATTATGTCACATACCTGTGATCCTAGCACTCTGGAGGGCAAGGCAGGAGGAACATCTCAAGTTTAAGACCAGCCTAAAGTACATAGTGAGTCTAAGGAACCCCTCTATATTGCTGATGGGAATGTAAACCAGTACAGCTACTATGGAAACCAGTATAGGGGTTCCTCAAAACATGAAAAATAGAGCTACCATTTGATCCAGCTATACCACTCTTTGGTATATACTTAGAGGAATTAAAGTTAGCATGTTATAGGAATACCTGTAATAAATAAACAGGGATATTGCATACCTGTTTATTGTAGCACGATTCACAGTAGCCAAGATTTGGAACCAACCTAGGTGCTCCATGAAATGGACCAAACATATATATAATAGAGAGTTATTCCACCATAAAGATCAAAATCACGTCTAAGCAGGATAATGGTTTGATCTGAAAACATAATGGTTTGATCTGAAAACCATCGTGCTGAACAAAATAAGTCAGACTCAGACAAATGTTGCATGTTCTGCTTAATATGTGGAACCAAAAAGAGATAAGAAAATAGAAGGGAAACTATTACTAGACAAGAAGAAGGGAATAAGGGGGAGCTGGAGGGAGTAAAAGAGTAGGGAATAGGGCTGGGGATTTAGCTCAGCAGTGTAAGCACCTGCCTGGCAAGTGCAAGATCGCAAGTTCGATCCCCCGTACCAAAAAACACAATAGATTATTCCATGCGTAGGGAATAGGAAGATGAATGTTATTTTAAAATATGTTAAATACACTGAGTTGAACCCTGCCCCCAAATGTGAAACAGGGCAGTACCAGGGAGGGGAAAGAGGGAGATGATCAAAGTGTGCTATGAGCATGTACAAATCAAGCCCACTAATCTCCATAACCAAGAGAAAGGGTTTTAAAATATAAAAGTTTGAAAATTAAGAAGTAAAACTGTATTCACAGAGGACATGAGCCTTGTATATAGAAAATTCTAAGGAATTGAGTTTAAAAAAACTGTTAGAACAAACAACTTCAGCAAAGTCACAGGATACAAGAGCAATACACAAAACCAATTATTTCTATATACAAATAACAATGTAAAAATGAAACAAAGAAAATTCCATTGTCAGTATTATCAAAAAGAATAAAATACTTAGGAATTTAACCCAAAAAGGACAGTTTTATATGAAAAACTGCAAAACTTTGTTGGAAGAAATTAAGGATTTAAATGAATGGAAAGACATCTCATGTTCACAGATTGGAAGATATACAGTAACACTTCCAAAATTGATCAACTGATTCTACACAATCCTATTTAAGTCCCAAGTAAGCTCGGCATGGCGGAGCATACCTGTGATCCCAGCACTCAGGAAACTGAGGCAGAAGGATTGCCCTGAATTCAAGGCCACCCTGAGCTACATAATGAGTTCAAAGCAAGCCTAAACTACATAGGGAGACTGCCTCAAAAAAAAAAAAAAAAGGTAACAATATGATTAATAAGATAACTAAATATGATTTAAGTGCCTCTGTTACTCTTAACTCTTCCTTTTCTAGGATAGAGCCAAATAGAATATAGTATACCCAAAATACCATAATTTTTAAAATTTTAATTAGTATATACATGTGATACATAATTATATTCATTTACATTCCTTCAGGGAACTGGTACAGACATACTTTATCTTGATCATTTCTACTCTCCTTTCTTCTCCACCCTGCCCCCTTTCCCCAACACAATTTAAAAATACTACAAGCAGTGTGTGATTAGCCATCTGTTTCAATTTTAGGCTTTTGCTTGCTAGGGATGGAACCAGGGCCTCTGGCATTCACGGCAGGTCAGTGCTCCCCGACCAGGCCACGTCTGCAAGGCTGCACAAGAGCCCAATCCCCTGTACTGCAGAAAAACCTGAGGAATTAGAAGTGTAATTTTAAAAGGTTTTTGGCAATTACTTTGTGTCTTTTTAGTAAAAGCATAACTGAGCAAAGAGGTGAACAGCCTGAGCACTGAGGTAGAGATGGAGAGAGAAAAGCAGTTGAGGTCACAAAGTCAGAGGACAGTGCCATTTTCCCATTCTTATATTATTGCTAAAACTTTTCGTTTACATTTTGCAGCGAATTATTGGGTCGATTTTTGGTTAATTTAGGCTTTTAGATGCCTCTGCATACCAAGAATGCCTTCTGTTGTTTGGTTTGTTTGGTATTTTTCCTCGTCTTTCTGACAGGGTCTCATTGTGCAGTTCAGGCTGGCCTTGGGCTCACTTTGTAGCCTAGGCTTCTCTCTGTCCTACAGCAATCTTCCTGCCTCAGCCTCAAGTGCTGGGATTACAGCAGTGCGCCACTGTGCCTAGCTCCTTCTGTTGCTTTTATGGTTTCTGGTCCCTCTTCCCTAATGTGCCTCAGAAGGGCTTTCTCCCCGCTGGATCAAACCCAGGGCCCATACATTCTGCCAAGCATTCTACCAGTGATCTACATCTCTCACCTTTAAATAATTATATTCAAACTAAAAACTTCCCTAATAAGGTAACATTGTGACTTACCTTGGGTTTCTTGTTTGTTTTAGACAAGTTCTCACTACATAGTTCAGGCTGTCTTTGGACCTGTTATAAAGTTGTCGGCCTCAAATTTGTGATTCTTCTGCTTCAGCTTCCTGAGTGCTAGGATGACAGGCATGTGCTACCGTGGTGGGCTTTTATTTTTCCTTTGTGAGCTCTTCTTGTTATGCAATTATATAAAAGGCATGGTTCAAAACTATAGCAAGAAACATTTACATCTTAATTTTATTACCTCAACCCAGTTCATCCCTTTCCTCTGTAAACATATTCACTGGTTTTTTGTTTTACCTTTTGTCTTTTGAAAACTCAAGGAAACAACACATACTGGTATCTCCTAGATCCCTTACATAAAATGCAGCATACTGGCTATGCAGGATTGTAAGAGACACAGCAAGAAGCAGAACCACGCCTTCTTGCGAAGCAGCCTCTGCCACGTGACTCAGTAAGACACAGGAAGAGTAACCACGCCACAAGTCAGCCAGTGTGTGGGCTGGGAAGCCAGAAGAGCAGCCCCACATTCCCACGCTAAGCAACTGGCTGACTTAAAGTCTTGTTCGGTTGACCTTGCAGACCTGAGGCTGGTAGTCTGGGCATCTACTCAGAGGACGGCAGTGTACACTGTGGCACCTGTGGGGTATTTCCTCCTGTCTTGTTTTTGAAATCCAATGCTTTGTTCTGTTTTACTGTTTTGTTTTATTCCTGTTTAGTGCCTGAGCAACTACTTTAAAGCCAGCAATGTGCAGTGTCACAACCATTGTTAAATTCCTGTCATCTTGTTCTAAAAACCTCTATATAGCTGCCATTTTAATTTGTTTACATTTTTGTTGTTTTGCTTTTTAGGTTTTTTTTTCTTTAAAATATAAAATGGCATACCACATCCTCTGTTCACTCCTTGCTTTTCTCTGTATCACATCACGAAGATTACTCCATAGGAGCATAGATGTCTTCCTTGATTCTTTGTATTGGTGTGTGACTTATTTTTCAGCTATAGCAAGGCCATGCTGTCATCCTTCAACCTAAGCCACATTCCTGTGACCTGAGCACTAGAGCAGCAGCCATTACATCAACCCTAAAGGCAGCAATGTGGATGCAGGGATGAGTAAGAAAAGGGATAAAGAAGGCATGCGCGGCGGTGCACGCCTGTAATCCAAGCTACTCAGGAGGCTAAGGCCAAGTTCAAGGTCACTCTAGGCAACTTTAAAAAGTCCTATATCATGTATTGTAAGAAGCCAGGCTGGTAGGCTGGAGATAGAGCTAAGCAGTTTACTCCAAGTTCAATCCCCAAAAGGGGGAGAGGCTGCAGAGTGTAGACACAACAGCTGTTTGAGACAGAGTCTAACTATGTAGCCCAGGCTGGCGTTGAACTTGCAGTACTCCTGACTCAGCCTCCTGAGTGCTGAGGCTACAACTGTACACCAACCATACCCAGGAGTCAGCTGTTCTTTTAAGCTTCTTAGATACTCTCCAGGATGCTTCCATTCATATCCCACAGCATTCGCTTGTGTCTTAAATACTTACCTTTCCCCTTCTTTCACTAGAATGTAAGTTCCACACGACAGGGCCCTTGGGTCTGCTTTGCTACAGCAGTCCTGTCCCCAACACATCAAACAAGTGACCAGCTCTGTCATTTCTAATACAGATGAACACCATCTCAGAAGTTAATCTTTGTTTTTAGAATGACAATCTATTAGCATTAGTTTCTTTCAAGAAGATCATAAAAAATACCATTTCTTTTTTTTTTTTTTTTTTGGTTTTTTTTTTTAATTTTATTTAAGGAGAAAAGAAAAAAAAAGCAGGGAAAGGGTACAAGTTATACAGATTTACAGAAAAAAAAATGAACAGTAGGAAATCACTAGTTAATGGATTACATATTGTCATCTTAGAAATAATTGTTCAAGTCACAAAATTAAAGCTTGTAAAGTGGACATTCCATCAATGATACTAAAAACAGTTCTGTTCATTGATCCAATAAAACTCTGTGATATCATTTTCTATCTTATACACTTAAATATACATGCAGTTATATAGTTTGGAGCACTTTCTTTTCCTCTCTTTTGTACCATGACTATTACACATTTTGGGTTTCATTGCTCCCACGGTTCTTATTACTTTTTTGGAAGAGAGTAAAACCAAATGTGACATAACAGAACAGAATTGGTCAAGTCATAAGGGTGGACATAATAGATAATGTAAAAACATAATACAAGATGATCAACAATGGTTACCATAATGCCTCCCGCTATATAGAATTGCCTATATGGTTAGTTATAATACAATTGAACAAAACAGTAAAGAATAAAACCGACAAAACCAAAACATTGGAGACATTGTAGGTCTTCAAAAGTAGATAAAAGTCAACAAGAATGGGCGTCATAATGAATCTCATTATCTTCACAGTTGATGCCTAAACTTTCGAACCTGATACTATCCAGCAAAACAGAATAGGGGAACATCAGTTAAAAACCAGATGGTGAGAGTAATACAGGGCTTCAAATCGAGATAATAGAAAGTCAAAGTGGGTTACTATAATATATCCTGCTATTTTTTTCCTTTAATTAAAAGGATAAAGATAAAAAAGTAAATAATGGAGTGGAGATTGAGATAAAAGAGGGCATAACAACGAAACAGCGCAGATCCAAACATAACCATTTAAGCAGAATAGTGTTTCACCACCAGATAATCCTAACCTAAAAGTAGTTACCATATTGTTTCTTTCTTTGACATCCTTGAGTACAACTTCGTATACTGTAGCATTAAGTATATCAAAACAATGTAAAACCATTCAAGAGAATGACAGCATTACAGAGTATTTAGAATCGACTAACAGAAAATGAACAATGGTTTCTGTATAATCTCCTTGTCTTTAAAAGGTTTTTGCTTATACTATTGTACATAATAAAATCCAATAAGATACAACCTGTTTAGACCATTGGAGACAGAAGAACAAAAGCTAGATGAGACTTCAAAACAAGATGGTACTAAATCAGTATTACCTATTAAGATGTCATTTTCTCCAAAATAGCTGTTCCTATCATCCAATCTTCTCTGCCTCATTTCTGTTGAGCTCTTTTTCTGTCAGTAGCTGTCAGTTTGTCTTCTTCATTTTGTTCTCTGCTCCATTCGTTGTGGCCTCCCCGCCACTATTTCTGGGTTCTTTGTATTTTTCTTTTTTTAGAATATCCTGCAATACTTTCTGTAGGGTTGAATTAGTGGTTGCAAATTCCCCCAGTTCCTCTTTATCCTGGAAGCACCTCGTTTTTCCATCAATTTCCAGGGACAGTTGTGCAGGATATCTCAATCTTGGCTGGAGATTATTATCTTTCAAAGCTTGAATTATTTCCCCCCATGCTCTTCGTGATTTGATGGTTTGTGCAGAGAAGTCTGCTGTAATTCTGATGGGTGTTCCCTTGTAAGTGGTCTGTTTCTTGTCTCTGACAGCTTTTAATATTCTGTTCTTGTATTGAATTTCTGGAATTTTTATTATTATATGCCTGGGTGTTGCTCTGTTTGGGTTGTAGGTAGCTGGGGTCCTGTATGCCTCATACATCTGAGTTTCTTTACCTTTTGCTAAATTAGGAAAATTCTCCTGGATTATTTCTGTGAGTAGCTTTTGTAGTTCACTTGTTTGTGTCCCTACTTCTTCTTTTATGTTCTTAATCCTTAAGTTATGGCTCCTCTTATCATCTTCTTGTCTTTGTATTACTGCTATTTGTTTCTTTGTTATTTTTAAGAAGTTTTTCATTTCATTCTCCCATATTACAAGTCTGCCCTCCAGTTCAGATAGTCTGTCCTTAGTTTCTTTCAAGCTGTTATGCCAGTCTTCGATAGACTTCTTAGTATCTTGGTAGTCCCTTTGAACCTGCTTCACGTATTCTATGCTTTCTGTTTTCTCCATCAAACAATTCTCCCCTTTTTTTCTGTTCTTCCATTCCACCACCTGTTTTTTCCTGGGTGGTACTTAGCATTTCTCTAACTATTCTGCATACTTCTAGCTTCAGGTCGTTGATAACTTCATTCCTGAATTGGTCTATGAGGCTCTCTATATGGTGCCTTATGTGTATTGGTGCGGTGTCTGCTATTGCCTGTTTCTTAGAATTGGGGGCCGAGGAGCCTTTCTTGTTGCTGCCTCTTCCCATGCTGCCTCTTCTTCTCTGTTCCTTATATATGCAAGCTTATATAGGAGGCCCAGCTTCTCTCCCAGTCAGCCACAGCCTGATCGAATTGCACCAGTTAGGTGTTCCCGCTCACCGCTGCGCACCAGGGAGTTACGGACCAGGCAGCCTACGCGTCTCCCCTCCGGGCCACCGTCAGGCTCTGGGATCTGGGTTGGGACAGTCTACCAGGTCTGCCGGCAGCGTCACGCAAGCCAGGCACTTTTCACCAATCCCGCTCGAGAGGGGGATGTGTGGCTGGAGTCGCCACCGCGCCCTGCTCCTGCAGGACTGCTCGGGCCCAGAAAGTCCTCTGCTGGAGTCAAACTGTGGTAGAGTGTCAGTTTCTCTCACTCACCTCACCACAAGTCAGTGCACGCCTCCCTGCCGTTCGCAGATTGCCGTTCTCAGAGCTTCTGCGCGTCTCTCTTCTTGCCAGGCCACTGTAGAGGCAGCCAGCCGCCGCGCGGCGGGAAACCCAAATCGCGGCTTACAATGGCGCGGAATCCAGCCTCCACACCAAGGCTTTTCTGTTCCTGTTTTAGCACCAGGACTGCATACCAAGTTGGTTTCTCTCAGCCCAGTTCGTTCCTGAGTCAGCAGAGCATATCTCCACCTGCTTATGTCTCCTTAGTCCGCACCATTCCTGGCTTCTGAGCCGAGTCTTTCAGAGAGCCTCCGGTAGTTGCTGTTATCTGTCCGCCATGTTCTCCTATATACTTAGAATGTAAAAAGGAAACATTTAGATAGAAGATCATGAGCAAGTCTCTTAGGTTGCTTGATCAGTTTTCATCTGTAAAATGAAATTGTTCATTAAAAGTCACAATCGGGGCTGGGGGTTTAGCTCAGCGGCATAAGCTTCTGCCTTGCAAGCAGGCGGTCGTGAGTTCGATCCCCGGTACCGATAAAAACGAAAAAGACAAAAAAAAATAAAAATAAAAATAAAAGTCACAATCTACAGGTATTTGTCAGGCACTGTGTTAAACCAAAAGCACAAAAGTTAACCCTTCTCACAGGGAGCTTACACACACCTTCCAGCACAACATGCATAATCCTAAATAATTGCTGAGCTAGAGAAAAAGTCTCTTTTTCAACACTGAGTCACTAATTAAAAGACATCAAGACACTGAGACACACTACTTCACTTTAAAAGTATTTAATTCAGCATTGTAGTAAGAATAGAACATAATAACAGCAGCACATTAATAGCTAAGAAGATGTCTATCAATTATTTTTCCCAGGTACTAGGGAATGAACCCAGGACATTCTCACTGAACTACATCCTCAACTCCTTTTAAAATCTTGTTTTTGTTTCTTTAGACAGATTCTCACTATGTAATTCAGGCTGGCCTTGAACTCACTGTGTAGCCTACTCTTGGCCTTGAATGTGGGATGATCCTCCAGCCTCAGCCTCCTGAGTGCTGAGATAACAGGCATTTGCCACCATGCTGGGCTTATCTTTTGAGCCAAGGTCTCGCTGAATTAATGTACTGGGTCAAACTTGTGATATTCTTGGGGCTGGGGATTTAGCTCAGTGGCATAAGCACCTGCCTTGCAAGCAGGCGGTCGTGAGTTCGATCCCTGGTACCGATAAAAATGAAAAAGACAAAAAAAAAACTTGTGAACATCAGCCTCTAGAGTGCTGGCACTGTAGTTATGCATCATCACACACAACTCTACTCATCACTGTCTTTCTTTTTAGGGGACTTTGATAGCCCGTTCCCTACAGCAAAATAAGCTAGGAAAGTGTCTTTAGAAGACAAAAAAAATCATCTGTCAATGCAAGTCTAACGCACTTAAAAGTGATTAAAGATTCTAAAAATCTCAATCATGAGTATTCAATTATTAAATATATCTCATTTGAAACCTAAAAATTTACTTTTTATTTAAGACAGGATCTCACTATGTGGTGTAGGCTTGTCTTGAACTCACTAACATAGCCCAGACTGACCTCAAACTCACACTGACCCTCCTGCCTCAGCCTCCCAAGTGCTGGGATTACAGACGTGTACACCACACCTGGCTAAATCCTAAAAATTTAATACAGTGAACATTTATTCTTTAAGAAGATGACCAATAAATTAACATTTCCTAGAGAGTGGCACCCCAGATCCTCATGACCGGTCCTTGAGTACATGACTGTGGCTCACTCCACTACCACATTTGTTGTTCTTCTAGATCCTTCCTGGCTTCCATCCAAGCACCTTCAAGGGCTCCATAAAGAGACAGATGCAGAGACAGACATTCGTTTCTCTTGTGCTCCCTCTTGAGACAGCAACTAGGCAAATATCCAATGAAAACAAGGTGCATAATCCACGACATGTAGTCCACACAGCCTCATTCAACCTGAAACACTGCCAGTTCTGTCAAATATGCCAACACGCCAATAAGGTATTTGTGACACAGAATCTGTAGAAGTAAAAAAAACAGAAGAAATTTAAAATTAGAATAGCACAACAAACCAGCTTGGTATTTAGATGACTATTACACTGGTATAATTTCTGGATAGTACACTAAGCTCACACATGCAATGCACTATCACTTTTTTTTTTTTGGTACCAGGGATCGAACTCGCAATCTCACGCTTCCAGGCTTATGCCACTGGGCTAAATCCTCTGCCCTGCACTTTCATTTTTATATTTCCCATTCTATTTCTTTTCACTGTTGATTTTTCTAATTGATTTCTTCTAATCAAAATTATATCCCAGTCTACTACTGCATGCTAACTCCAGTCTGGTAAAGGGTGCTCCTGCAACATAAGAGCATGTAGAGTGCTCAAACCTTGACTCCTCTGCTTACTATCTTACACTGTACCTTAAATTTGGCCTGTTTCCTTGTTTTTGTAAAGATCAACACATTCCCGCTGGCTTGAACCACTGGTGGTACATGCATGACTAACGCATTGGGCAGCTTGTAGCATCGAATGGGACTGTCCTATGCCACCCGATGGACAGTCATGCATGTAGCATTGGTGGTTCAGAGCTACCCAACAGCAAACTCTACAAATTATGGCACTGACATGAATGTGTTAAGGTATTTCAGGCACAGAAGGACACACCTACAGCATGGTCTGACTCATTTGTGGAAACTATGAAAGTTCATCTCATAAAAGAAGACAACAGAATGGTGGCTACTAGAGGTGAGGATAGGCCAACAGAGGACAGAGGGATATTGGATGATGGGTACCAACGGAGGGTCAGATAGCAGGAATCAGGTCTAGTGTCCTACACTACAGCAGAATAACCATAGTCTGTAGCAATTTATTACAAGAGTCTAAAGGTTCCAACAAGTAGCAAGGATGGTTGAAGAGATAGAAACATTAATTGTTATGATCTTTAGACATTACATATATCAAATTATTATACTGTGCCCCATAAATATGTATATGTCAATGTTTAAAATTAAAAAAGAATTAAGTTTATCAAACTAATGTAGTGATAAGATCATAGGAAACACTTACTGAATATATATTATGGCTATGTTTTTAAATATATTTTAGAAACCAAGTGTATTTCTACTATTACTTGTGAAAAGTACTTCACAGAAAATAAAATAGTATCTCCTATCATTTCTCTCCCACTGAAGATAAGCCTAAACTATAAAGATTAACACCTTATTCTATGTTTCTAGATATATACTTTTCTTATCTAATCTAAAATTCTCTGGTTACTTTCAAGTTTTATTTTATTTTTATTTTATTTTGTTTTTGAGACAGAGTCTCATTATTGTAATTCACGCTGAACTCACTATGTAGCTCAAACTAGCCTTGAACTCATGGTGATCTTCCTGCTTTATCCTCCTGGGAGTTGGAATTATAGTACCAACACACCCAGCTCAAAATTTATTAAGAAACAATTTTTAAGAGTTTGAAACTTACTACAGAATAATTCATATTATTACCCAAGTCATTAGGGCACAAGATATATACCTTTCTACTACAAAGCTGCATCTAGAAAACTAAAGCCTTAAAGCATACAGTTAAGGTTTCTCCATTGTCTTGAATTGGTATACATTCAAATGTGTTTCCAGTGTGAAGAATATAACCACTACACATTTTGAAAACCTGGCATTAATTAGGAGCAGTTATTTAATTTGTTTCGTTCAAACTAACCTTTATTTTTCCATCAGTATGTGCAGAAGCTACAGATGTTGAAACACGTACCAGTCTTGTGGCTGATAAATGAATTTTGAAATGCCTATGGAAATGTGAACAAAGGCATTCCATAAATAAGTCAACTTCCTCCTGGGTAATCTCCCCAGGTGTCTTGTGGACACTGTCCCACAAAGCTTTTGCATCCTCTGGATGTATTGCATAAGAAATATCCAGACTCTGAGGGCTACAGGGTACAGACCAAAAAAACTCAGTAGTAGCCACATAATGGTCCATTTTACATGCAGTCCACATAGCAGCCAACCAGGAAAGATTAAATGCATTGATGGTTAACGGACTGAAATAGCAGTCAAAGGTCTTCTGAAACCAAGTTCCAATTATGGCTGTGTTAGACTCTGCTCCATTTGCAAGGAATAAGGGTAGACAGGTGAAATCTTCTGAAACTGTCTCCAGGAGACTGTCTCCAAATATACTGCAGAACCAACCGGTCCATAACACTTTACCTTCTCTGTTCTGAGGTGGCAATTGAGATTTTGACAGAATCTATGAAGAAAAGCAAAACAGATTCATTGGGTTCAAAAGTACATTTACTCCTAAATAATCTTCTCAAAAACAACAACAACAACAACAACAAAACACAGAGATTATCTCCCCAGTTATTAGGATTTATCAAAACAGCTGACATTTCCCCCAGCATTTGTATACAGTAGAGATACGGTATATGGCAAGAACTCTGTATAACTAAAATGCTAAACAAAAGATGCCTATATGGCATAATCAAGTACAATGTCTTGCTTGAAATAAAAAAAAAAAAAACACTAGAAGTGACTATAAAAAGTCACCAAGGCTGGGGATATAATGCAGCGGCACAGTATGTGCTTGTGAGTTCAATTCCCAATACCAAAAGAAAAAAAAAAGGTCACCAAATCAACACACTTCCATTGATGAAGACAACATTTCCTATAAGAACTCTATCAACGGGGGCTGGGATTTAGCTCGATCCCCAGTACCGATAAAAATGAAAAAGCCAAAAAAAAAAAAAAAACCAAGAACTCTATCAACATGGGGCTGGGGATTTAGCTCAGTGGCATAAGCACCTGCCTTGCAAGTAGGCAGTCGTGAGTTCGATCCCCGGTACCGATAAAAAGGAAAAAGACCAAAAAAACCCAAAGAACTCTATCAACGTAAAAAAAAAAAAAAAGAACTCTATCAACGTAAAATGTTCTTTAATGTTAGGTCCTATAGTCTTCATCAGGCATCCTGCTTTTTCCCTTAAGGGCCTGTAAAACAAATCAAATGTATTCTTTCTTTTATAGGAAAAACCCTGCAAATATTTGATAGTCCTTATCAACCACAGTGCGAAGTTCAACATCTCCGGTTTTTTTAACCATTCTTCTAAGACATCCATTCACATTTTCTCGCTCTCCCAGTCACTCTTTTCGGAGCGCCTTATGCGCAGGAATCATTTGAAAGTGAACATAACTATTCCCCCAAAGTCTGATTACAAGGCTATCACTACCTCTGTCCTAGATTACACTCCTATTAATGTAATCTTAGAATTCAACTGATTTTTAATTGACAGCTTTATATAAATTAGCCCTACATCCTCATTTTTGCTGTTAATAAGTAAATCTCCCTCAACTTAAATTGAAGCAGTAAATTTATTACTACTAAATTTTAAGTTCTTTTAATTTGGCCCACTGTGCCAATCCATTCAGATCATTTAGGAATCTTGGTATTTCTAGCCAGTAACCCTTCCAACTTTACATGCATAAACTACATGAGATACACTCCTTCAAGATATTCCTAAAAGTTTTTGTTGTTAAAGTATTGACCTGGCTAAGGTTAAGATCATGGCCCTGTCTCATATCCCTTTAGAGATGATCATTTAAAGTCTACTTTACCTTATTTAGGAGATTATGAGAGATTGACGAATACCCTGCAGCCCAGGAAATACTGTCACATAATTTTATGACCTAAGTGTCTATCACCCTGTCAAAATGAAATTTCATTTGAAAACTATTAGAACACTGTACCAGTAATTCAAAGGATCATTTCTTTTTTGTGTTTTCAATACTGGGAGTAAACCTGTGGCCTCCTGTATGCCAGTTTTTATTTGAAGACAAATCTCATTAAATTGTCCAAGCTGGCACTGAACTTTCAGTTCTCCCCCTCAGCCTTCTGAGTAGCTGGGATTACAGGCATGCACCACCACACTCAGCCTTAAGAGATCATTTCTAACCCTAATATTCGCTTGGCTGGTGACATGCGTGTCATAAAACTTCTCTGACATGAGCTGCTTCACTTCACAAAGACTGCAATCTACTCACTGTTTTTCCTTCCGCAATAAGAGTTCCTTTATTTACAACTGGCAAAGTAACCCCTAAAAAAAGAAACTTTTCAGCCAGGTATGGTAGCACACACCTGTAATCTCAGCATTCAGGAGACTAAGGCAAGAGGATCACTGTTGAGTCCCAGGCCAGTCTGGGCTACATGGCAAGTTCAAGCCTGCACTAGATTGTGAGACACTCTCAAAAATATCTATCCACTTACTACCTACATACATAGGTGTTTCTAGCCTTCCTTCAAACTAGAATGTAAACAAGTTGCTGAATCTCAGCAATATCTACTTTGTGTCCTTCCTACCTGAAACTTAAATATAATGTTTGTATCTCCCCAAACCATCATATACCATAGATGATTTTTAGGCTGGAAGTTATACACTAAGGATTTCAGAGAAAACATAAGGGGCCCAGATTATTGATTCCATTAGCATCATACCAGCCTTGGACAGGTCAAGATAAATCTCTAACATTTAGGCTTTCTGCTCTAGTCAAAGGAACTAATCCTAGAACACCCTGAAATCTTTGCCAATACTGTAATACACCCTTGAAGTTGTTAAATTTTTCTGTAAAGGGCCAGAGAATAAATATTTTAAGCTTTGCAGCTCATATGGTCTCTGTTGCTGCTATTTAATTCTGCTGTTATAGCTCAAAAGCAGCCCAAGATAAAACAAAATCAAACAAAATAAGTTATGTTCCAATAAAACCTTACTCACTAAAACAAGGAGGGGGTCAGATTTGGCCTACAGACCATAGTTTGCTGAGCCCTGATTTTTTTTCTTTTTTTTTTTTTTGTCTTTTGAGACAGGGTCTCACTATGTAGTTCAGACTGGCCTTGAACTCACTTAGTAGCCAAAGTACAACACCATGCCTGACTGAGCCCAAATTTATACAAAGAAATATACATCTAGTCTTTCAAACTGCTTAAGAATTTAATTTATTAACAATTAAATTAGTTAATTTAGGCACAGTGACACATGCTTGTAATCCCAGCTACTTGGGAAACCAAGGCATGAAACTACAGTTCAAGACCAGCCTGGGAAGCTTAGCAAAACTGTTTCACATCCCAATATCACACACAAAAAAAAGAAAGAAAGAAAAAAAAAGGGATTAGTTAACTCAAAAGAAATTCATTTTTTTTATTATTAAAAAATAAAATTGCCAGGGATTTAGCTCAGCAACATAAGTGCCTTCTTCGCAAGTGTGAGGTCATGAGTTCAATCCCTGGTATCAAAAACAAAAAAAACCTGGAATTAAATAAATAAATAAATCTGGTCAGGTTTGGTGGCATATGCCTGTGATCCCAGCACTTGGGAGGCTGAGGCAAGAGGATCACTGCAAGTTCGAGGCCAGCCTGGACTACAATAGTGAGACTCTGTCTCAAAAAACCAAAATCAATCAATCAATCAATCTGATTGCTTAAAAGATACTTATTCCTTTTATATACTACCTATAGGATGGAAAATAAAATACTACATTTCTGAGTCTAATATGGCATCATGTAATATTGTGTGTGAAATGTTACTTTTTTAATTAAAAGTGCCTCTAGATAGTAAACTCAAGAGCATAAAATTACAGACGTATCTATAATATTAATAAAAATATCATAATGAAAAGTTGGGGCACTATAATCCCCATTTCAAGACTACACAGATTTTGATAACCAAATAGATGCATACCAAAAGAGTAACCTGTAATTTTTACCTTCCTTTGCCTTTTATGTATTTGTTAGGTTTCCTAAAATAAACATGATTTCACACATACACACACACACACATACACATGTTTCTATAGATTTAGAACTAAATGTTTTAAGTTGATCACATCTAATTATTATAACTTGGTCAAACAAGACATGAAATAGGCTGAAACCACTAACTTAGGAATTTAAAAAACAGTAAGAAAATACCACAACAATTTCCAAAGCAAGAAAACGCAGATCCTTTTCCCTGGGGAGCAAGTACAGCTTATCCCCACTACCTGGACGAGAAATGCTTCTGGATCCCTTTGTGTTCCTTTCATTCCTAGGAGAGTAGAGAAAATCACTTTGATGCTGAAGTCTTCTCCCACTTCCACAGCAAGTCCTTTCTGCTTTTCAGCGGCAATAAACGCACTCAGAAGTCTTGAATACTCTTTGAGATTAGCATAGGAGAATTTATATAGAGGAGTTAAGCTATACAAAGTCCACTGTTTATGCAGAAGGAATGCAACCTTCTGAGGATCAACATTTTCCTAAACAACAAAATCAAGACAAAAAGGTTTAAGAATCAAGAAACAAAATAAAGGATAAAATAAAGGAAAAAACAAAAAGCAAAATAGAAACCAAAACAAAGTTTAAAAGACCAAAAAAGAAAACATTAGTAAAAACTTACATAGCATTTAAACATCTAATATAAATCTGTTGGTACCTGATCTTTACACTACAAAGATCGTCTCAAAATGGAGTTCACAAGACCTTTTGCAGACCCCTGAGCAAGGCCCTGCAGGTGCCGAGCTGTCTCCGCTGGAGGGCATCTCCCCCAGCGCGCACACAGAACAGGAATATCCCTTTCCCTCACTCAGCTCCGCCTCGGCGTCCCCGAGAGGCCCCCCAAGCTGAAGCGAGGCAGTGCTGGCACCGCTCCAAACCTGTTGTTCTCTCTCCTGCCCTCACTTTACTTTTCTTCACAGTACTTAGGACAATGCCATTTATAGTAAGGTGTTTTTTTGGTCTTTTTCTTTTTTATCGGTATCGGGGATCGAACTCACGACTGCCTGCTTGCGAGGCAGGTGCTTATACCGCTGAGCTAAATCCCCAACCCCTTATAGTAAGTTTTTAATAAATAGTTGATGAACATGTATGTTCTACTTTAAGAAACTATATATTCTGAAAATAGTAACTTCCTGAAGTACCTAGTTTGATTAGGTTTATGTAATTTTTTTAAAATTTGGTAGCACCAGGCATGATAGTACACACCCCAGCTACTTGGGACACAAGTTCAAAACCAGGCTGGCAGCTGGGAATGGTGACAAAAGGCTGTAATCCTAGCACTTGGGAGGCTGAGGCAGGAGGATCACTGTGAATCCAAAGCCAGCCTGAGTTACAAAGTTGGAGGCCACCCTGAACTGCATAGCAAGACCCTGTCTCAAAAAGACAAAAAACAAAACAGGCTGGCCAACTTAGCAAGATGTTACCTCAAAATAAAAAAAAACAGCTGGATACGTTGCCCTATACTGCCACACAAAATATAATACGATACAGGCTGGGCGTGGTGGCTCATGCCTGTAATTCCAGCACTTGGGAGGCTGAGGCAAGAGGATCGTTGTGAGTTCAAGACAAGCCTGGGCTACAAAGTGAGCTTAAGGCCAGCCTGAACTGCATAGCGAGACCCTGTCTCAAAAAGACAAAAAAAAAAAAAAAAAAAAAAAAAAAACTATACAGTATAATACAATATTGCCAACAAATCCACAATGCCTAATTCAATAAATTAAATAAAAAGATATACTTGGGAGTATTTTTTGCTGTGCTCAGTTAGTACCATCAAAAATAAAAACACTTTTATTTGTATTGGCTTCCTTGGATTGCTTTATATGTGCACCCAGTAAGCTTCTGGCTTCCTGAATTTCTAGTCTCCATGTTTTCCAACAGTCTCATAGCTTCCTGTCTTTTGGACTCTCACTACAGTTACCTACTTCAGAAAAATGTTGTAGCTGGAGCCTTCACTGAAACAGTTACACATATTTTTCTTATAAGTATCAAAATATATGGCAAAATTATTATAAGGCTGAGGAAACACTGAATTGAACATTCCAATCTTTATATAAAATTTGTTTTCTAGGCCAGGCACAGTGGCACATATCTGTAACGCCAGCACTTAGGAGGCTGAGACAGGAGGAGTGCCACAAGTTCGATGACAGTCAGGGTTACATATTGAGTTCAAGACCAGCCTGAATGAATGAACTACATGGTGAGATCCTGTCTCAAAAATACAAAAAATAAATAAATAAAAAATAAAAAACAAAAAACCTTTTGTCTTCTTGCATTATCAGCATTAGTAATTTAAGAAACTGTCACAAAGAAGCAATTTGTTTCCTATGCCAAGAGTATTATGCATACAAGGGAAAACAACTACAATGAAGTTATTGGAGGATACAACACCTATGCAGTCTTCTAACGAAGAATACATAATTTGTATTTAATCGTGATGAAATATCAGAGAAATACAAAATAGAACATCCAGGTATCTTCCCCACAGAGTTTAAGACAGCATACTACAACACATGCACACCAATGTATATAGCAGCACAATTCATAATGGCTAAATCCTGGAAGCAGCCTGTATACCCATCAACAGACTACTGGATAACTATATGTAACAGACTATTGACTGTAAAGAAGGACAAATTTGAGACAGTTGGAAAATGAATGCACCTGGAAAATATAATGTTGAGTGAAATAAATTGATGCACAGGCTTAAATATTCTATCTCTTCTTCGAGTAAGAGAAACCACAAACAGAGATAAACAGAAGATGGACAGAAGGAGACAGGGTGGGTCTCTTGGAAATGGGAAGGGATCCAAGAAACCAAGTGAGAGGGGTAGGGGCAGCCGGGGGGGAAACTAGTAGAAATTATTATATATTATTACTAGTAGAATAAAGATAAGTCATGTAGCAGAACCTAATAACCTTAATGAATGTAAACATCAAATGCCATATACACAAGCTAAGATTAATAATGTCAATAAGAATGAAAATGGGGGAGGGGAATTAGAGGAGGAAGAGGGGAGGGATGGGGACAGGAAGTAAAAGATGCAAGTTGTATTACGTGTATGTCCCCACTCCCCAGATGACTGTAAAACCCATCTACTGCTACCATGTGCTAGTAAAAAAAAAAAATGTTTTTAAACAATAAATAAGCGAAAGGAGGAAAATGTAGTCTTCAAAACTATCAATGTCATAAAAGACAAAGAAATAATGTGGACTGCCTGGAGAGTGCAAGGTCGTGAGTTCGATCCCTGGTACCAAAAAAAAAAAAGAATGTGGAAATGGTCCAGGTTAAAGAAACTTAAAAGTTATTAAAACACACAGTGCTGATGGTATGAAATTATCTAACTTTTTATCAATATGTTAGCTGAGTGGTTAAAAATCCATCAATAGTAATAGAAACTAAAGTGCTTTGTTCAGATGGTCTCATTGTTGGTTAAACTGAAGAAACACAAACCATACCTGCAGCCCTGAACCCTGCGGAATTTTCCTTCGAGGTGGGGTGGGGAGAACTGAGACCTGCTTCCTGATGGATTCCAATCGTTTCTGCAGCGGGGTGGTACCTATGAAGTAATCTGTAAGACTTGAGGTTGTACTTTGTCTAGGAGTCGATTCTGGTGCATCAGAAGTATCCATAGTCTACATTAAAAAAAAAAAATTAAAACAAGGGAAATCTATTTTGGTTTTTAATTTTTTTTTTTCTTTTTCTAAAACAAAACAGAATTCTAAGCACTGAAAACTTAACTCATGCTAACAATTTTATAGATTCCTCTCCTCACTATAGGGGAATTCTTTCCTTCTTTCCTCTTGTTGCTTTTTCCACCAAATTCTGTATTTCTCATTGGCCACAGCCCAGTTTTATGTACCTCAGAGTGTGTTTAAAATTAAATTCAGGAGCCAGGGATATAGCTCAGTGGCACAACACCTGCCTGGCAAGCAAGCATAAGGTCCTGAGTTCAGTTCCTGGTACCAAAAATTTAAATTTAAATTACATTAAATTTAGATCCAGGCTGCAGTGTCCTGGGAGCGCTTCTTTGCTGCTGTGGTACTGAGGGTCCAATCTCAAGACAAAAAAATCCATTCAGGGTATTTGACAGGTCATCAGGAACAGTTTCCTGAATGTGTCACAAAGCTGGCATGATGTCCACCACAACCAGGGGAACATGTTCCCCAGCTTCTGAGACCTGTCCTTTCTCAATGCAAAGGATCACACGGCAAGCCAAAGCTTGTGAATGGCCTCTGCACTCTGACCCTTGGCATGTGGACCCTGCTCTTGCGAGTGATGCGCTGCCCCACATTATTGACATCTATAACACAACTGCACATGACGCTCTGGACCGTCCTTGCCCTGGGACACTTCCTCTTTGAGATGCCTGCACTGGGAACTGCGGCTCCCCTGCCTGGTAACCTAGCACCTCTGCTGGTGGCACATTTCTCCATCCTCTGTTTGCTAGTTGTATTCTGTTAACTAGAGGTAGAACCAGAATCCACATGGAAGAGTTGACGCCAGCATTAGCACCTCCAAGATCATCATCTTCCACCTCTGCTATCGTCTTCCTTCTCTTTTCTGTTAGACTCCATCGTTAGTCCTGATGAGACGCCCAGTGTGCACCTGGTGGGCCTAGGATGAAGACCTTCTTTTTTTCCTTTCATCTCTTAGGAAGTTGAAGATTATGAGCAGGAGTAGCACCTCTTAGTCATGGCTGTACCAAGAAGGATTCAGAGGAGCTTCCAGGGGAGCTGGGACTTCTGAGTGGCCTGGCACTGCAAAGAAGCTGCAGCTGCAGCCCCTCTGCACATTAAGCTGGCTAACGCCCGCTGCTGTATCCCTGGATGTGCGCAACCTCTCCTGAGTTTTACCCCTGCTCCGGTCTTTCTTACTGCACTCCTTCATGGCTCCTTTATCTGTGAAGTAATCCTTGGACTTATCAGAGCCATCTTGGTGTGTGCTAGAAAGATTCAAAGATTATTTTGACTCCTAGCAAACTTTTCTCTTTGTTTAAAGAAGCCATGATGGTGTCACTTATCTGAACTGTCACTTCTACTAATTCTGAGAAAAGATCCCTATTTGATTGCAATTTAAGACAAATACCAGCATCTTTCTGCCATTACCTTCTTGTTTTCCTTAGCCACACTTAAACAGCAGCTATTCTAAAGCATTCTAGCTTTCATATATAAATATATAGAAATATATAGATATAGATATGTGTATATATATATATATATATATATCTGAAAAGGGAATTTTAATCAGTTCCATTTACACAGAATGCTTTTCCAAGTTTATTTGGGCCAGTAATTACTAAAATTTACTGAGCATTTATCATGTTCCAGGTACTCTTCTGGCCCCTAACAAATATTGTCAGTCCTCAAACAATCCACTAGGTGAGTTAGAGTACTCTCTACTTGATAAGAAGACAAAGTGTTAATCCTCTTTTAGCAGGTTTCATCTCCTCAGGAAAAGCTTTTTCCACCCAACTCCTCTTGCACTTATAGTTTGTTCATAACACACAAATGTGCACACCTGTAACCTCTGCACTGGAAGGCTGAGGTAGGAGGATCACCCCAAGTTTGAAGACAGCCTGAGCTACATAGTGAGTTTAAGGCTAGTTTTAACCACATACCAAGATCCTATCTGGAAAGAGAACAAAACAAGACTTAGTTGTAGTCAGGTGTGGTGGCTCACACCTGGAACCCCAACACTCAGGAGGAACTCCATCAGTTTGAAGCTCGCCACAGCTACACAGTGACTCAAGGAAGACCTAGACTACACAGCTAGAACCTGTCTCAAAAAAACAAAACACCAACAAACAAAAAGCCACACTTATTTATTTCTCTGTTGGTTAGTCCGTGAAAAAAGAAACCCTACGTGATCACTTCCTACATTGCCGCTAACATCCGAGTTCAAATGCCCCAATGCCAATGCTTAGCAGAAAGCTAACCACGTAACACACACAAGTCCTGGAAAGACAACTCCCACCCAACCAGGCAAAACGCAAAATGCTTGGATCCATAAAAGGCATCTTACCAATAAATTGTCGCGGTGACTTTGTCACCCATTCCGGATTCACGAATAATTCTTCAAGTTCGGCTCCAAAACTACGTCTATACTAAAATCCCCTGAAGAAAAGCAAGAAAAGTCACCACAGTGACAGCTATGAGAGAGGCCGGAGTAAGCCTGGACCCTCCCACCAGCTCCCTCTCGCTGCAGAAGTGTGTTCACGGTGGACACAGAGGAGCCGGGAAGGGAGAACTGGACTCACCCGAACGCGGGGCGAGGCCTCCCACTTCACCCCGAGGGATATTTCCGCTCACCTAGCCGCCCAGCTTCGTGCCCTTCACTCTTGCGGAGCCAGCTTCTGCCTGCACAGGGAAAAGGGCAAAACCCGAAAGGGCATCTTAACTATTCCAACTGAGCCGTCCTGAGATCAAGAACGCAGCAGATATCCACGACTGAGAAACGGTTGCGTGGCTAACAGCGCCCTCCAGTTTAAAATCATTTCCCGACGCGCTCCGCGGCCCGACGCAGGAAGCCTCTCCCAGACTGCCCGCCTATTTCGCATCTCTGAAGCAACTGAGCTGGCCATTTTAACTGAGGGCAAGGCCAATCTTTGTGGACAACGTTCCCAAATTGCGTAGGTTCCTCTGCAATTTTGAATCGGTGCGAAGCTGTTCCTCAAATTTCCGCCCTTAGTAAGCATGGCGGCAGCATATCCCATTTGATTGGTCGATTACCTTTAGCATAATCTTAGGGCCTCAAGAAGAGCGGGTAGTAGGACGCTATCAGCAAATGGGTTCGGGCCCGATAGTGTATTGGATTTGTTTGCTTCGTTCTTTCAGAAAGCCTCACTTTGGCTGTTCGGTCTAGAAGATTTGAAACGCGAGACTCTCTTTTCCGGTTCTGCCTGCAGTCTTCGAGAAAACGAGGAAAGAAGGGAAGGGCATGCGCGGGTGGACAGTCCCTGCCGAGTCTCCGTAATCTTGGGCTCTCGCCTGGCACTGCTGTGTGGGGCCATTCGCTTGTCACTTTTGCTGCAGTCTTGTTTAATAGAAGTGGGAACTGATGTTTTGAAGGGGCTAGAAGATCTCGAAGACTGGTCGTTTGTACATTCGAGTACTCACGTTTTGCGGAAAAGAACTTAAGTATTGCAGTAGAGAGATGGACGTGGAATTTTAAGGAGTTTCTGTGTATTTCCGAATCAGAGCTTTGATCACTGTCCCAACACCAGCAGCAACAGATTCGCGTTTGTATCTCGTCGTCCTGGTATTCAATATGCACTTCTCTTCTTGGTTAAGTCAGCTGTGCAAGAGTTTATCCAGACCCATCGGAAGGACCACCCAGCCCATCTGGGTTTCTCTCTCCAGAAATCTGGTGCTGAGGTCACAGAGGAAAATTCCAGGTGAAAACAGCGAAGAGCTTCCACCTGTTCGCTACAGTTCCCCCTAGCCCCGGTCTTAACGCGATAGTCTTAGGCATAGAAGAGATCATTCTTTCCTTACATGCAGTTTCTTCCTTGAGTTTTTAAAAGGTAACCATATGGGATATTCTGTACGTAATTGATACTACTAATAGCCTAAAAATTCTTTTCACACTTTCATAATTGTCCAGTGTACAAGTAACTGTTACACACTGGATGTTTTGGCCCACTAGATTTGTACTAAAGTAAAACAGTTATTTCTCTAATTCCTAAGATCATGTTTCATTTGACAAAAAAATGTATAATACTTAGAATTGGGTGACTAGGAAAAGGTCAGTGCAAGTGTAATGATCCAAACAATTTTAATTTCCTTAAAGCAAGGCGAAATTTTAAATTCACTTGCCTTTGACACATCTGTAGATGAATTTTATTAAGGGACAAATCAAATTACATACTGTGACTTATAAATTTGATCCACTGACCTAAAGCAACTAAGATACCATGATGTGAGAAGCTTTAATCTGCAAGAAATGTAATCTTGCCTTTTAAATCTTTTTTCTTTTATTTTTTAAGAATTCAGTAGCTTTGTTGCCCGGACCAACACATGTGGAGAGTTGCGACCTTCTCACTTAGGCCAAGAAGTCACCTTGTGTGGATGGATTCAGTACCGAAGGTAAACTGAGGCACACAGTTTAAGAATGCCCGGTGATGGTTTCCTCAAAGCTGTTCTAACCCATTGTTAACTTTTAAGCTGTTAATAGAGTAAGAAGCTGCCTGCCAAGCACAAGGTGGTGAGTTCGATCTCAGGTACAAAAAAAAAAGGGGAGGGGGGAGGCTTGCAACTCTATTGAGACACAGAATTTACCAAATTTGCAGTTCTGTTACTGTTTGGAAAGATGTAAATAGTATAAGTACCAGTAACATTTTCTGTGAAAAGATGTAATAATGGAGATTGATCCACCATTGGAGTAACTGACCTTTGGTTTACTGAGTTTGAAAAGTTTTCTTTGACTAGTAACTGGATTTGGGCCAACACCCTGCAAACCTAATGTAGAGAGCTCCAATAGCATAGATGCAGAGAGCCTTTTTATTCTAAACTTAAGTAGAGGAGAGCTTAAAAAGCATGAATAGTGATCTCCGAAAGCCAGACCTCATCTTTTTGTTATGTCTGTATTCCAGAATATATATGAATACTACATTCACATTGAAGAGATCCAAAATGTACGGGTTGTGTGACCTTTCTAAAGTGTATGTCCCAAGTAGGTAGATATTTACCCTGTAAATTTGGTGACTTCATCACATAAGCCTCTTTCTGTATTTTTTTTCTGACATTAAAGACAGTGTGAGAAATGTAGGTCAAATGCTAAAATGTAATTATAGAGTCATTAAATTCATAGTTGGAACTCTTCCAGCAAATTTTGGGTTATAACTTTTTTTGAAAAAAGAAAAAGACCTTCTTTCTGTCTCTATATTTCAAAAGTTACCAAACAGATGTTTCTTTTTGGTTTTGTTTTATAGTTCTGGAGATTGAACCCCAAATCTTGCACATGTTAGGCAAGAACTCTACTACTGAGCTACATCTCCAGCCCTTTTTAAAATTTTATTTTGAAACAGGATCTTTTCCCTAAATTGCCTAGGCTGGACCAAAACTTGCTATCCACGTGCCTCAACCTCCTGAATAGCTGGAATTACAACCCTGTATCACTGCACTCAGCAATCAGATGTCTCTGATATCCTAAAATATTACCTTTGGATTTTGCAAAAGTTTCCAAAATTAATAAAAATTTTTACGAGGACTTCAGCCAATGAAAATATTGTATATCTGTTTCAGTTTTTGTTACACGTGGACCACCATGCCCAGTGAAAATTGTTTTCAAAAATTTTAAATCTGCTTTTTCATTACTAAGCCATCTGCAGATTCGTAAGCCATATAAAAACCAATAAAAAATTGAAAAGTAATTTCTCTTTCATTAATAAGCAGCATAGATAACAGTTGTATGCATGGCATTAATGAAAGTGCATCATTATTTGCAGGAAAAATTGAGAAATTGCAAAGAAGAGGTTTGTGTTTGTTACTTACTAGTTTTGTCTGCTTAAATTTTGGAGTCAAAATTTTATCCTAAAATGTTCATTCTTTCTTTATTAATCAGGCAGAACGTCTTCTTAGTCCTGAGAGATTGCCATGGACTTGTTCAAGTTATCATTCCTCAGGATGAGGTAATAGTTCCCTGTTGTTACCTAAAAGCTGCTTTCATGCTATGGCTGGGTAAGAGAAGTAGTTTGGTAAGTGTGCTTGCAGTCTTAAATTTAGAGGTTTCTCATTAACGAAAACTGTAGGCTGCAGATGTAGCTCAGTGAAAGGTTGCATGTACAAGGACCTGGGATTGATCTCTGGCACTCAAAAACACAAAACAAAAAATAAAACTCATAAGTGCTATAAGCAATATTTAAAACATGGCAAACTTGCTGGGGATGTGGCCCAGAGTAGAGCACCTGCTTGCCTAACATATGCAAGGCCCCAAACTCAGTTCCCAGCACCATACACACACCAAACTAAAGACTCAGAATTAAAAAGCCAGAATATGAACATAAAATTTACAAAAAATATAGAGAGATGGCTTGTAGATACATGAAAGTATACCCAGCCTCACTCATACATAAAGAGATGTAAATTAAAAACTACCTAAAATTTTAGTTTGTCGTCATTTTAGTGGCACTGAGGATTGAACTCAGGGCTTAGTATATGCTACAATAGCATCTTACCACTCAGCTGCGTCCTCCACGTACCCAGAGGTTTTTTTTAAGACAAGGTCTCAATGTGTTGCCCTTCCTGACTCAGCTTTCCAGGTGACCTGGATCATAGGCATGTATTATGGCACCCAGCTAGAAAAGCAATGCACTAGCTCTCAAGAACAAGGATCCAGCCAGATGTAGTAGCACACATCTGTAATCCCAGCACTTAGGAGGCTGAGGCAGGAGAGTTGCCATGAGTTCAAGGTCAGCCTGAACTGCATAGCGAGACCCTGTCTCAAATAGCCATAAAAGGGGAGGGGGGGGAGAATGTGGATCCAGAGATGAACTTAGCTACTCCCAGAGACATCCTTTCACTTCGTACTCTATCATTGCCATTGAGTTTAACTGCCTCTAAGACTAACCATCGAGACAGTAAGGGAAGCACCAACATTATGGCAAATAAGCTGTGATTATTAACTTTTTTCTAAACTATACATTTACAGTTACTGGTGGTTTCTTTATGTTTATTTTTTGAAACTGTTTTCCCCTCCTGTTTTCTAGTCAGCTGCCTCTGTGAAGAAGATTTTATGTGAAGCCCCTCTGGAATCTGTGGTGCAAATTTCAGGAACAGTTATTTCCCGTCCTCCAGGACAAGAAAATCCAGTTGGTATTTTGGAAGCTACATAAATTTTACCTGTGTGCATTTATGATGTCTGCGTTCACATTCACTTGATGTAACCTGTACACCTGTGAGACATAAGGTGCTAAGGCTCTGTGAATTCTGTATGTGAACCTCCAGGTTTCAATCTATTCCTTATAAACAGACCTTATAAGTGTGCATGCTAAGGCATTTGCTGATGCATGGGACTTGAATGCACAGCAGTATTTTGATATCTGAACAGATCAGCTACAGATACGCACTGTACACTGTAAGTGTACAGTGTTACTATACACTGTAAGTACCTGCACATTTTACATAAATATTACAGCTATGCATTGTGTACATGTCTAATGAGTGGTTCTTTCTCTCTTTCTCTCTAAGAAAATGCCAACAGGAGCTATTGAAATAAAAGTTAAAACAGCTGAGCTTCTGAATTCCAGCAAGAAGCTGCCCTTTGAGATTAAAGACTTTGTGAAGGTACCATCCTCTGTAATTATGAAATAGAATATCTAGAAAATGTTGATGAGCAGTGAAATATTTTCAGTGATTTTTTTCTTTAAAGTTTACCATCTATAAAATTAAACATATTATGAAAGAATCATGAATTGTTCTGTTCTAAAATTTCTTGACAAATTCAGTTTGTTTGTTCTGTTTTGTTTTTTGAGACAGGATCTTACTGTGTAGTTCAGGCTGGCCTTGAACTCATTATGTAGCCAAGGCTAGGCTCAAACTCACAAGCTCGAGGCAATTCTCCTGATTCAGCTTTCTAAGTGCTGGGATTACAGGATTGTGCCACCATGCCCAGCTAATTTAGGATGTTCTTTATCAAAGTTAAGGAGTTAATGGAGCTTGACAGCACGAGTACATACACCCCACATGATTTTCAGCTTTGTCACAATTACAAACTTACATACTGTATACTTTTTTTGTTGTTGTTATGCCAACGGTCAAGCCTAGGGCCTCATATCTGCTATGCCTATCCTTAAATGTTGTTAGCACAGAGATGCAGGATTTATGTCCTTGAAAGTAAGTGCTCCTCAGTGTATTCCTGCTCACACAGCGATGGAGAGTCTTAACTACCCTCTCTTCAACCCTTGCATTTGTATACTAGTCAATAATCCGTTCAGATAATAAACTCGGCTGTTTTTCACTTTGCCATATCTCTTTACAAGATCCTTGAAATCTTCACCTTTTTTTGTTTTTCACAAGTCGACTATGGGCTTAAAAGATAAATGTTAAGTAAATAAATGTCAGTCAGTGAAGAGTGATATTTTTATACTAAAAAATGGTTAAAAAAAGTAAAATCTGTACTCATAACAAATTTCAAAGCTGCCAAAATTAAGATAGCAAGATACACACATACAGACAGCGTGCTGTGCTACTTGATGGTGGAAGCAAAGTTATCAAAAATTCAAATTCTGTATCTAAAGAAAACATCTTTCTAATGTACAAAAAACATTTTAAAGTAAATATTTGTACTTTGTTTAGAAAACAGAGGCTCTTCGTTTGCAGTATCGGTACTTGGACTTGCGCAGCGCCCAAATGCAGTACAACCTGCGACTCAGGTCCCAGATGGTCATGAAAATGCGGGAGTATCTTTGCAATCTGCATGGTAAGGGGAGGCCTGGATGTCTTTGGAGCTGTACGCATCTCTCCTGTTTTATTGAGTTTTATCATATCTGTTCCTTCACATGATTGGGCCAGATGGTGCCAGGAGTCGAGAATTCACTCAGTGTGGTAAGGTAGTTTTTGAAGAAACATTAATTTAGTGTTTTGTTCTAGAGCATAATTTAATAAATAGTCCCTTATTGGGTCACAAACAGGTCCTTTTAAAGGTAATACCTTCGTGCACTGTTTCCTGTTAGTATCACCGCATTTGGTTTGTTTATTTTGGCAGTGTCGAGGCAGTGCTCTGCTGCTGAGCCACACCCCCAGCCCTTAATTCTTTATTAACCTTACACATCATTTCTTGAAACTCAAAAATAGCCCATGCATTAAACTAGGCTCTTGGGGCTGGGGATTTAGCTAAGCAGCATAAGCGCCTGCCTTGCAAGCGCTTGGTCGTCCGTTCGATCCCCGGTACAAAAAAAAAAAAACTAGACTCTTGAACTGTCCTGGATTTTTTCCTGTTTTTCACTTGTGTTACTGTCAGTATACAAGTGGAACATTTTCAATCCTGGAAAAGGTCTACATACCAGAACCCATCAACTATTTGGAATTTTTTCACATTAAAAGTCAGCTTTATTAGGGGCTGGGGATTTAGCTCAGCGGCCTAAGCGCCTGCCTTGTAAGCAGGCAGTCGTGAGTTCGATCCCTGGTACCGATAAAAGTGAAAAAGACAAAAAAAAAAAAAAGTCAGCTTTATTTATTTATTGTCTTTTTGAAACAGTCTTACTGTGCAGTTCAGGCTGGCCTTGGGCTCACTTTGTAGCCCAAGCTGGTCTCGAACTCACAATGATCCTCCAGCCTCTGCCTCCTAAGTGCTGGGATAACAGGCCTGTGCCACCACTCCCAGTTTAAGTATCAAGTTTATGAACAGAATCAAATGTTAGGGAAAACTTTACCTGTCTCCTTGGATTTGTACAAACCACATCATTAGGCTTGATAGCTTATTTGAAAATCCCAATTAAAACAGAGCCTCTGATTTGTTGAACTGCACTATAGACATCATATTGACAAATTCCAAAACTCTATGTATAAAATTCTCGTATTTGTCCCTTTAGGGTTTGTGGATGTAGAAACTCCAACATTATTTAAGAGGACCCCAGGGGTATGTATATCACTTAAATCATTCTCCTAATAATGTCCTATTAGTTATAAAACTGGACCGCTTTGCTTTTATAGTCACTTGGTCTACTTGGTAAATTTTATTTCATTTTATTTGTGTGCCATCCCTGCATAGGGGCCATGCTAACCTTCTCTGTATCATTCTAATTTTAGTATGTGTGCTGCTGAAGTGAGCACTTTATTTCATTTTGTTTACTACCTCAGGATGTTCATATTAATTAGCTTTTTGTAAGAAATGAGGTTATATGGGTTAATATTTTGAGTCAGGGGCCAGGGATATAGCTCAGCAGCACAGCGTCTGCCTAGCAAGCATGAGGTCCTGAGTTCAATCCTCAGTACCAAAAAGAAAGAAGAGAAAAGTAAGTCATCTTTTCTGTGCTGGGAGCAACTCCCCTGCCACAGGCCTGTAACTCCCAAGAGTACCGGCTGCCTGCAGGTCCCTCTGTACTTGTACCTCGCTCAGGAGTGCCTCTTGGCTGCTGAGCTGGCCAGTGATGAGTGAGAGCCTCAGCACGACGTGTCACTAGCCGTAGCTTCCAGATTGGTGTCACTGCCATTTCAGAAGACATTGACATAGCAGCCAGGTTCTGTGGCGCTGAGGCTGCCATGGTGAGGTTGGCTGGCTTTGGGGCTGCGATTAGGAGCCTTCGGGGTTTTTTTTCTGCTTTCAGGAATGGAACTCGTGACCTTGCCCTTGCCAGGCAGGCCTTATACCACTGAGCTAAATCCCCGGCCCCCGGAGCCTCACCTTTGCTTGTGTCAAGAACCTCCTGTGCCATTCTGGGCGTCACTGACTGGTGGCCTATCTCATTCTTTTCATCATGTGAAGGAGCTCTATCCACTTCCCAGAGTTTCTCACGTCTGATCTGCCCTGTGTGTTCCTTTTTCTTACTGCCCCACGAAGCCTGGAGAAAGTGGTTGGTTCAGATGGGCAAAAGGAAGATTGATACTGTATTAATAAGAGAAAAAACCCTGGCATTTCTAACCATTGTTAGTCTATTCAATCTATAGACTTATAAAACTACAGTTTAGGGGTGCTGGGGATATACCTCAGTGGTACAGTGCCTGCCTGGCAAGCACGAGGTCCTGAGTTTGATTCCCGGTCCCACAACAAACAAACCTTACACTTCAATTTAGGAATGCATCTAGGAATGACTTAGGAAGTAATGCGTGAAATTTTTTCAGCTAGTAACTGAATTGGGAATTCGTTTCAACAAGCAAGTGTTTAATAACCACTATGTAGAAACAGTATTTAACGTACACCCCACACACATACCCTGGTACTGGAGATTGAACCCAGTGCCTTCACATTCCTAACTCTTTTGAGACAATCTCACTAAGTCACTGAATTGGTCATGTGTTGGGAACTGTTGAAACTGGAAATTGAACACACGTGCAAGGCTGTAGCATGGCCTGGCCGACCTAAGAACAAACAGATGCCTTAAGGGGCAAGTATAAGGTCACAACTGAGGACACCTGGCCCCAACTCCAGTTAACCAATAAAGACTGTAGCTATAAGCATTTCACTCTTACAGTGAAATGCAACATGGAGATCTCCTAAGATACCTCTCCAAAATTAACCTAAGATAGTTCTCCTAAATTAAACATAATTTGTTACTTGGCAAAATCCTCGAACCACTCTCAAGGTCTGTTCAGTTTCCTGCACTGTTTGAAAAAAATAATAATAATACAGGCTGCCCAGAGACATTCCCTGTCTTAGTCCTCGGAGTCTCAAACGGCACAGGAGGGTTTGATCCTCCTGGAGCCCTACAGTTGTGCCACTTACCTCATTTATTTAAGTCTTCGCTGTACACCTGGTAGATTGGGGATCTAGGCCAGGTCCCTGATACCCATGTTGGGCTTGAACTTGTGATTCTCCTGCCTCAGCCTCCAAGAGTTCTTGGATTACAGGCGTGTGCTACGATGCTTAGCTATGTAAGCCTTCTTAGAGACTCCAAGGTCATCAAGAAGTCATCTGTGTCATTGTGAGAACTTTACTCTTTAGTTTCATTGATGAGCTGAAGTAGCACCTTCCATTAGATAAGTATACCTTATTTTTGTTTGTTTGTTTTTGTTATTGTTTTGTGGTACTCAGGACTGAACCTGGGACCTTTGCACTGTACTATATTCCCAGCCCATTTTTATTTTTTATTTTGAAACAGATTCTTGCTATCACTAAGTTACCCAGGCTGGATTCAGACTTGCCATCCTCCTATCTCAGTTCCCAGGTTCTAGGATTTCAGGCATGTGTTACCTGCCTAAATTTGTTGTTTTTATTAATGTCACTTTTCCCCTGTCTCTTTAAAAGGGTGCCAAAGAGTTTTTAGTACCATCCAGGGAACCTGGAAAGTTTTATTCTCTCCCTCAGAGTCCTCAACAGTTCAAGCAGCTTCTGATGATTGGTGGTTTAGACAGGTGAGTTATTTTTAAATACTGTTAGTTGTCAGAAAAAGAAAAGGCAAAAGGGAAGAAGGACTCACAGAACTGTCAGATCTCTTTTTATTCTCTGAAAACATGCTGTAGTCATTTAGTAAAGATTTACTGGGTGGCCACCCTGTCAAAGCTTCATGCTAGTGGCTGTGGCAGGAGATATTTTTTAAAAAAGAGTTAATGAGATTAGTAAGGCAGAGTAGGATACTGAATAAACCTAACTGTGCAATAAAACTATAAATGCATTGAAAATTTGCAAATTAGATGTTGTTTAATATCACAATGTTTGAGAGAATATTGTAGACAGTCTTTTTGAGCTAGACCTTCAGAGACAGACCTACAGCAAAGATGAGAGTTGGAATCACACTGCACAGGACAGCTCAAATGTATTCATAAAGCAATTAAATATTTCAGTTTTCCTGAAGGAAAAAAGTATCTGGCCAGGCATGGTGATGCACACCTGTAATCCCAACACTGAGGCAGGAGAATCGCTACAAGTTTGAGGCCAGTCTGGGTTACAGAGTGGATTCAAGGCCAGTCCGAACTGCATAGCGAGACCCTGCCTCACAAAAACAAAATAAATAAATAAAGCGTCTCTAGAGAAGCGTACCTGTCTAACATAGGAACATCTCAAGGTGCCAGAGTATGTTTTGAAAATAATATAGAGAACAGCAGTTTTTCATGGGTCGGCTATGTGTGTGATTAGATTAAAGCATTATTTAAAAATAAAGATTCTAACCAGGGATGGTGGCACGCACCAGCCCAGCACTCCGGAAGCTAACGCAGGAGATTGTAGATTCAAGGCTTAGGGCTACATAGTGAGGTCAAGGCCAGCCTGGAACACAGTGAGACACTGCCTCAAAAAAACAAAAACTAAATCATTAAAACATTTCTTATGTCTTTCAGATGTCATTATTAAATTTATTTGATTGCCTGCTGCGCCATAAACTTTTGGGGGGAAATATGTGTGCCTTCCTGGGATTGAGACTGACTTAATACTGCTTCTCAATTGCAGATATTTTCAGGTTGCCCGATGTTACCGAGATGAAGGTTCGAGACCTGACAGGCAGCCTGAGTTTACTCAGGTACTAAGTTCTCCCTTCCCAGCCTCTTACAGAGCCTTCTACAGCCAAGAATCTCAAAACTAGCACTTTTGGGCTGGGGATTTAGCTCAGCGGCATAAGCGCCTGCCTTGCAAGCAGGCGGTTATGAGTTCAATCCCTGGTGCCAATAAAAAAAAAAAAAAATGACTAGCTCTATAATTTCATATGTTTTACTATGCATTACAGTTTACCCATCAGATATTTAACTCCACTGAATTGCCTTTGAGGCACTCATTCAACTTATGATCTATTTCATATATAAAAATATAAGGAGTGTGGTCATCCATGCCAGAGTTCTACAGTGTTTTTATGTCATGTGATAAAGTTTTTAAAGCACGTCTGTTAGGCATTAGGAGCCAGTAACTCTTGATGTTGAATCTGTTTACCTAATCTTCAGCCTCATCAAAGCCATTATGACTTGGTTTCTATATGATACCAATGTGATGAAATACAGAAATCTTTATCTTGGGAATTGGATAGGCCAGGGATCAAATATAGCTCTACTGCTTACTAACTGCAGATAGTGAGCAAGTTACTTAGCCTCTGAGCCTTAAACCATGAAATTGCTGTGGGAATTAAATAAGTATTGTAAGCCACTAGTACAGTGCCTGATGGAAAACACTTGTTTTTATACTCCTTCCTCATGTTGTTTGTCTGCAGAATCTGTGGTAGCTTGAAATCGGTGAAATGCATATATTGTGACTATTCAAGCTAGCTTCCACATGTTATTTTGGTTTCAGATTGACATAGAGATGTCTTTTGTAGACCAGACTGGGATCCGGAATTTAATCGAGGGTTTGCTCCAGTATTCTTGGCCCAGTGACAAAGATCCCGTGGTGATTCCTTTTCCTTCCATGACTTTTGCTGAAGCGTTGGCCAGCTATGGAACTGATAAACCTGACACGCGTTTTGGGATGAAGGTACTGTTTTACTTTCCCAGGACCTTGTTCTCAAATGGTTCTGCTGTCTTTGGGAGGCAAGTGATTAAGAGTTCTGAGTGGCTGTGGACGATTCCTAGACGACCTGCTTCTGGGTTGGGGTTTCGTAGATAGCAGAGCGGCTGCCTCACTGCGATCTATTGAATGTCTGCTCCCGACACAGGTTTTGTTTAGGAAAAAAAAAAAGACAGCGTATTTTTAATTTTTTAAGTTTAAAAAGAGGATTAGCCGGGCATGGTGGTGTACTCCTGTTATCCCAGCATTTGGGAGACTGAGGCAGGAGGATTGCATTGAGTTCAAGGCCAGCCTGGGCTATGTAATAAATAAAATAAAAGAACCATAGTATTTTAATTTTAAAGTAATATAAAAATAAATTTTTCAAAGTTCAAACATATGAACACATTTATTCAGCTTATTAAAATTTGTAAGTATTTAAGACCAAGTATATATAGTGGAGCTTGATACCAAAGTTCTCTTATTTGCTTCTAAAGAGCAATCTCTCTTGATCTGTCTAATCCTGGTGACATTTCTGAAATCAGTTCTCACTGTAAGTTGTTTTTTGTTGTTGTAATTGTTTTGAGACAGGATCTCACTGACATGGAATTGGTTATGTAGTCTGTGCTATTCTCTAACTCACAATCCTCCTGCCTCAGCCTCCTGAGCACTTCACTGCACATTAAGAAATTGAATTCTGTGCCAGTTTGGCAGCATGCACTTGTAATTCTAGCTTAAAGAGGCTAAGTCAAAAACCCAGAACTTCAGGACTATTTTGAGTGGACACCATCTCAAAAAAAAAAAAAGAAGTTGAATTCTACATGGCCTATGAATTGTCAGTGTTCATAACTTAATGAAAAATAATATACACAAGGGGCTGGGGGTTTAGCTCAGCGGCATAAGCGCCTGCCTTGAAAGCAGGCAGTCATGAGTTCGATCCCCGGTACCGATAAAAAAGGAAAAAGACAAAAAAAAAAAAAAAATAATAATAATAATAATATACACAAAATAATAATCATGTACTCTGTTACAAATACCAGTTTAAGCTGGTGGTACACACATGTAATCCCAGCGCTCAAGAGGTCAAGGCAGGAGGACCTCCATGAGTTTGAGGCTAGCCTAACTATTCCTTGTTTCCTCATTTGTAACTTGGAATAGTAGTACTTTTTTTTTCCTTGACAATAGTAGAGACTAAATTTAAGGCCTTCACACTAAACTACATCCCCAACCCTTGTTTTATTTTCTATTTTGAGACAGGATCTCACCAAGTTGCTAAATATCCCAGGCTGGGCTAGAACTTTCGATCCGCATGCCTTGGCCTTCCAGGGTGCTGTGATTACAAGCTAGGCCACTGTGCCCTCCGAACAGTGGTTCTTAAGTCATGCAGCTTGGGTTAGATTCTGACTCTGCCTAGCTATGTCCCATTGGGCAACTTATTTCCTGCTCTGCCTCAGTTCCCTCATTTTCTCCTATATATACTTTTAGTAGTATTTATCAATTTTATAAGCTACTGGGTTTGATAATGGCATTTTCATGATATATAACAGGTATATAACATATTTTCATTATATCCATCCTCCCATTACCCCCTCCCATCCCTCTCTCTCTCTCTCTCTCTCTCTCTCTCTCTCTCTCTGTCCCCTCAGTTGCTTTTTTTATGAAGTAGAGATAATAAAAACTGGGATTGATGGCATCACACACCTATAATTCCAGCTAACCAGGAGGCTAAGGCAGAAGGATCACAAGTCCAGCCTGAGCAATTTAGAAAGACCCCATCTGAAAATAAAATTATAAAAGGCCTGGAGATGTAGCTTAGTGATAAAGCCTGGGTTCAACCTCCATTACTTAAAACAAAAGAGAAAGAGAGAGAGAGAAAGGAAGGAAGGAAGAAAGGAATGAATGTACAGAAAAAAACTTTTCAACCTAAGATTAACCCTGTATGGATTCCTCTGTAAATTTTAACTTCTCAAGATATATTCCCTCCTTTAAAATCTTGTTGCCAGGCATGGTGGTGCATACCTGTGACCCTAGCACTCAGGAGGTTAATACAGGAGGATCACAGCAAATTCAAGGTCATCCTGGACCACACAGTGAGACCCTGTCTCAGTATAACAAAAAAGCTGGGCATGGTGGTGCACACGTGTAATCCTAGCATTTGAGAGGCTGAGGCAGGAGGATCATCACAAATTTGAGGCTAGCCTGAGCTATAATAGTTCAAGGCCAGTCTGGACTACATGGGAAACCTGTCTCAGAAAATAAAAACAAACAAAAAATAATCTTGTCGATATAGTGGTTTGAGATAGAAATGCATTCCTATTTAGTTACCTCTTTTTGTCACCCATTTTCCAGATTACAGATGTCAGTGAGGTGTTCAGAAACACAGAGAGTGAATTTCTCCAGGATGCACTTAGTAAGCCCCAAGGAACCATCAAAGCCATATGTGTCCAGGAAGGAGCAGTAAGTAAAGCACAGTTCGGTTTGTTTTCTAGAATGTGTGTTGTGGAAGTGATTATGTTCAACACAGCACATTTACGCTTGAGAAAGAACAGTTCTCTAAATAAAATCTGTTTTTGTTTTTGTTTTATATAGTGTCTAACAATGTCCCTAAAATTGTAAGAAGAGAATGATAAAATATTATGAAGACAAATTTACACTTAACAGCTGGGGCTTCCTATTTTATTCCCTCTTTTAAACTATGCTGTGGTAGCTGGGCAATTTGCTGGGCATGGTGGCACACACGTGTAATCCCAACACTCAGGAAGCTGAGGCAGAAGGATCACCATGAGTTTGAGGCCAGTTTATGCTATATAATTAGTTCAAGGCCCACCTGAACTACATAGAGACCCAGTCTCAGAAAAAAAAAAAAAAAAAAAAAACCCTGAAATAATCAAATTCTGAATTCTTTTGTAGCTCTGAAAATTGTTTAAAATTCAGTTAAGTTCATTTTGAGTATTTGTCCTGCATATTACAGAACTAGACCCATAGAGACCTGCTTAATTAGGGAAATTGAACCCTACAACAAGCTTAAAAATTTTGTCATTTGGCAGTGGAAATTAAATATTTGTGCCTACCTGGCAAGCACAAGGTCACAAATTCAATCCCCAGTACCAAATATATATATATTTGTTAAATCCCACTATAGTGATGGAAAGATTCAAAATGTGTTTGTATCCTATTGTAATCCCAAATATTGTGTACAGTCATCTAAGTATTGTAATCTTTTTAGTTTTCCTCACAATCCAAAAAGTTAGAATTGTAATCCCATTGAGGCATTGGAATCCCAGCAAGTTAATTCCAATCTGCCACCACCAATGTAATCCACTGCAAGAGTAGACATCAAGACATATTCCAGGTTAAGGGCAGCCAAGGGGTCCTAAGTCCAGTCCCCATGAGGATGTGCGGACAAAGGCCCTGATCTTAGGCCTCTCCCACCATCTATTATCTTTTGAAGAAAGGGGAGTGGCTCAGGGATGAGTGACAGTGAGGATGGCAGGAATTATGTGAGTAACTTGAGCTGGCTAGCCAGGTAAGGAAAAAAGCATCTCTGCAAAATGCAGAGAGAAAGATAAGCCAGAAGGATCTATTTGCATAATTCACTTAAGGTAGCATCTGAGTGGTTTTAGGAGGCTGTTGCTTTGATTTCTGATATGTAAACTTTTGTGCCCTGGGGGGTCATAGCCCCTTTACCTTGGTCTCTAACATCCTGCTATCCTCATGTCTTTTAAAGAGAATACCATGGGAGGAAACAGGAGACTGTCTGTCCACTTTCGAGATTACACATCAGAACCTGGGCCAGCCTTATTTGTAATGCTTAGAGCCAACTAAAGAGAGGAAAAAAATACCATAGCTAGCTCTGTAGTATCAGTATAAGGAAATGAGTCTCCAAATAATCAAAGTTACAGCAATCATTTTACATTTAAGGGGAGTGACTGGAGTTGTCTCCCAAAGTATCCCGTTTGCTATCATGGACATGTTTATGAAGCTGAGTATCCCGTTAATGAGTTTACTCTGATTTTCTTTCATCAGAAGCACTTAAAGAGGAAAGAGATTGAGTCCATTAGAAAATGTGCAACTGACCATTTTAATCAGGTAAGGAGATTTTTTTTTTTTTCTTTTTGGGGATTCTATATTTTTAATTATTGCTTAAGCTCTTAATGTTTTTTTTTTAATTTTATTTAAAAGGAAAAAAAAAACAAAGCGGTGTAAGGGTATAAGTAATACAGAACTACAAAAAAAAAAAAACAAAACAGTAAGAAATCACCAGTTAATAGATTACATATTATCATCTTAGAGATAGTTGCTCAAGTCACAGTATCAAAGCATACAAAGTAGACACTCAAACAGTGAGACTGCAAACAGTTGTGTTCAATGATCCAACCAAAAACATTAATATGGTCAGCTATTTAACACCCCTAAACACACTTGCTGTTGTATCCTTTAGAGCACTTTTTTCCCCTCTCTTTTTTACAACAAAATTTACACATTTTGGGTTTTATTACTCCTTAGTTCTTATTACCTTTTTGAGGGGGAGAGAATAAAGTCAAATATGGCAAAACAAAGCTGTCAGTCAAAACCAAGGATAGACATAGCACATGATGTAAAACAGAGTACAAGGTTATCAACAATGGTTATCAACAATGTCTCTTGTTTCCTTAAAAAGAATTGTTTATCTCATTAGATATTATAAAGTTGAACAAAACAGTAGAGAACAAGACCAATAAAACTTAAGCATTGTAAAGATTACAGGACTTCCAAAGGAGACAATAGTCAAATCAGAATGGGCATCTTAGTGAATCTTATTGCCTTCAAAGTAGTTGCCTACCCTCAAACTTGATACTATCATACAGAATGGAACAGAGTCTAATCAGTCAAAACAAGTTAATAGGAAATCAAAAAAAGTTACTATTATATATCCTGCTAATTTTTAAAATTTTTCCCCTTAATTAAAAAAAAACATAAAAAATAACTAAATAATTTTTTTTAATGAATAAGGGAGAGATTGAGATAAAACGGGACGTAACAATATAACAATAGAGGTCAAAGCATGACTGTTTCAGCAACCTAGTGCTTCACCACCAAATAACCCGACTTAATAGTAGTTACCATAGTGTCTGTCTTTTTCCTTGAAGTATTTGAATAAAACTTCATATACTATTTAAGCTCTGAATGTTGAAGGTCTTGAGATCACTCTTTTGTTTTTCTTCTGTTAATTTTGAAAGTTAATCTTGCCCCCTGGTACAGTATTTTTCTAAGATTTCAGATTAGATGAATGCTCCATTATTAGAATATGAAAGTTCAACCCTAGATTTTTAAAGTAAACCAAGGTATTTAGTCCAGTTAGGAAAATAAATAGACCCCCACATGCTGCAGGTTTAACAACAGCATGACAGGTGTGAATCCGAGCCTAATGTTTATCGTTTTCTGTGCCCTTTTTAAAATTATGAGTACACCATTGACAGGCACATTTTATGTTCTCAGCTTGGGAATGGCAGAATTAAAACTGGCCAGAGCAGGATTGGGGAAGCTCCCACACTATCACAGAGGCATACACTTGCTGGCCAGTTTAGAGTCAGTGACTTTAAAAAGCCTCATGCTATTTGAGTCAGTAATTTTCTATGATACACTTAAGGAAAGGATCCTAGATTTAAGGAAACTTTATGCTCATCGTGGTATCATTCATAACAGGAATAGAATGAAACCATATAGGAGAGATTAAATGTAATTGTATAATCAAAGAAATTGATATTAGAGTTCCTTTTAAAGTTGTTTCCTAAAAATATTAATGTAGAAAAAAGGTTTATGTTATAATGACTTGTAAGAAAAGGATAATGTTATATACACTTAAAAACAAACATTACAGTCAACTTTGAAAATGGACAACTCACCTCTACCACCACTCTATCCCAAACCTCAAACTCAGAGAATTATAAAGAGATTATTCAATAAGAAAGATTATGACAGTAGTTCCCAAAGTAGGTCAAAGCAAATGAGAAAAATAAGGCAGTGTGAAAAGCTTTTTATCAAGTAAAAGAGCTGCACTTGTGAGGCTAAGGCAGGCGGCTCAAAACAAGTTTAAGACTAACCTAAACTACATAGCAAGCCTGTCTCGAAAAGAAAAAGTGAAAGAGCTATCTTTTCTCTTTTTTCCTATGGAAATAGTATTTCTTTATGAAATTATGGTAATAGTAGAAGATATTTTACATTTCTTTCCTTAATGAAAATAAAAATTGGCAGGTTTGTGTTTCCCAGTTTGTTTGTTAGTTTGTTTTTCCCCTGTACTGGGGATTAAACCCATGACAGTCAGCTACTGACACTGGGCTGCATCTGTAGCCCATTTTTAAAATTTATTATTTCCAACCCTGTTCTCTGTTGATTTTCTTCATTGTGGCAAAATTATTTCCTTCATTGCCTTCATATCACTTTGAAGGAGTTCAGGGAGGGAGCAGAAATGATCTTATGTAACTTCTACCAGACACAAGAAATGTGTGCACTATGAGAAAATAAATGCACTTTTTAAAAAGTATGAAGAAGTCTTTTCTTTCTTGTAGGAAGTCTTACCTATATTTTTGAAAGCCAACAGTAACTGGAATTCTCGAGCTGCCAGGCTTCTAGTGGAGGAGCAGAGATTGGAATTAACCCGGATAATGGAGGCCCAGGAGGACGATGTGGTCTTCCTGACTGCTGGCGAGCACGGGAAAACAGTAAGGACAATGACCCAAGGGTCCGCGTGGTGGGGGCTGAAGGCTGCCTTTCTTCTCCTGTGCATACGCAGTATTTTCAGTGGACTGCTGATTTCATAAAGTGACATTGCTTTGCAGAAGTTGCTGCAGAAATACCTTTCAGGACTTTGTAACATGCTGTCCAGAAACTGCCGTCTTGCTGAGGCCTGCGCAGGCCCCTGCCATCTGTGGTTTGGGGCTGCTATCTGCCTCATAAAGCAAATGGAGCTTTTTCCTTCTGGGAAGACAGAGTCATCGTCTTCTCTGAAAAACCTTCCTACATAATTGGTTTTGGCATTTGTCAGGCATAGAAGGGCAGGGATGGAGGCCTCGTAAGTGTAAGGATTTTATCTGAGGGCAGGCTCTGTGACAGTGATAGCTCCAGTTTTATGACATAGAAGTGGATTCCTTCACGAAAATAAAAAAGTATAACCCACTCCACAATGATACTAATGATAGTAGTGGCAGTGATGCATCAGATACCAAGCAGTATATCCTACAGAGCTACAGCGCTGTGCGATGAAGAACCAAACAGCAGTCACGTTTGTGTAATAGGAACTGAGGCAAATTCATGCCTGAAAAGCTACTGGGAATCTTTCTCTGTGCAACTAGGGAATAGATAGGAAACAATAGGGAATTTTCAGGCCATATATCAAAAATCCATCTGCTTAAATAACTTACTGATTTATAAATGTATGAAAAAGGAAAAAAGCTGGGTACAGTGCCACACACCTGTAATCCCAGCACTCTGGGAGGCTGAGACAGGAAGATCACAAATTCAAGCCCAGCGTCCTGACCCTGGACTTAAAAAATATAAGCTGGGGTTGGTGGGACAATCCTATAATCTCAGCACTCGGGAGGTAGGAGAAGCGCCACAAGTTCAAGGCCAGTCTGGGCTACAAAGTGGCTTCAAGGTCAGCCTGAACTGCATAGCAAAACCTTGTCTCAAAAAAAAAAAAAGTAGGAAAAAATATAAAGAGTTAGAGGTTTAAGCCAGGGATTTAGCTCAGTGGTGTAAGCAAGTGCCTGACAAGCACAAGGTCATGAGTTCAATCCACAGTACAAAAAAAAAAAAGAGGGATTTAAGGGGCTGGGGATTTAGTTTAGTGGTACAAGTGCCTGCCTGGTAAGCAAGGGGTCATGAGTTTGATCCCTGGTACCCAAAAAAAAAAAAGTTGGGGATTTAGCTTAATGCAGAGGCCTTTCAATTTCCAATATTACTAAGAAAAAAAGATACTTGTAACAAATTAATACTAATATGTATTGAAATGGGGAAAACAAAATCTTAGCATGCCCTACATGAGCTTACCAGATTGAAAATTCCTTCCTACACTCAAAAGGACACAGTCCTCCAGAATTTTTTCTTACTTGCTTTCTTATCTTTCCTCATAATTTGACACCTTAAATGTTTACCACTAATAGTAGCTACTATCTTTTTGTCTGCTTTGAAAGTTAAATGAAGGGAATAATTCTATAGGGATATTTTTGAGTGGGGTTGCTTTTGAGACAGGGTCTCCCTATGCAGTTCAGGCTGGTCTTGAGCTCTCTTTGTAGCCCAGGCTGGTCTCGAACTTGCAACAATCCTCTTGCCTCAGCCTCCTGAGTGCTGGGATAACAAGCATGTGCTACCATGCCTGGCAGGAATTTTTTTATTATCTGGAAAAAATGATTTGATAAGATTTTTGAGATAAATGGATACCTAATTGTCATTGGTCCTTTATAATACATTAAATGGCATTCCTTTATAGTTCATTAACTGTCTCATGAAAATTGTAGAGAGAGATGAGTTTTTTTTTTTTTTGGTACCAGAGGTCAAACTCATGACTGCGCTTGTAAGACAGGCACTTATGCCACTGAACTAAATCCCCATCCCGAGATGACATTATTTAGGGTATGTTTTTGTTAGTTACTTTGGTTGGTTGGTTGGTTGGTTGGTTGGGCTTTCTGAGACAAGGTCTTGCTGTGTAGTTCAGGCTGACATTGAACTGACAGTGTAACCCAGACTGGCCTTGAACTTCAAAATCCTCCTGCTTCAACCTCCCAAGTGCTGGAATTATAGGTATATGCTTCCATACCTGGTTTATTTAGGGTATATTGTAAAGCAACCCTTGAAGTGGAACATTCTATAATAATTTTAAACTGAAATCATATATACAATGAGAGCTTGAGCACTGCAAGGGAGCATGGAGATAACTTCAGTGTAATGATGGGGAAACCGAGGTGCAGAAGTCAGGTGACTAACCTTGGTCCATACTCTAAGGTAGGATAGCACCATCTCTTTTGCCTAACTTGTATGTCTGTTATGATACATAGACTTAGTAGAACTTTACCAATGCTGTGCCTGCCTTTGAAAAGTAAATCAACTGGAAACTTTTTTTTTTACCAGCTTCCAGCCTCCATTGGCATTACACAGAGTAGAGCTGACTCTGATCAAAGGTTAATGGTATTACTTATATAACCATCAAAAGTATTTTCAAGGTTTAACAAGTGAAGAAATTCAATAGTTATAAACTTTTGTACATAATGAATTCCTATGGATATGAAGGGTCAGTGCAGACTGCTGGAAAGCTGCAGGGCTGATAGATACCCTTGGAACAACATGGCAGAGGGAGGACCCTTTGTTCTTGAGAGCAGTAGCTGTAAATGGTGAGTGCCACCACCCATGGGCTACAGCACCATTCTTCAGATTATGGAAGAATATAAATTCAGTCCTTCATTGTATATACCCATGTTTTTAAAGTCATGGCATTGCTGGATCTGGTAGTATATGTCTTTAATCCCAGCACTCAGGAGGCTGAGGCAGGAGGATCACCTTGAGTTTGAGGCCAGGCTGGGCTTCATAAGTGAATTCAAAGTCAGCCTGAACTACATAGCAAGACCATGCCTTAAAAGGCCAAATAATAATATTAATCTTTTAAAAGTAAATAAAGTTATGGTATCTAATTAGCACTTTATCAAATTCATTCTTCTATATGTTTATACTTTACTATGTTTCTTCCAAAGGAAGTTTCAGAGTTCAGCTTCAAAGCTAAAAGTAAGCTACTGTCTTTCCCTTCCCCTACAGTTTAGAGTGAAGAAAGATATTATCTTTGCATTTCTTAAAATAGAAGTTAGGATTTTACACAATATTTTGCTGTAAATTAAGCTAGTTATTAAACAATCTCTTGGTATGAATCAAATGTCCTGCTGTTCCTTTCTCAGGAAGTATTGCCCTGGTTCCTCCTGGACCTTCTTTGAAAGAAAGCAGGCTAAAAGCCAAACTTATTGGGAACAATATTAACATTCTGAAAATGTCACAGTAAAAGTGCCATATGCAGACATTTAAGTGTAAGATAAACTAGGTCACAAGGTGACGGTGTATGCATGTCCTTTGCGTATCTGGCTCATCTGTGTAGCCCCAGCTGGCCTCGAACTCAAGATTCTGCCTCAGTCTCCCAAGTGCTGGGGTCCCCGTGTTTTTTGTTTTTTGTTTTTGTTTTTTTGTCTTTTTCATCGGTACCAGGGATCGAACTCACGACCTCCTGCTTGCAAGGCAAGTGCTTATGCTGCTGAGCTAAATCCCCAGCCCTGGTCCCCGTGTTCTTGATCACTGTGTTACCAGGTGCTCACCCACAGCTGCATTTCACAGTCACGCTCATGTACCGTGCAGTCAGATCGTCCTCACATCTGTCTCCTGAGAGAGAAATCGCAGCTTATCTGTGAGCCAGCAAATCTTTTACTAGAGAGTGGTCTATTCAGAATTCTGCTACTTTGTCAAGCAGCTCACTCAATGCTTGTATTTTATTCACAGTGCTCTTTGTTGGGGAAATTACGGCTAGAATGTGCTGACCTTCTGGAAGGGAGAGGAGTGGTACTTCGAGACCCCACCCGATTCTCCTTCCTCTGGGTGGTGGATTTCCCACTGTTCCTTCCCAAGGAGGACAACCCCAGTGAGCTGGAATCAGCCCACCACCCATTCACTGCTCCTCACCCCAGTGACCGTCACCTCCTTTACACTGCGCCGGAAAAGGTACCCTCTCTCTATGTCCAGACCAAAAGAGAATATGTCAGTAAAGACCAAGAACTCCAGAGTGCACAGTTTCTAGATAGGATCCAGCTCTGAAAACTTCAGAAGACACTGTGAGCCAGCTGTTAATATTTTATCCCTTAAGTAGCTGCAGTATTTTCAACCTGCAGAATTAGAAGGCAGAAATCTCCACTAACAAAGACTGCGCCTCTTCTAGGTTCGTAGCCAGCACTACGACTTGGTTTTAAATGGTAATGAGATAGGAGGTGGTTCTATTCGAATTCATGACGCAGAGCTTCAGCGTTACATCCTGTCAACATTACTGAAGGTAAGGCTCATTGACTCTCACTAGCCTCACTGCTTTATCCAAATATTGGTCCTTCTTTAAACATTTATTCTGAATGGAGGATTTGCTAAGTACAAAATAGTGTCAGCTTATCTCTACTTTCATATAGGCCTTGGAAAAGTGCTATTGATAGCTGTTTACATACCATGAAAGCATTGATGCATTTAATCTTATGAGATAACCTTATTTCACTTGTTTTAAACATGAGAAACTGAGGCAGATTATGTAGCACACAACACAAAAAGAAAACAAAGCTGGGAACTGAAGGGTGCTCCTGAGCCCACCATCCTCATCTGCGTTGATAGATATATGTGTGACAGAGAGAGAGAGAGAGAGAGAGAGAGAGAGAGAGAGAGAGAGAGAGGTTTAAAGGATTTTTAGTATCACTTAATGTACTTTTAGTGGGGTTATATCTTTGTGGCAGGGAGTGGGGTACTTAGGACTTTCTATACAGATGCAAACCTCAGGATTTGCAGTTCGTTAGTAAAAGAAGTCCAGATCTGGTCCTAAACCACATTTTTGGGGATTAACTAAATGGGTCTGGTAGGACAGATGACCTCACCTGTGAGGGCAGGACTGAAGAACTCCCTGCAGGTCCCGCTAGCTTTGAAAGCATCATGAAGCCTGCAGTCTTTCTTGTGTGGGGCAGAGCTTCCCGAAATCAGTTCGGCCTACCTTGCAGAGTCTTTGCTTTGCTCAGGTTTTCAGAAAAGTAAAAATACACTATTGCTTCTTCCTTGTGCATCAGGAGTTCCCAGCACATCAGAACAGAATTATCAGAATAGAAAGCAGTAAAAAAACAAAGGAAAACCGATGACTTGGCCCCATATCAGACCAACTAAATAAAAAGCTGCACATTGGGAGGCTTTGGCGCCTTGGATGCTCACCCACGATGCTGCTCCGCAGTCTGATGGAGAACTGTTTCCAGATAGCTTCCACGTTTCTGCGTGCACTGCCCCCAGAAACTGCTCCCCTGGTCACCCACCCCAGGGCCCTGTTCCTGGCCCCAGGTTGTCTTCCTCCTGGCCACATGTGACACTGTAGTTCTTTTCCCTCAGTCCCTGAGACAGGACACAGGACTGTCCCTATTTCTTACCCTCCCTTGTGAGCCCGCACCTCCCACTCTGTTAGCATTTTCAGTGCAGTAAGAGCTGCATTTCCTGGGCGCCTGGCACTTTGTGAGCATCTGTGACTTTTGTAAACTGTAAACCTTAATGTTTTTACACTTTCCCAGTGAGTTATTGCTGTTAGTTAAGTAGTGTTAAGACAGTTTTCTCCTCAACTTCTTCTCCCCTCAGCACTTACATCTAATATGTGGCACTTTAAGTTCCCTCAGTATATATTTAAAAGGGTATCTTTTGAATTTCAGGAAGATGTGACATTGCTCTCCCATCTGCTCCAGGCTTTGGATTATGGGGCACCCCCACATGGAGGAATTGCCTTAGGTAAAGTTTGTCTTTCTATAAAACTAAATTTTATTTCATAGCCTTGTTTCTCAAATTTGGATTCTCAGCTTATTTATAATGAAAATGGGGAATTTAAACCTTAAGTTCTATGGGAATTCAAGTTTTACTTTAATTTCAGTGATAAACTATATCTTTATTGATACTGGGGATTGAACTCAGGAACTCAGTAATATATTTTTTAAATATATTTTATTAAAATATTAACTGAAAGCTGGGCATGGTGGCATATGCCTGTAATCACAGCACTCAGGTGGCAGAAGCAGGAGGATTGCCACAAGTTTGAGGAGGCCACCCAGCATTACAAAATGAGACCATGTCTCAAGAAACAAAAACAAAAAAACTGAGCTGGGTGTGATGGTGAACACCTGTGATTCCAGCACCTGGGAGGCTGAGACAAAAGGATCCCGGCGAGTTCAAGGCCGGCCTGGGCTCCATAGTGAATTTACAGCCAGTCTGAACTATATAGCAAGACCTGTCTCAAAAGAAAACAAACCAAAAAACTTAGTCTTGAGCACTAGAATGAGATAGAAAAAAACCTTTTAAACAAGCGAAAGTTCTCTAAAAAGATGGGAAACCATGGTTGGTGACAACTTGTAAAACATTTTTATTTGGAAGTTCTCTATAGGCCTGGAGAGGTAGCTCACTGGAAGAACACTTGCCTAACATGCAGGAGGCCCTGTATTTAAGCGTTAGTACCAGCGGGGAGGAAAAAATTCTCTACAACTTATTTTGTGTGCAACTGAAGTCATTCCCAACATGAGACTGCGACACCTTTCTTTTTTTTTTTTTTTTTTTTTTTCCTTTCTTTTTCTCTTTTTGTCTTTTTGAGACCAGTCTTGCTATACAGTTCAGGCTGGCCTTGGCTCACTTTGTAGCCCAGGCTGGTCTTGTACTTGCAATAGTCCTCCCGCCTCAGCCTCCCAAGTGATGGGATCACAGGTGTTCACCACCATGCCTGGCAACTGCAATACATTTCTCATCGTTGACCTTTTACGTTTTACTCACAGGGTTAGACAGACTGATGTGCCTTGTCACTGGAGCTTCAAGTATCAGAGATGTCATCGCCTTCCCAAAATCCTTCCGAGGACACGATCTTATGAGCAATGCCCCAGATTCTGTCCCTGCTGAGGAACTGAAGCCCTATCATATCCAAGTCTCCTGGCCAACAGACTCAGAAGCAGAAAAGAGTTCTTTGAATCATTCATATCATCCAGAAAGTTGAGCTTTTGAGTTTCATCCTCTTCACTTTGCCAGTGCTAAAATCAGCTCCAGATCTGCCGTCAGTCTGACAATCATGTATTTAGGTGGAAGTAATCCAGCAAGATTTCTCACAGTAAGGATCAGCGGATACCTGATTTTGATTTGGTAACATGTACTATTAGGGCATTTATGAATTAGTGTGTTTACTGAAGTTCCTTTTTACCTGGAGATTATAAAAGATAGCTCTTTACTAGAGTAATATAGTGGCTTCATATTTTCTAATCAAGTCTTCCACACCAAGATTATTCACATAAGACAGAGAAAATCCAATCATAAAAGAAAGTGCTTGCTGCTGTAGAGGTGATGGAGGGAAGGTTGCTGTTCATCTAGCTTAAAGAGATTGATAAATTAGGCTTTATGGGGATATTTCAACTCTCAGAACAATGTACTAAGGATAATAAACCATCACAGAAATAAGTCACAAAATCTTATTCAGTGTTTCACTTCCACACCAACTTCACTGAGTCTGCCTTCTACTTACGTAAAATATAAACAGTACTTTCTCTGGCCACCTCATAGAGCTCTTGCCAGAATTAGGAGATACATGGCCAAAATAATGTGAATGAAAATGCTTTGAAAAACTGAATGGGGGTTGGGAGTGTTAGTTCAGTGGTCCATCACTTGCCTGCCATGAAAGGCCCCTAGGTTCCATCCCCAGCAACATATGCACACAAAGCATTACATAGACTCAACATTATCCATATATAAATAGATACAAGGATATCTGTATTATATAGTTGAAGAGGAAACAAGCCTGTAGCCAGAACTACCCAGGAGGTTGAGCCAGGAGGATCGCAAGTTCAAGCCCACCTGGGCAACTTACATCTCAAAAGAAAAAAAAAAAAAAAAATGACTGGATATAAGTGAGGATATGTGTAGAAAATGAGGACTGGCATGGATATGCATGGTATTACACATCAACAGCGGTTGCTACCTCTTATTTGTAAAGTGGGTGGCGTAATAAGCCTGCTGGAACAGTCGGTGGGGTTAAAGAATTCAGAAGAGACTGGGCTGCAGCTCAGTGTAGCACTTAACTAGCATGGCATGCACGTGACCCTGGACTCAATCCCCAGTGCCACAAAGCACATGGAAACAAAACCCTTAGGGCTGGGGATTTAGCTCAGCGGCATAAGCACCTGCCTTGCAAGCAGGCAGTCGTGAGTTCGATCCCCGGTATTGATAAAAAAAAAAACCTTACCACCAGCAGAAGTCCTATAAGTATTTGGAATATATCAGGTCCTGACCTAGATCCCCAATCTCCCAAAGGAGTGTACAGCAAAGGCTTAAATAAAATGAGACAAGTGGTATGATTTTAGGGCTCCAGCTGAGTTTTAGAGCTGAGGGCTAAAACAAAGAGTTCCCTGGACCACCCATATTTATTAGGTCCAAAACAAAGGGCAAGGAAACTGAGGAAAGCACAGTTAATGGGGAATCACTTCGAAGACTTCAAGCAGTAAATTATGCCCATTTAGGAGAACCATCTTATCTCCAGGATGACATTTATGGTAGGAGTGTGACTGCACAAGTGAGATTCCTGCAGCTGCAGTCTCTACTTAATTAGTGTTAGAGCCAGGGTGTCTTCAGCTGTGGCCTTATCTTGCCCTTTGAGGTATCTCTGGCCTCAGACCATTACAGACCTCAGCGAGGACCAGCGATTCATAGAGGTTCACTTACTATGAATAAGCTCCTGTTGCCAGGCAAAGGGCCGAGGCCTAGGACACACTCAGATCAACCTAGAAAGCCAGTTAGTTAATTTTAAATTCTGCTCAGAGCTGCTTCATAGTGGTCTCTAACAGGAATATATTTCAATTTGTGAGGGTAGTCATTAATCCCGAATAATATTTTTTTCAACTGTAATTAAAAAATACATTTTTTTTTTAAGATGAGCTATAACTGTACAGTTCAAACTGGCCTTGAACTTACTAATTAACCCAGGTTGGCCTCAAGCTCATAGTGATCCTCCTGCCTCAGGCTTTGGACTGCTGGGATTATAGGCATGTGATATGCCCAGCTCAGTAATTGAAAATATTAACTGACCAAATGCATAAAATGAACTGACGGTTGTGATTTTCTTATAAATTGTATTGATACAAATAAAAGCTATAATTGATAAGATTATATCCAAAAGATGAAAAGTATAAAACAAAAGAGGCCTTTATTCTGAGAACGCGGAGAGAGAAAACCAAAAAAAACACCCCGCGACTGCGGCAATCCGGCTTTCTCTCTGGCGGACACGTGGTCTATATAAGTAGCCTTGGTTTGGAATGGAACCTAAGAGGGCATTAGGGATGCACGGGTAGCCCATTGGTCTTTGTTTGGCGCCACAGGTAAATTCCTAGGGGCGGGGAAGCTGAAGTCACAGGTAAATTCCTAGGGGTGGGGGAGATAGGAGCTCCTTGGTCCCACCACCGGCTACAGTGTCCTGTCTGGACCAAAACTCTTTCATAATATATACCACAAAATGGAAATAAGGCCTTGATGAGTTTTAAATTACTTGATCTTCCATTTTCCCGTAAGGTGCCTTTGATTTACAAACATTAAATACCCATCTTATATCCCTTTTTTTCCCCTTTGGTACAGTGATTGAACTCATGACCTTGTGCTTGCCTGGCAGGTGCTTATGCCACTGAGCTAAATCCCTAGCCAGATATTCCTTTTTTCTTGATGTGCTAATGGAGTAATTTGTTCAAAAATAGTTTCCACCTAGAAGTCTAATTTGTGACACTGAAAAGGCTATGTACATATCAGTGTCCTTCCCTACTGCAGACATCTGGATTGCTGTAAGTTAATTTTCTTTAAATTTAGTCTTACCAAAGCTTTCCCTTTTATGCAAACCAGAAACAGCTCACTGGCAGGGTACTTTTCTTGACAAGGAGTGTTCAGTTCTGCCTGCTATTTGAAATGTTACAAATGGCATCCATTTAATCCAGATACTTCCTATGATATAAATGTCAAAGATCCTAGGGTCCCAAGAGTCAAACAATCCTGTCTTCAAACGAAAGGGATTACTCAGCTTTTCTTCAGAACTGTTAAGAAAAATGCTTATTCTAAATTCCTGACAAATGTAAATAAAGCCGTTCTTGCAGTGGGCTAAAATTCTGTATTTTTGTGGGGCTGGAGGTACAGTTTAGTGGAAGAGCTTACTTATGTGTGTGCCAAGATCCTTGGTTTAATGCTTAGCACTGAATGGAAAAAAAAAAGGAACTGCCAGCTGCAACAGCAACAATCATTAAAGACAGCTTTGTCCACAGTTCTCCTTGTTGGGGAGAGACCTGTCAGATGTAGTCTGTTAGGATCAGTTTGCGCTGTTTGCATTGAAAACAGTATTAAAAAGAAAGGAAAAAGGGGCCAAAGATGTAGCTCGGTGGTATAAGAGCCTGCCTGACAAACATACGGTCACAAGTTTGATCCCTGGTACCAAAGAAAGAAAACAGTATCTATATAGCTTTTTTTTTTTTTTTTCCAATTCCTTGTGAAGAAACAAACTGATCTGTAATACTGATCTTGGTTTTTGTTAAACATTAATTTTAAGGATGTTGCCTTAAGGATATTTTTTTCCTAGCTAACCATGCACACAGTAAATAGATCTAACAGTGCCATCTGGGGCTGGCTGTGGTGGCACACACCTGTAATCTCAGCACTCAGGAGGCTGAGAAGGATTGTTGCAAGTTTAAAGCCAGCCTGGGCTACAAAGTGAATTCAAGGCCATCCTGACCTGCATAGTGAGACCTCGCAAAAAGACAAAAATCCGAGATTTAGCTCAGCAGCATAAGCACCTGCCAGGCAAGCACAAGGTTGTGAGTTTGATCCCCAATACAAAAAAAAAAAAAAAAAAGGTAGGGGCTGGGGATTTAGCTCAGCGGCATAAACGCCAAGTGTGCGGTCGGGAGTTCGATCCCTGGTACCGATAAAAACGAGAAAGACAAAAACAAAAAAAAAAAAAAAAAAAGTACCCCCAGAAAATATACATCTGTAAATCTGAATCAGATGTCTATTTAAAATTACTGAAAATTGTTGAGTTGGATACTCCTGGATGTAATTCCTGGTTTTACCACTCCTTGGCACATAATCTTGGCTTTAGTTACTTAACCTGTAGGCTAGCAATTTTCAAACTTTTTAATAAGCCTCAGGGTTGGGCCTGGGTATTTAGCTCAGCGGCATAAGCACCTGCCTTGCAAGCAGGCAGTCGTGAGTTGGATCCCTGGTACCGATAAAAAGGAAAAAAAATCTCAGGGTCACTTACAATGTCGTTAGGGGGAAAAAAATGTCCCTGAAGCCAAGTATGGTGACTACTTGGGAGGCAAGCAAATCACCAACACTAATAGGTCACAGAGTGAGTTCAAGGCCAGCCTGTCTGAAGTTATTGAGCTGAGTGAGCAGGCACAGGGATGCTAATATTTAGCAGGCCCCCAATTAACCATACCTCAATTCATGATCTTTCTGCAATTCTGGCCCCAAACCAAGTTCAAAGAGAACCCAATAAAATGTAATGGCTAGGTTCAATGTTCATCCTTATCAAACCAAATTTGATTTTCAAACTTACAACCAGAATCATGGGAACCATGTTCACTCAGCTGGGCAAGGTGGTGTACTCCTATATAATCCTAGCACTTAAGAGACCAGCCTGGACTGCAAAGTGAGCCCAAGGCCAGCCTGAACTGCAGACCCTGTCCCAAAAAAACCACCAACCTGTTCACTCCCTGGGATACTTTTTGCTAACACTAGGAATTAAACTCAGGGCCTTTGTATTGTTAAGCATGCTTAACTATTAGAACAGTCTTAGTAAGCTGCCCAGGGCGATCTCAATTATGGTGGTGAAGTGTTAAGGGCCATGACGGCATATTCCCCGCACTTCAAAGGCTGAGGTAGGATAAGATATTGGGAGACTATGACCCCCACCAAAAAAAAAAAAAAAACCCCACAAAACACCTTCGTTAAGGTGGCTAAAGTGTTAACACCTGCAGCAGCTGAGGGCACTGCACAAAGCCACTGTGTATGCCCCAGTAGGTTATAGGGTTTAAGAACACCAGAGCTGGTATACTTCCCATACTGTGCAATGTTCAAAACAGACAGGATAAAGATATATGCAGAAATGGCTGAGCCAGAAGAATGAGAATGTTGCCTAACAGCAGTTTCCTAGGGTGCACTAAAGGCTTTTTAAAAATGCCAGGCAAGGTGGCACACACCTGTAATCCCAGCACTTGCGAGTCTAAGGCAGGACTGCAGTGCTTGAAGCCAGCCTGAACTGTGTAGTGAAATCCTAACTCAAAAAACCCATCTGGAAGACGATTTTGATATACCCAGCTGTTTGACACCCAACTTTAGCATAAACATTTACTTGCGAAAAGCTGGTCACTTACAGTTTCAGAATGGACTTACTTAAGATTTGGCTTTGTCAGTCCTCACATAACAGAAAGAGGCCAAAACTGCATATTCTAAGATATTTTCCTTGCTCCATTACATGGCTCTTGTGAAATGAAGTAGTACCACTGAGTATGAGTTGTGCACCTACCTCTTTCCTTACCCCATTTGTTTTGCTGGGCATCAAACTCATGACTTTGCATGTAGTTAGGCATGTATGGTGTGGAACGAAATCACTGCCACCACATTTAATTTTAAATACATTTATTTGTAGTCCCATATCCCTAGGTTCAGTCCTCAACATCAGAAAATGCACTTCACTTCTCCAGATAGTTTGCACAAATTTATTAAAATTAACGTTACAATCTTCTCTTCAATGAACATCCATCTGATTGCCTGCAATAAAGATACAGTTTTAGTCCAGTTTCCAGACTTCAACTTATAAACAGCTGGGAAATACAGAATATCAGATCTTTCTCATCATCAATTAATTAATCAGTGAGAGAGTTCAAGTTGAGATGAGATCATCATATATTCTGGAACAGGAACAGTACTGCTATTCTGAATTCTCACCTTTCTAAGGGTACACCTGATGCCATAAAGTCCTGAAAAAAATTAGAATTATGTATTAATCATGGAAAAAAAGAACTCTGTGATGCTTATTAGTACTGTAACCTCAGAATTAAAATGGAACGGTTTTATAAGTGATATCATTTTGCTTCATTTGGCAGAATCATCACATCATTGGTTATGTAACAGCAAAATATAATATACACAGCCAAGTTATCTTACCTTAAAGATTTCAGTATAACAATAGTTACCTATTCAGAAAAGAGAAAAAAAAAAAAAAACTTTAAAGTGTGGCACAGCTCTGTGCTAAAGCATGTGCCTTTCACCTGCATTAGGCCCTGAGCTCAATCTAAGCCCTTTCCACCAATAAAACTGGTCTACTTAATCCCCCTCTTTAGTCATTCTAACTATATAACCAGCAATAACTTATCTGGTATAACCCTACTAGTTCGTGCATGTATAACAAATTAACCTCCACTTCAACTGTGAGTTCTTTTAAGAGATGAAGTTCATTCTTCCTACATTGTCCAGGCTGACCTTGAACTTGGGCTCAAGTCATCATCTTGCTAGATGGGAGGATAGCCATGAGACACCATGCTTGGCTTATCTTCAATCCTTAATTCTGTAGCTGGGAAGAAAGACAAAGACAGAAGACATGTGTAATACAAGTGATCCAAGTCCCTCAACGGTTTCTAAGGGGCAACAAAAGTTAAATTTGTAGGCTAAAGTTGGATTGTTGCAGCCAGATACATCAGATAGGAGCGAAAGACTTGTGATTGTTCATCAGCATTAGTCTGCTGAACTATGTTATCATCACTGTATTGGCTTTCAGATGACTTAGTGAGGCTTGAGGGCTACAGGTGTAGCTCAGTAGTAGAGCACTCACCCAGCAGCATTACCCTGGGTTGAATCCCCAACAGAAATTTGCTAACCTTTCTGTACACTGCTTGCACTGCATCATAGCCAAGGTGACTCAGAGTACCTGAAAAATTTCAGTTTAATTAAAGATGATGTTCAGAGGTGATTTTCCTAAAAGATTTCCCAATTACTGTTTCAGTTTGAAATTAAGCTTCATTCTCTCTCAGAGAGATTCCCATCTATTTAAACTTCATCACTAACAGAATCTTGGGTTACCTGGTTAAGTAATTAAATTAAAATGTGTATACCTTTATAAAAATCTTCATAATCTGGACCTGAAAAACAAGTTTAGTTTTAGATACCATTTCGTAACAGTCCAATACTAACTTTGAAAAGGCTAACAGATTCACTCACTGTTTTAATAGCTTTCTATTATACTGAATAGGAACTGGAATCAGTGTCAAAGATTATTATTAGCTACAGTAAAGATCAGACCTCTAAGTATTGTATATTGGGAAAACAGAACCATTTTCTTTTTATTTCCTTACCAAAGCAAGTCATCCAGATGTGTAATAATTATCTAGAATAAAAACAGGACAATTCTCATTAACATGCTAAAAACCATTTTATTTCTCTTCATTATTTGTCATAGGGTTATTCAGCGTTAAATTTGTCCACATGCTCGTTTTCAGGTCAGACATTTGATCAACATCATTACAAAAACCCCATACAGAGCATGCTCAGTAAATAGTTAAATCAACATCCATTATCAAACAGGAGTTATTAAACCAGTCAGAAAGCATGCCACTTAAGCATACAGTTTTCAATCTAAAGTTTCCAAACACTTACTCAAGTAAAGCTGGTCCAGTTAAGTCAAACTCCACCTATGAAGAAAGAATGGGGCTTAGAATAGCCAAAGACAAATTTTCTCCCTACAAAACTAACAATGCCCAAGATCAGTTAGAGCTAATTGAGACCTTCATAGTTCAGTCAGTATTTGCTTATCATCATCCAGGGTGCATTTAGTCTTACAAATAGTTACAGGACAAGAAACTGCATTTTTCTCAAGCACTCAGGAGCCACAGTAAAGCTGCCAACTACGTTAAAATACACTCCCCTAAAATGTCATTATTTTGTGCCTTTAGTAGTTTGCCCTGTCATCCATGTTCAAGTTGGGTAATTTCACTCACCATTTTAACTTCTGGCTTTCCGATACCTATGAAAAAATTTAAATACATTAGAAAATAACTTTTAATACTAAGTGGTACAAAACTCATCAATCCCAGATACATCAGACAAATGGGTAAATCTCTTCATGATTTATCTGCTGAACTATGCAACCATCATAGTATCTGTTTATTCATCCTCTCTACCAGTTAACTTTTTAGTCATCAAAACAAGGCAAGATTATACAATTAAGCTGAGCACAGTACTGCATCAACAGTGACTGAAAACTTTCTCACCTCTATCCCCAGGGATGGAGGCTTGTTGTTTAGGACCTAGAATAAAACAGCTTAGTGAACTTAAGTGACATTGCTACGTTCCCCAAATCTGTGTTTTCTGTGCCTCAGTTAGGATAATGGTGGTTAAGATTATCGTCATTCTGACAGTCAAGAGTAGCAAATATAATGTCATCATTGTGGCACTTGTTTTTCCCCCTTATTTCCCTCATGAGGAAACTAAAACTTACTTGAGTTCTCATCTTTCCTTGGCACTTAACTAGAAAACAAAAAACAAAAAATGAGCGTCTTCAGATCAAAAATTAATACCTCTTTGTAAGTCTCAAAGCCTCAGAAGCAAACGTTTCAGAAATCCCTTCTGTCCACTACTCTGTATTAAGCATCACAGGCTTAAGGCAAGAACTATTTCTCTCCACATTTCACTTTCTTACCTGGCCATATAATGCCATCAAACGCCACATTCCTCCCGTACAGCATCATTCCTAATGAAAATATAGATAGGCATTTAACCTGCTAAACTAATAGCCTTATTTCTTCTATCACATATGCAGCTAGCTCATACGACCCACAACTTCCATCAGAGGTCAGCTCAGCGAGGGAGCACTTAGCGAACATACACGATTTCTAGCCCCTTCAGACAGTATAACTGAACAGTATTTGAATCAGTTAAGAACCAACCCTGGAGCCTAATAAATGCTGCACTGCGGAATGCAGTTACTAGAGATACACGTGGGCTCCACAAGACCTTCCGAGCTCAAGCAAATAGATCAGGTCTAGGTTAGGAAAACTCGGGTGACTCTGCATGCGCCGCCATCAGAGCCGTTGGCATTCATCAGCACTCAGATGTCCCTACCAACACAGGCTTCATCATGAGCAAGGCACGCGAGCCCAAACCTCCGTAGCTGCGCTCCAACAACCCTCACAGTTAATTAAGATTGCGTCGGCACCCAACGCAGAACTCCCCTATCTTGATCCCTACAAGAGACTGACCTAGAAACACAAGTTTTACGTGACCTCAAAAAAGAGGCCAAGATCCCAAAAATCAAGACGATTCACCAAACCCAAAGACAAAATGGCTCAGCGCCAGAAAGCTTGCCTTTCATATATTAAAGGCCACAAGTTCGCCTCCAAAGAGGAAAAGAGCAAGATCGTAAACACGACAAAGCCCAAGTTAACTTCCGCAAGCCACCGCAGACCAAGTCAAGCCGCTGAAAGAACGAGATGGCGCCTGTCGCCGTTTATATACGAACGTTTCGTGACGTCACGGCGCACGCTTCTCTCAGGCGCCCTTCCCGATCCTCATTTCTTTCCTCAAATTCCTCCCGCCCCCACACTCGGCTCCATGTCCCGCCCACCTCCCCCTTGTGGGCGGGAACAAAGTCGCCAGCGTGACGCAGGGCTCTTGCGCTCCTCTGGAGGGAGCAGCAAGAGCCAAGGGGAGGGGGCGCGAGCACAGGACCGAAAGCGGTGGGGGAGGGGGAGGGGCGGTGTGAGGGTGAGTGATTTCCTTCCGGCACGTCGCCCGCTCCGGGGGTGGGGGCGGGGGGTTTCACTTCCGGGACGGTGTTCCGGCCCATTCCGGCCCATTTCCACCCCCGGAGGTAGGTACCGTTCTTTGACTGGGCTCGGGCCCCGCACCCCGGTTCTGCTGCCCTGTCCCGCGGCCACCTCGCCCTGTCTCCGCCACAGCCCGCTCCCAGGGCGCTCAGCCGCTTTGCCCCCGCCTCTGCTCCAGGCACTCAGCGACCTTCCACTTTTTTGGCCCGGCCCGGGGCGGCGCTGCGGGACCCGCCCCCTCACGGCCCCGGGCTGGGCGGCCCCCTCCCCGCCGCGAGGGACACACCCAGATACACACACCCACCTCGGGGCGGCTCCTCGCGGGCGCCTGCCGCCGCGCTCCGCTCCCGGGGCGCCGCCCCCTTCCCAGCCCTTCGCGCTCACCTTTGCGCTCGCCGTGCGGTCCTTCAATTTGCACCCGTGGTGCCAAGTTCCTTGGTGACAGTGCGCTCCTCGGCCAGTTTCCTGTCCCCCAGCTTCCTCACGGAGGCGAAAGCTGCTCGGGTACCAGAGTGGCCAACCCCATGCGGTTCCCGGTTCTCCCTCTTACAGCTGTCACCATGCCAGTGCCGACGGTAGAGAGAGACTTTACTCCAAGGGCTTCCTCCTCACTGGGGAATTGCCGGAAAGAGCAAACAAAAAAGGCGCTGGTGTAGGCTCCAAAATAAACACATCTGAATGCATGATGGCAACGACAGAGACTCTTACTGGATTAAAAGTTTCAAAACAAAAACGCTTTGAAAAAAGGTCAGATTGGCTACGTTGGTTCTTGAAAGCAGTGTATACACTTTCCTGTTTACTGCTAAGTGTGCATAGATCGGGCAATACTGTGGGCTTGTCAGGGTAAGTTTCCTGAAGTTTGAGGTCTTAGGCAACTATGTAGTATCTTACGGATTTATAGATAAGCGAATGCGTATTGGGCTTCAATCATTGTTCTTCTGTTGGGTTTTATACAAAGTGTACTTTCAGCTACTGAAGAGTATTGGACAGTAGCAATCTTTTAGTATAAAAATGTTGGTCTTTTATATAAATGCTCTAGTTCTAAAATATGAGTTGTAGGGAAATAAATTTCAGAAGTGCATTTTCAAAGCAAGGTTGATTACCACCACCATGAAATTCCCAATTTGGAATTTGGATAAAGGCAGATTTATGGAGTCTTTCCTAACTCTGAGAAATGAACTTCAAATTCTCCGCAGCTTGAGTAAAAAATTGTTTTAATTTAGAGTTCCCCTCTGTCTCCTATCCAGAGGCTTTTGTGGGAGCCCTGACTCTTAAGGCTCAGAAATACTGTCCTTCATTCTTGTGGAATATTAGTTGGTAAAGTAATAAACATAACTCAGCCAGCATGTAGTAAAATGTTAGCTATCTAATCAACCCATCTAGATATAATTACATTTGTTCATCAAATTTTTTTCTTATTAAAGTTGTAACATTGCCATGGGATTATATAATGTCTCCAAATAATCTATGATTAGCTCTTCACTCTTGAATTTGTGTGTGTGTGTGTGTCGCTATGCAGTTCAGGCTGGCTTGAGCTCACTATAGCCTAGATTGGTTTCGAATTTGCAACGATATGGACTTTTGTTTTTTGAGACAGGGTCTTGCTTTATATTTCAAGCTGGCCTTGAACTCACTGTGAAGCCCAGGCTAGCCTCAAATTTGCTGTAATTCTCCTGACTTGGCCTCTCAAATGCTGGAATGATGGGCCTGCACCACCATGCCCAGCTTGAACATTTATTTTGTTCCTTGTTTTGTTTTTTGTTTTTTTGGTACCGGAAATTGAACTCAGGACCTGGTACTCATCAGACAGGTACTTATGCCCCTGAGCTATATCTCTGGCCCCTTGAATTTTTATTTTGATGCTGTATACTGTATTAGTAAGGAACATATGGTTATAACTTAAGTTTTTAGGAAAGTATGTTTGAACTGGAAAGCATCAGGGGAGTAAAATTGTAATTCTTAGTGAGAATATGGTTTCTTTTTTCAGCAGGGTTGAATGTGTCCCTGCACCTTCAGGCATGACCATGGAGAAAGGAGGGAACATACAGTTGGAGATCCCTAACTTCAGCAACTCTGTCCTCAGCCACCTAAACCAGCTGCGCATGCAGGGCCGACTCTGTGATATTGTGGTCAATGTGCAAGGACAAGCTTTTCGGGCTCACAAAGTGGTACTGGCTGCCAGCTCCCCCTATTTCCGGGATCACATGTCCTTGAATGAAATGAGTACTGTCTCTATTTCAGTCATCAAGAACCCTACTGTTTTTGAACAGCTTCTTTCTTTCTGTTACACAGGGCGAATCTGCCTGCAACTGGCAGATATCATCAGCTACCTAACAGCTGCCAGTTTTCTGCAGATGCAGCATATTATAGACAAGTGCACACAGATCCTGGAGGGCATTCATTTCAAAATTAACGTGACTGAAGTTGAAGCAGAATTAAGTCAAACAAGGACAAAGCATCAAGAGAGACCTCCGGAGTCTCACAGAGACACACCAAACCTAAGCCGTTCCCTTAGCCCACGACATAATACCCCAAAGGGAAACTGGCGTGGACAGGTCAGTGCTGTGCTGGATATCAGAGAGCTAAGTCCCCCTGAGGAATCCACCAGCCCTCAGATAATTGAACAAAGCTCTGATGTAGAGAGCCGGGAGACCATTCTCCGGATTAACCGAGCGGGACAGTGGTATGTGGAGACAGGCATAGCAGATCGGGGAGGCCGGAGCGATGATGAAATTAGGGTTCTAGGAGCAGTGCACATCAAAACTGAAAATCTGGAGGAGTGGCTTGGGCCTGAGAATCAGCCTTCTGGAGAAGATGGGAGTAGTGCAGAGGAAGTCACAGCCATGGTCATTGACACCACAGGCCATAGTTCTGTAGGACAGGAAAGTTACACTTTAGTGTCTTCAGGAGCCAAAGTGGCTCGGCCAACAAGCAGTGAAATCGACAGGTAAGGTTTGTTGTCTTGTCCCATTTACTGACTGACGTGCAGATACCATTAAGTGGGCCCTCTGTTTTGTAGTGTGTCTTCCTTACCTGATATTCTTAACTACAGTGAGTTGATTTTGGGGAAACTGGAGGTATGCCAAAAGACTTGCATCCTTATTTTTTTAAAGCATGAAGCTCCTAGTCCTGAAATATTCAGTGTTGTGAGAACTATGATAAAGTTAGACACTTCCATGAATCAGGATAGCAGCCGCCTCCGCACTGGGATCAGTCATTGCCACAGCTCCCTCGGGATTCCGGGCAGGGACCTGAGCCTCAGCTGGGAATCTGGCAGCGTTGCCCTTCCTTGGTAGGTTAGCCCACAGGTAGGTGACCTAGGGAGTTCACTTTATCTACATTACTGTTTTTCTTTGCCTTTATCTACTAAGTTAGAGAAGCTATAGTAGCTTTAGTGCCTGTTCTTTGTAAATTAATAACCCCAAAGAAAAGCTTTTGGGATGTTTTTCATTCCATCACTTGTCATTTAATGATGCATTCTCTATTTTTGGTGATGTACTCCTTTTCTTTCCACCAGTGCTACTGTGCCACTTTTCTCTAATATGTTGAATACATTAAGACAGTGGTAGCGAACCTATGGCACACACAATACGGTTGGCTCTTCGTTGTCATTGAAAGCCCTGGAGCTCAGTGGCACAGTGCCTGCCTGGCGAGGTTGTGAGTTTGATTTCTGGTACAAAAAAAAACAAGTTTTGCCATCACTGTAAGAACTTTTTTTGTTTGTTTGTTGTTGTTGTTTTTAAATTTTTATTATTTTGAAGGTGGTGAAATACAACAGAACAAGGCAGAACAAAACCAGTTGAGACAGTGCAGTGAAATTGGTATAGAATGTCACAGCAGGTTACCGGGATAACAGTAATAGGTACTATAGTACATCTCGTTATCTTCACAATAGTTGTTCTTTCCATCAGGTATAGCAAAATCAAACCAAATACAGAACATTATAGAACTTATCAAAACAGAATATTGAATAGAGCAATACCATTAATCATATCAAAGCAAAACAGTGATAACAATATTTGTCTTCAAAGAGCTGGTAGAAGGAAATCCCTTCTATGTGTTATATTGCGTATGGTCAACCTCCCAAGAGATGCTCAGACCTCTGGCTCCCATTTGCTAACGGCAGAGGGGGCAGAGAATGGGATGTGATTAGGCACTGGTAGGCTCATGACTGAGTACCAGAGAGGCGAGTGGGTTGCTTGGTTTCCCAGTGCCCTAAGTTCCAGCATGGCATGGATCTCAGGAGACTGGTTCTCTCCCTGGGGCAGCTGCCACTTGCCCTTGTTTGTTGTTATTTTGTAGAAAAGGCACTACTTCTTTTGTTTGCTTATTTTTTGTTTGTCTTTTCTTGAGACAGGGTCTTGCTATGCAGTTCAGACTGGCCTTGAGCTCACTTTGTAGCCCAGGCTGGTCTAAAATTTGTAATAATCCTCCTGCCTCAACCTCATGAGTGCTGGGGTTACAAGCGTGTGCCACTACACTCAGCTAAGGCACTAGTTTTGATCTCAGTCAATTGAAGGAAAAAATTACTAATTCAAATTGATAATATTTGTTCTCTTACAAATAAATAATATTGATTGACTGAAGGAGCAATAAAAGCTAAAGAAGCTGTTTCTTTGGTTTCTAGCTGATTTTGAGAGACACAAATATTGTAGGAATTCAGATTAGTACTGTCTACTATGTCCCTTTCAGGAAATCCTGATTTGAGTATTTTCCTTTGTATGCCCTTAATGAAAATATTCTTGGGGCTGGGGATTTAGCTTAGTGGCATAAGCGCCTGTCTTGCAAGCAGGCAGTCATGAGTTCGATCCCTGGCACCAATAAAAACAAAAAAGACCAAAAAAAATGAAAGAAAATATTCTTAACCTAACATGGCAGTGTACACCTATAATCCCAACACTCAGGAGGCTGAGGCAGAAGGATTGCTACAAGTTCGAGGCCAGCCTAGACTACATAGTGAGTTCAAGGGTAGCCTGAATTATAGTGAGATCCTGTCTCAAAAATTTAGCACTGTATCAGTAGTATCAGTTTAAATGCAAACATTTTTCACCTACATAATCAACATCAGCAGTCTGAAATATATACAGATTGTCATGAACTCTGGTGAAAAGAAACAAAAAACAGTGGGTAAATGGAAATAAAATTGCAGACTCAATGTTTATTCTTTTACCTCTCTCCCAGTACTTATGTAAGGGTAGAAAGTCTATATTTGGCTTTAGTTTAACAGTTCATATGATCTATGTCCTTTGTCATTTTGTGTTTTTTTGTTTGTTTGTTTTTGGTTTTTTTTTTGTCTTTTTCGTTTTTATCGGTACCAGGGATTGAACTCACGACTGCCTGCTTGCAAGGCAGGCGCTTATGCCGCTGAGCTAAATCCCCAGCCCCCATTTTGTGTTTTTTAAGCATACTAAGACAAACCTTATTTCATACCAGCTCCTATATTGACTCCATGAAAGGATGTGTTTCTCAGTTATGTTTGTTCTTTCCTCAGACATAGGGCAAAGAGAGGAAACATCATCCTTTTTATTTGCTTTTGGCTTGTTGTTTTGTTTTATTTGGTTTTGCTTTGATTCTTTGAGACAAATTCTCACGGTGGAGTACAGGCATCTGTGAACTCACGGTTATCCTCCTGCCTCAGCCTCATTCCTGCTGGGAGGCATGCACCACCATGTGAAGCTATCATCTTTTTTGAAGTTCTTTGACACTACTTTTAGTCCCCTTTGTGCTCCTCTTCCACAGATTTAGCCCCTCCGGCAGTGTGGTTGCCCAGACCGAGAGATACAGAGCCAGAAGTGAGTCTCCTGGGAGAATGGATGAACCCAAGCAACCCAGCTCACAGGTATGTAGTTGTGGATTATAGGATTGCTACTTAGGTTAAGGAGTTGCTAGTGTGTATGACCAGAATATAATGAGTAGGAAAACAAAGATGAAGGAGAAGTAACAATTTACATATTAAAGAAATACTATATTGAGCCAGTCATGGTAGTATAGTTCTGTGATCTCAGCACACTGGAAGATTGAGGGAGGAGGATGGAAATTTGGAGCCCAGCTTGGGCTTAGTGACTGTGTGAGACCCTGTCTCAGAATGAAAAAGAAAAAAGGCTGGGGATGGAGCTCATTGCAGAGGCCCAGCTTCAACTCACAGCACCACAAATAGTAAATAAATACTGTATGTCTGTTTTTCTCTTAATTCTTGTTTCTGAGCATGCCAGAAATACAATTTTGCTGTCAATAGGGTTTGAGAATTAGGACAAAAACCAAAATTGTGGAACTCAGCTGAGCATGTTGGCACATAAACTATATTCGCAGCTAGACGGGAAGCTGAGGTGGGAGGACCAAAAGTTCCAGACCAGCTTGGGCAACTAGTAAAATCATGTGTCAAAATAAAAATTTAGAAAGAGGGCTGAGGGTGTAGCTCAGTGATAGATCACTTGCCTAAAGTGTGCAAAGTCCTGAGTTTAGTCACCAGTACTGAATAAGAGAGAGGTTGTAGAACTTTACTGATTATAGGAGACCAACCTGTAGACCTCAGAGTAAAACCTCTGGAAAACTATACACAGTAGCTTAGGACATGGAACAGAACGAGTGATATGGGGGATAACATTATATATGTATGCATAGTTATTGGTTTATGTAGTGATGTGTATTTAAAAACAAATTACTCATGCATTTTTGTGTCTTCTATTTTGTGTGCATTTGTTTTGTTTTTTGACATAGGATCTTCTTTGTAGGTCAGGCTGGCCTTGATCTCACTAGGTGGTCCAGGCTGGCCTCAAACTCAAGGTGATCCTCCTACCTCAGCTTTCCAATTGCTGGTATTACAAATGTGTCCCACAAAGCCAAGTCTGTGTTGTTATTTCTTACTGAATCTTTTGTTAAGACTATAATGTCTTTAAAAGGATAGAAATAATGTCTTTTATTGTCTTTGCGACTCTCTTGACAACTATTAAAAATAGTTGGTTTGGTTGATATTTTTGTTTATTGTTCCTCACAGGTGTAAATTGTTGAAGATTAATTTTTTTGAGAGAGGATCTTGCTTTGTAGCTCAGACTGGCTTTGAATTCATTAGGTAGTGTAGGCTGACTTCAGGTAGTGTAGGTGGTCCTCCTGCCTCAGCCTCCTGAGTGTGAGGATTTCAGGCATGTACTATTTCAGGCATGTACTGCCATGCCCAGCGCTGAAGATTGATTTTTTTGGGGGAGGAGTAGGGTACCAGGAATTGAACTTACGACGTTATGCTTGCCAAGCAGATGCTTATACCACTAAGCTAAATCCCCAGCCCCTGAAGATTAATTTTTAAAAAAAGTAAACTCACCCGTAGAACACAATAAACTAAACTCATTTGCCTTTAAAAAGTAAACACTGGTAGATTAAGTTTGCATAGCTAATTTTTTTTTTTTTTTTTTTTTTTTTTTTTGGTGCCGGGGATCAAACTCACGACCATGCACTTGCAAGGCAGGTGCTTATGCTATGAGCTAAATCCCTGGCCCTAGATTACATAGCTAATTGTTTTAGTCTTTGCATTATACTTATAGCATCTTTTATTTAAACCACTGGATATTTATTGTGATATGAAATAGTAATAGCAATAAGCCATTATTACAAACTGTGTTAGTTTTAACAATAGGGAAAAAGTCAAGAGCTTAGAGAAAAGATAAGTTTACTTATATATTTAGGGCTGTTTTTCTCATCTCTCAAATAAGGTGTGATAACCATGCAGATGTAACTGTTCATGCAACTAAATAGAATACAGAAACAAATCTTAACAATGGAAGCATGATACAGACAAATGTATGCAAAAATAAAATAAATATAAGATGTAGACTTCAGTCGCAATTTTGTGAGACTCAGTGTGCTTAAAAGGCAGTTACTTTCCTGGGCATTGTGACATGGCCGTAATCTCTGCACTCTTAAGAGGCAGAGGTCAGATGATGGTAAGTTCAAACTCAGCCTGGACAGTTGAACAACTTAGCAAGGTTCCATCTCAAAATAAAAAATAAAAATGGACTGGGAATGCAGCTCAGTGTGAAGGCCCTGGGTTCCATCTCCATTACTACAAAAAATGAAATGGAAAACTGGAGTTCCGCAAAAGTGTTTACCTGAAGCAAAATGTATAAACTATAAAGAAATAGCAGATATATAATATAGTCTAGACATGACATTAAGGGTGATATGTACAAAAGTTTATTGTGGTGAATTTCTTCCTTTCCCCTGCCACAGAAGACAAAAACAGAGCAAGAATTTCCACTGTAGTAAGAACAAATGTTGAGCTGGTGTTGTGGCACACTCTTGTAATCCTAGCATCCTGGAAGGTTGAAGCAGCAAGAGTCTGGGCAATTTAGAAACTTACTAAGACCCTATCAAAATTAAAATTAAAATTAAAAAAGACTGGGAATATAGCTCATTGCAAAAGTTCTTTCATTTCCTAGTACCAAAGAATGCAAAGAAAAGAAATTTTAGCAGGGTTCGTAGCATATAGTTGTAATCCCAGCTACTCAGAAGGCTAAAGCAGGAAAATCCCAAGTTTGAGCACAGCCTGGACAATTTAGCAACATCCTGTCTCAGAAAATAAAAGGGATTCCTGAGTGCTAGGATTATAGGCGTGTCCCACAATGCCTGGGCTGAGAATATTAAGTGCATACAAAGAAAAATACTGAAGTCAGTACTTCCTAAAAGGAACACAGTAGACAGTACTATCTGAATGCACAGCATGGCAAGACAATACCAATCAATTAATAAATGTTTAAGAAAACATTTTGAGGTATTACTATCCTGTTTGATTTTCATGAGAGTCAGTAAGTTGGCAGTGCATATGATAGCCTTTTCATTTTATGTATGTGAAAACAGCCTCAGAGAAATTATTGTTTGCTTTGTCCTTGATCACCAAGACTTTATAATCCTCATTCTTAATGTGAATTCTGTTTTGATTATCCAAAATGATGAAGCAGAAAGAAGTGTTACATAAGTCAGAATAATCTCAAGCATCAGTCTTATTCTTCAACCCTTGAATTTACATAGTGTTTCCCAACCTCTTGCAAACTGCCTCTATTAGAATTGCTTTATAAAAGAGCATTGTGGGGTCAGGGATTTAGCTGAGTGCCATAAACCCTGCCTCTTAAGCATGAGGTCGTGAGTTTGTTCCCAGGCACAAAAAAAAGAAAAAGAAAAAAAACATTGTCAAGGCCAGACATGGTAGCGCACCACTATAATCCCAGCTCTAGGAAGGCTCTGAGGCAGGAGGATTGCCTTGAGTTTGAGGCCAGCCTGGGCTACATAGTGAGTTCAAGGCCACCCTGAACTATATAGAGAGAACCTGTCTCAAAAACACAAAAAGTAAATAAGTAAACAAATAAATACAGTGTCAGCTAGCATATAAGAAAGAAGAGAAAACATGTTTTTAGAAATTAAGAACATCAGGATTAATTGCTAATTAGATGAATTTTTAATCTACAGTCAATTTAGACACTTTTTGCATTGGTACTTTAGCTTCCACTAAACATACATAATTTCCTCCTAGACATTTTAAAAACTTACTGTAATATAATAGCTTTAGCAGTCAGCTTAAAAAGTCAGTAATTTCTGGGCTGGGTATTTAGCTCAGTGGTATAAGCACCTGCCTGGCAAGTACAAGGTCATGAGTTCAATCTCCAGTACCAAAAAAAAAAGTCAGTAATTTCTGAATGGTGATATTTTGATATAGAGTTCTGAAGCAGAACTGTTTCTAAGTGTAAAACTTTTAAATTAGTTATTGAAAGGAACATACCCCACTACCTTCTAGCTTTTAGATAGAAGACCACATCTCCAGCCAATTACTTTGAGGTCAAGTGAACTTTTTTTTCAAGTAAACTTTGAGTAGTCTTTAAAATGAAGATATTGTTTGCATGATATAAAAGTAGTTTAGATAAAAAAGGCATATTCCCACCTACAAATTACATACCTTTCTATAAAGGTAGTTTCTGCTGGTTAAAATATGTTAGTAATAATAGGGCCATAGATGTAACTTATAGTGTTTGCCAGTATACATTCTGTACTGTTTTGATATACAGCATTAACCACATGTCATGTGTGGTTATTTGAATTTGTATCTTAATTCATTGAAAGCAATTGAAATAAGAAATTTACTTCCTCAGTTGCACTAACTGTATTCTAAATGTTCCAAAGCCACCTGTGGTCAGTGGTTCCTGTGCTGGATGGTACAGATTATAAAACACTTCCATCATTACAGAAAGTTCTTTTGGACTAGCACTGCCTAAGTATCTGATTATTTAGAATATGATTGAAAGACTAGAATCCAAGAGGTGATATAGGTAGGCTCAGATTTTCTTTTTGTTGTAATCAGAGGTTTAATAAGCATCTACTTTGTCAGTCAGAAAATGATTTTGTTGTGTTGCTTCTGCGGTGGTAGAATAGAATATCCTTAGGTTTTTCCTCCTTCCTTCTCAGGTTTTGTTAATGTCTCTACTTTTTGGTTGTAATTTCTTTCATGGTTCTGTGTTTTGCTTTGTTTTTTGGTATTGGGAATTGAACTCAGGACCTCACACTTGCCAGGCAGGCGCCATACCGCTAAGCCATATCCTAATCCTTGCTTCTCTACTAAAAATAAGAACATAGGGCCTGGAGTGAGAGCTCAGTGGTAGAGTGCTCACCTAGTATGCAGAAGACCCTGGACTCAATTCCCAGCAACACACACACACACACACACACACACACACACACACACACACACAGAGGCATGTATCTTGGTAATAAGTAAAAATACAGTTGATTGCCTTTAACATGTGGAATAAGACAAGTTTATTCCTGCTTTCCTTCCTCTCCTGACCCAGGTAGAAGAGTCAGCAATGATGGGGGTAAGTGGCTATGTGGAGTATCTCCGAGAACAAGAAGTATCCGAGCGGTGGTTCCGGTATAACCCCAGGCTCACCTGCATCTACTGCGCCAAATCTTTCAACCAGAAGGGCAGCCTGGACCGCCATATGCGCCTGCATATGGGGATCACGCCATTTGTTTGCCGCATGTGTGGTAAGAAGTATACCCGGAAAGATCAGCTGGAGTATCATATCCGTAAGCACACAGGCAACAAACCGTTTCACTGTCATGTTTGTGGCAAAAGTTTCCCCTTCCAGGCCATCTTAAATCAGCACTTTCGTAAAAACCACCCTGCCTGTATGCTGCTGGAGGGACCTCACAGCATCTCACCTGAAACAACTGTCACATCTCGAGGACAAGTTGAGGAAGAATCACCTCCACAGGAAGAGACAGTTGCTCCTGGGGAAACTGCCCAGGGCTCTGTGTCCACTACTGGGCCAGACTGAAATATTGAGGGGTAGAGGGCAGACCCTCTTCCTCTTTGGGCCATAAGCAACCCACGTCAGGGCCATGGGCTGATACTTAGATTCACAAAATGCCACATCACTAGACCAGATGTTCCCAAGATGTTGCCAAATTAGAGGGTCAGCAACATAAACAGAAGCGCGAAAGGCTCGTCCCCTCCTTCCACAACTCACTTTGGAAAATAATTAAGCAAATCAACTTTCTTATTCAGGGATCAACAGCCTTGGTTTGTTAACTTTATAAGAAAAAAATTTTTAATGAAACTATGATAAATCATTTCTTAGCCAGTCATGTTTGAACACTGCATTTAGATCCATATCATCTTGGTGGCTGTAACTGCCCAGTAAAAAATGCAATAGGAGCCTCGGCCATTTGAAGCAGCCAGTCACAAGAGGAGGTAGTCGTGAGGAGGAGGAATCCTTCCCTGCCAGAATGCGTGCATCTTCACATTTAAAGGAAAAAATGAATGAATACTGGTGGTTCTTAATTGTTCTGGAAGGTTAGACTTTTCTTTGCTGTTACTAGGCAGCCGGTACTTTGCTTGATTGTTTCATGTCATCAGCCGTCTTGGAGCAGTGTTCTAGTGGGCAGCGTCACCTGAAGCACTTTAAGCACCTGGAAATGACACAAGCAGCAAAGTGTTTGTAGTAGGTACTGCTGCATTTGGGGGCTTGAATGTTGTGTTGAGCAAGAGCGGAGCAGGGAAGTGTTTGTATGTTTTGCAAATGTTGAGCAACATAGAGCCATACTGCAACTGCCTGACTGATATGTGTAAACCATAGTGTTTATCCATTCTTGGTGTTACGGAAATGGCTCTAGTTCAGATGCATTAACCTGTTAGGCTGACTACCAAAGTTTTCATCCAGTCTGTTTGGCTCCTACTTCCACACAACAGCAATATTCTACATCAAAAATGTCACTTTCCAGTGAAATGAGCCTGGATTGTATTTTTAATCCACAGGTGTCCATATTTGATAACTTTTATATGAAGTTATAAACAATTTTTCTGCAATATTGTGGTTGAAGAAACTCAACACTATTGTTCTTACTGCAACCACAATGTCATTTCCTTCTACATATGTAGTAGTTTATATTTTCTGTCCAATGAAGAACCTCACTTAAATCTGTCTCGGGTCTGCAAACCTAGGATTCATAAACCACCCATCAGCACCTTGCTGGTGACTCCAAGAGCTTTGATTTTTTAATACACTACAGGGCACTTACCAGAAAACATGCACAATTGTGTTGCAATAAATGATCAAGGGATCAATTTTGATCAGGTCTGGTAACTTCATCATTCCTAAGATTTTTAAAGCTTCAAAGGGACCTTTTTAGTAATTCTGGGTTTTTCTAAGATTCTTAATCCAGCATTGAGTGAATTTACCAAGCATGTAGAGCTTTAGATGCCCTGTCTGCATGCAGAGAAAAAGGAAGAATACTAAGAGATGCAGGCAGATAGATGCTTACAACTTAGAGTGCAAATAGAAAAAGAGAAAAAAAAGCTCTGGTTTCTCTTGATTTTTTTTTTAAATATAAGTATTTAATGGGTTAAGAAATTGGTTTGTTGCAGAGACATAGATGATTGTAACAGAGATTTGGGAGAGACTGGTCAAACCTGTATTAGAGAGCCATTTGTGAGAATGTTAGTTGTGTGCTTCTTTCCTGAGAATGGTTTGTGGTATGTGGAGGGTGGGTAAAAAAAGAAAGACTTTTTTGGCAATGGGAAATTAGAATGTAAAGGGTAGCTTTAAGCAATCTGAGAATTGCACATACACATACAGCTGCACTCTATTTCTATAGAACAGTTTTTTTCTTTTGGAAAAGCAAAGAAGGTCATCTTTTAGAGGAATGGCATGGTGCTACCATTTGATAAGAGCCTAAAGCAGCATTAAAACTGTGTTTTTAGGAGGCATCGACTGGGGCACCCTCTGTAGTTGGATAACAGTATGATAGGTTGAAAACTGTCTCCTAGAGCTTAGGGGGATTAGTTGTGCTCTGTGGAATAGAAAAATAGAGTTGAAATTTGACTGGAATCTTGTGGCTACATTTCAGCTGGTAGTCAAAGTTTTCCATGGACAGATTTTGCCATTGTTAAATTAGGCAGGGAGCTGGGAAGCGAATATGCTGCTTTAAGTGGAGCTTTTAACCTACCAAAAAAAAAAAAAGATAGGTCCACCCTACTTTTGAGACATAGTATGCTGAAAAGCTCTTTATTGCTTTGTTACTTTTTTAGATTACATGTGGGAAAATAGAGCTTTTTAAACTATTACCAAATTGCAAGAGTGAAGTACAGTAATTTCTGTAAAGAGAAAACTTTTTGCAGCATTTGTTAGTACTCCTTTCAGAGTTGCAACAAATGTCTTACATGAAGTAGGGACTGTCGAACTCATATGGAGATAATATGTGTGTCTGGTAGGTTCCCCTCCCCGTCATTCACCTCTGTGTGGGTTTATACTGTAATGATACTGTGAATAGAATGCTTCCTGGTTGTCTAGAACCACATCAGCACAGCCATGTTTGCTGGTTCTTTCTTAATTGACCTAACCAGAGCTATGAAATTCCTGAAAATTTAAGCCAGGCTGGCTGTTAAACAAATTAAAACTTCTGAAAACAATTGCCCTATTTCAGTAAAAAGAGATATTATTCTAAATATCCAGGATTCTTAGCCAGGTTCACTGTGACATTGTTCTAGTTCTTAGCTAACATCACTGTAGAATTGTAGGAGTTGAGTAATGTATTGTATACATTCATGAATACCTATAATCGTGTGTGCATGGAGGATACCTCTTAAGGATGTTCTTAAATGGACTTTAGCTGATGCTGAAAACTCATTACCAAATCTTAATTTGCACATGTCACCTTGTGAAGGGAACTGCATTAGCATTGAGAGCTAAATCATCATTAAGAAACTTAATGCCATGAAATTGTGAGTACTGGGATGATTTTCATTTATTGCGTGGCATTTAATAATAAAGACCTACCTATCTAGTATTCTAAGCAAAAAACATACTGTTTTCATTTTCAGATGCATCTTCTATTCTCTGCAAACTCTAATACCAAGATAAAATCCTGCATTGGCATGACAGTAATGTAGGCAGAAAGGCTCTTTCTAATGACTTGTTCTCTTTTTTACTCAGAACCATATTTACCTCTAAGCTAAGTTGAGTTTTATTTTATGTAAGTTGTAAACTGCCCCACATCATTTTATTATATTAAAGACTATGTAAAAGCAATTTAGCTTGTACAGTACAGATATTGGAAGAAAGCAGTTAAGGAAAGTTTTTCTGTTTTTAGCATTCTTTCATGTTTCCATCTAGTCCTATGAGCCAGGTATGGCTTTCCAAAGGTGGTATGAGAGCAGACATGGATTGTTTTCCTCCTAACTTCATAGATGAGATCTGGTTGGGTTGCCGGTTGTATGGTGGAAGAGTGAAATAGGAAATTTCACTTTTAATTATTAAATATTCTTTGGCCGTGAAATAACTTTTAAAGTTATAAGTGTTACTTGACACTAACTGTAGGCTTTTGTTTTTTAGCTTATAAAAACTGTATTTTATTTAATTAGATTATCCAATGTTTAAAAATGAGGGCAGCAAGGCGTGATGGTATATACCTGCAATCCAGCATTCAGGAGGCTGAGGCAGGAAAATTACAGCAAATTTTGAGAGCAACCTGAACTCTATAGCAAGACCCTGTCTCAGAAAAAAAGGAAAAAGAAATTAAAGCAATGGATAATGAAAAGGTAATAGAATTGAGCAGACAAAAGTATTCTGAATCATGCATTTAATCAAAAAGGAGTTGGAGTTGGGCATGGTAGCACATGCCTATAATACCAATACCGTCTAGGCTGAAGGAGGAGGGTCACTGTGGGTTCAAGTCCAGCCTGAACTACATACATAGTGAGACCCTATCTCAAAAAAAGGAGTTGAAATCCTGAAAGTTTTCCTTTTTTCATCTATAACAAGTGTGATTTCTTCTTCAAATGTCTTTCCCCTTATCTGTATTTGTATTTGTTCAAGGAGTAACAGATGAATCCTTATGGAATTTAGTCTCTGAAAATGGAGCTCTTATGCCATATGAGGAAGAATTTAAAATATTTTGGTAGGTGAGATTTCAAAAAAAGACAAGCAGTTGTCAGACATGAAGGTTCGGCAAACCACAGTCCTCATGCCAAATCCTAAATCACCTTTTTGTAGAATCAAAATTATATTGGAACAGGACCACATCTATGCATTTGGTTCTTATTTATTGGCTCTTTCTAGTGTAATGATAAAAGTACATGGCCTGTACAACTCGGAAATATTTACTGTCTGGAATTTGACAGAAAAAGCTTGCCATCTCCTAAACTTGATTTGGAGTACTTGCCCTCAAAATTTGTTATTCCTGCCATTGTACTTCTAGATGAGTGTGGTTAAGGTTTTAAATTCATGCTGTCATATTGTATTGTTTGTTAATTTTCTTATTTGTTTTTGCTGTGCTGGGAACTAAACCCAGGGCCTTGTGCATGGTAGCCAAGTGCTCCACCACTGAGCCAGGTCCCCAGCCCTTTATATTTTTATTTTGAGACAGACCTCACTAAGTTGTTCAGGCTAGTCTTAAACTTCCACCCTCTGCCTCAGTCTCCTAATTATTAGTGTTCACCACCATGCCATAAGTTTCTTTAAAGAGCTTGCCATTTTTTCTAGATCCTTTTTTCATAAACCATTTTGTTTTCCTATTTCATGATTTCCATTGTTCAGAGGGTATTTAAACTGAGTTTATGATTTGTTCTTGCCTTAAAGGGATAGGTAGATTAAAGTTTAGGATGGTAGTTGTTTATAAAGAGATTTTTTTTTTTTTGTACTGGGACTTCAGGCTTTCCAAGCAGGCACTGTGCTGCTGAGCTGTATCCCTAGCCCATAACAAGATGATTCTTACAAATAATTCCACACATGATAATATGGTGTTAACTGGATACCATGTTTATATAGAATGCTATTTGAAAAGTAATGTTTTGGCTGGTCCGAAGGTAGTGAGTTATCTCAATTGATTGTTCACAGTCAGTACAGATTGAACTCCTTGTTCTACTCTTTCCCCCCTTCTCATTACTGCACTTGACTAGTCTAAAAAAAGAAAGAAGAGTAATGTTTTTGTTTTTGTTTTTGTTTTTTTGTCTTTTTCCTTTTTATCGGTACCGGGGATCGAACTCACGACTGCCTGTTTACAAGGCAGGTGCTTATGCTGCTGAGCTAAATCCCCAGCCCCATAATGTTTTGTTTTGTTTTGTCTTTTTGCAGACGAGGTTTCACTATGTAGTTCAGTTTGGTCTTGAACTGACTATGTAGCCCAGGCTGGCTTCAAACTCATAGCAGTCCTCCTGCCTCAGCCTCCCAAGTGCTGGAATTACAGACATGCACCACCACACCCAGCCAAAAGTAATGTTTTTATAAGGGAGTTTGCCATTCCTGTGAATTAACTTGAACTTGTTTGCATCATGATGGCCAGAATGAATTTATTCCCGTTAGAATTAAAAAATAATTTGAGTAGTTTCAATTCTTACTAGAAGTACTGTTTTTCTAGATTAGAAATTTGTACTTTTCCCCTATCTTCTATGTCTTTATTTTATTTTCCCAAAGAAATTCTGTTTTTACATGGAGTAATAAAGGCCAAATCTTCCTTTTTTCTCCCTCCCTGGATGTTTTAAATGGAATGAAACATCTGAAGATTTCAACTCTTCTTTTAGACCTATTTTTCCATGTGTTGCTGTCTTTAATTCTTATATCCTATATCATAATTGAAAATACTGTGAATCTTATATCTGAAATAATCTGTAATGCCAGAAATTAAAATATCTCCTGGGAGCAGGTCTCCTATTCTGTGAAATCACTTGTCTCCACTGATAGGTATTATGTATGAGACTCTGTTCCCTTAAGTAAATTCTAAGTATTTTTTAGTACCAGATAACATGCTTGGAATTTGTGTAACAAAATCGGATTTAGACATAGTTTAGATGTAGCTTTTGATACTTGAGACTCCTAAATCCACTTGATCAGTGTCTGGGAAGTATGCTTTTAAAAAGCCTGCACTTCTCACTACTGAGATAAAAGTTTAAAAAGAAGGGAACAGAATTAGCTATACTGTGTTTTACTGACATAATGCAGTTAATGCTCAAAGTAATCCTATGAGGTAATAGCAGTAATACTAAAAATGGCCAACTTTTTCAATGTTTATGTGCTTAAATTAATCGACTCATCTAATCCTATGACAACCCATGAAAGTAGATGCTGTTGTTACCTTTATTTTAGAACGGAAGAAACAGTTTCATTGAGGCATCCTGACACATCTTCATAGACTCCATTGCCTCTAGTAGGTGTGATTTTACCACATTTTATAGACAAGGAAACCGATGAGCCCAAGGTTGTAAATTCCAGGACCACTGTTTATTCCATATCCTAGACTGTCTTCACTACATCACATGCACTGCATTTATTATGAAAAGTTGGAACATACTGGATTATACAAGAGGCAGTAACAATATTGAATTCATAATTCAAGGGAAAGTAATTGGATTTTTTCAAAAGATCATGCATTTGATCTCAGAGCAGATTTAAATAGTAATTACTTGCTGAGGATATTGCCCACTGATTGAGAGGAATCACTCATTTGGTAGGTCTAATCCTGAGTGAATGAGTTACTACCAAGGCAGAAATTGAAAGATAATTTTTCACTTGGGCTGCGTAACAGACTACTCCAAAGCTTGCCAATTTAAAACAACTTCTACCTTGTAGATCATGATTTTTCAAATCAAGTGTTAAGGGAGGGCTTTCTGGGCAGCTCTGCTCCCTACAGCAACCAGCTTGTCTGGGGGTGTATTCAGCGGATAGTTGGACTGGTCTGGTAGGTCCCAGAGATCTCACAGCTAACAGTTTGGGGCAATCAAGGTCAGGCTCAGGGGGCTCCTCTACTTCGAGTCTCAGGACTCTTATATATTCTTTCTGTAAGGATCATTTGACTTGTAGGGCAGCTCATGCCTTCCCAGAAGCTGGGTGGAAAGTGCCAGTCCTCTTAAAGGCCGGACCTAAAACTGTCATATGGTTATGGCCATACTATTGATCAGCTACGATGTGTAGGAAAAGAAATGATACCTCGTTTTATGAAGGCATTTCAGAGATTTGGGGCTGTCTTTAATTTCCTATAAGTCACTTTAGAGGTTTTTTTTTTGGTTTTCGTTTTTTCTTGACTCACCTGTGGTCAGTTCATAGTCCTATAGAATTCATTGACTATTTTTATTATGGATCAGTGAAGGATCCCCAAGGAGAATGAAATGGATGCCTGCAGCAGATTAAGCTACTCACTTCTCCCATTTTTTTTTTTTTTTTTTTTTTTTTTTTTTTTTTTTAGACGGGGTCTTGATGTGCAGTTCAGGCTGGCCTTGAGCTCACTTTGTAGCCCAGGCTGGTGTCGAACTCCCAAGGATCCTCCTGCCTCAGCCTCCCGTGTGCTGGGATTACAGGCGTGAGCCACCACACCCAGCTCTCATGTTTCTTTTAAGGCAAACTTTGCATTTTTCTGTTTTGTACCCTGTTTTAAGTTGTGATCATTTACCTGTATTTGCTGTGAAGCCACAGATACTGTACATGCTGAGCCTCATATACTCCATAGGGAGTAAAATAACTTACTGTCAGAGAACTTATTAGAGATGTCATGTGCATTTTAAGTTTCTGAATAAATGACTGTGGTGTGGAAAAATGTAGCTACTGAATTACTCAACAGGAGTTTCTGTCATGAGGCCAGATAAGTTACACTGTTGAGATTTTGGTCTTGATGACAAATTGGTTCATCCTGTTTGTATTGCATACCATAGAGGAAAATCTTTTGCCTGACTTTACATGTTGCAACTCAAAGTTCAGCAATCGCTACCAGCCTCTCATTCAAAAAAAAAAATTAAGTTTTTTGTTTTGATCTAGACTTGTCTGATTTGAGTCACTTTTATATAAACCCTTGCTATCTTATAATGAGAGGGAAAAAAGACTTCCTGCCTCAAGCACAAATATGGGCAGAGAATGAATTCTGCTCTGTGAATGATCATCCCCAAAACAGAACCCCTGGAAAAGAAGAGTTTTTAAGGTTATCCATTCCATGTGCTGTGGTTTCCTGGAGAAGCAGTCCTGACGGCTTCTTGCTGATCCTCTCCAGTGCCCATGCAGTGAATAGATCTCTGTTCCTAAGTCAGGCCTCAGGAATTGCAAATACAGGAAATAAAAGAGATTCTCACAGCCAGAGACTTGATTTGGGGCTCTGCAGAACATTGGGAAGGGGGAAGGACACCTTGGCATTTGCAGGTGGATAACTAGAGATGGAATGTTTGGGGTTTCTGTGTATAACCATCAATAAGATTAGGGGATGGGTAGGAGAGTTTTACTAAAGGTAGCAAAAGAAACAAGATCTGAAGAACAAGTATGTGCCAAGTAAAAGGAGGGAAAAAAGGACACCCTACAGTACGAGGGTGGGCTATTGTGAAGAGAGCACAGAGTGGCCCAGTTAGATTTTAATATGTAGTGGTTGGGGCAAATTTTTAATGAATAAAAGTGCTTTAAACTTTCCCCTTTGAGCCGCATCTTCACCCTGTTAGAATTAATCCACCTTCAAAGTCTTCATTTTATGCAGAGAAAAGTTTTGAAAATATAGTTCCAGGGAATGAAAATCTTGTGATAATCTAAGAAAATCTCATACTTTCTATTACATGTCTTTGAGCCCCTCCTCTAGATTCTCTGTGATCCTAAGTTTGAATTCAGGCAGTGGTTGCATGGAAAATAAACTCTGTGGTCTTCAATTACAAAAGAGAACAAGGTCAGAAAAAGAGAATCTCGTAGATTGACAGAATATTTTGTTTCTTTTGAGTATCATAAGCCTAAACCATTTCAAGCCAATCACAGCAACCTAAGTGAAGCAGGCACATCTTGAAGCAGGTGGCAGTGACGTATTTTAAGGACATATTTAAGCTGCTGAGTTTCCCATACAGTTACAGAATCCCAACTATAGTGGTTAAGAGCCACTCAAAAACTGAAATGCTATGCAGGGAACAAAGCTTACAGTGCGTTTCCTCTGGAAACCAAGATGCTAAGACAGAGGTCACTCAAAGTGTGGCTCAAAGCCACCTCTGGAATGGCTATCAGATAGCAGAAATATTTAGAATTTATGTAGTATTTCTAATATTTTTACAGAAATAATTGTATACGTTGAATTTTTTTAAAAATCTGCCTGTTTTCTTTTTTGGAAGACTGGCCCAATAAAAATAACACTAATATAATTCAGTTGTATATGCATGTGCATTGAACACAGAATGGTATACTAATGATAGTTCACACAAGTAAGTTTTGTGGGGAATTCTGCTATTTTCGTAATATCTTTTGTCATAAGTGTATGTCTATAAATATATTTACTCATTCATCATGACCTTGATAGCATGGAAGCATTTTGTTAGCTGTATTATTGATTCTAAAAATGAAATTCTTGGCAAAGTAGGCTGTGAGAGCATCTTGTTAACTTTGTATTTTGGCTAAGAAATTCTTGCACTTTATATAAAAATGTTTAACACAGTGTATCCACTTAGTGAAGCTATTCTTTATAGAGACCCAAGATTTAGGTGTGGAGTATATGTTTAAAACCCTGCCAAAAAGAGGGACCTCAAAAAAAGAAACTTGGCTTGCATCTACCTGAGAAGAGTGGGGATTAATACAATATTTCAGTTGAAAGTAGCTGTTGTTATAAGCATACTCTAGCTGTGAATTACAGTATTGCCATGAGTTGCCCGGCTATGTGTGAGTTTGAGTGTATGTGAGAAAAAAGGTGTCGAATGAAGGCAGATAAAGTCAATGTAGAATATTCTACCTCCCACGAACGACTGAGCATATTTCAGGCTGGTTTGCAGCCTGGGCAGGAGCCCAGCTCCTCTGCCACCTCTCCCCTGTGCTTTTCTGCATAGTACTCACTTCAGCCCCTTACCTCTGAGCCCTGGGCTGAAGCACGAGTGTAGCTTTCTGTAGCAAGCGGAGGAAATCCAGACCTACAGTACAGAGGCTACAGTAGCTGAAATTCTTGTCAGGTGCAGATGCTAATGTTTGATTTTATTGCCTACATCAGTGGCAGAACACAGTGCTTAGTGCTTTTATCCACTGGCTTCTATTTGGCAAGAGTAGCTGGTGGAGTCTTTGTTTTTAGAAATGTACCCACTCTTTTAATGAGTGAAACATTTATTTGAGTTTGTTTTCTTTCTTAATCACCTTTTGTAATTCATCGTTTAGGGTCTGGAATATTAACCATATTTTCCTGATAAAGAGCCTCCCACTAATGTTTTATATGGAGGTGTGGGTGATGGGATTTTCAGAGGATTTATTTTGCTTTTAATCACTCCAAAGAGGGATACTCTTGTTTAATGCTGATACTTGAATGTTACAGGTAGAAGAGATTTCATTTCAGTAGTAAAATACTATTAGGCAAACCTGATCTCAAAATGCAGTACTGCATTCAGTGGATTTCCTCTTCGGGGTCAAATCGGCTTGCTGACCTTGTGAACATTTGTTACAGTAGAGAAGGGAGTGTTGCTTTAACACTTACCCTAGCAGCGAGCGCATTCAGCACCTTTTCATTCTCATCCCTGTTGGGAAGACCTAAACAGAGATCCCTGGGGACCTGTGACAGTGAGAGAGGGATCCATTTGGGGTTGCAACCTGTGTTTAGATACCAACTAATAAGTATTTACTTTCCTGGGACTTTGAGTAGGGTACATGGAGAATACAGAGAATGGTAACATTCCAAATAATGAGACAGACATTATTCACACATGACAACTGACAGAATGAGATCTGCCCACATACAGCGTGAGCCTGTGGGTAGTTGAGGTGGTAAACCATACTATTCGCTGCAACTTTTTCTTTTATAACTGTAGTTCTCAGCCTATAAGCCATCCTACTGTAATAGTATCAGGAATTAATGTCAGCTTAGGAAATATTTCCCTCTGGCTTACCATTTGTGCCCAGAGTCTTCTAGGCTTGCCCCGTGATGTTTCACTGTAACATGTACTTCAGGTTCAGTCTTACCTAAATCAGGGTGGGTGGATGTTGCTGCCTTTTGTGGTCAGTGAGTGGGGATTCTGTTTATTTAAAAATAGAACAGTGAGACATGATTAGGCGATTTCATCAAGACCTATCAAATCCATGAGTCTGGGAGGAAGCTGTGGAGGCTTATTTGCCTTTGGCTTGGTTGGACAGTGGCACTGAGCTTTGTATTACAGAACCATTGGCCTGCACCAGTAATGCTCCACCTGGCTGTGCGTTAGAACTGCCTGGGACTGCTGGACCTTCCATTTCACTGCTGTGCTGCCAGGAGTTTTAAAAGCCCCCAGTGGGCTGAAAGGTATAAAGAAGGTACCTAGAGTGCACAAGGCCCTGGGCTCAGCATCCAGCGCAATGAGTTGAAGGTGCAGTCAGAAGCGGATCACTGCCTCAGTAATCTTTGGGGGTCTTTGGCAGCTGGTTATATGATACCTTTGTTGATTTCCCAAGCATGGCTCTCAGTTTAATTTATTGAAGGCCAGGGTTCAGGCAGTAAAATGAATCATCTGTTTCTCAGAGTAATTGTAGAGGGCGATACTGTGATCTCCAGATTCCTCGCTATAGCAAACACAATGTACATAAGTAACTAGAACAAAGTTTCAAAATCTGGTCTCTAGAATCTTCTTTCCTTTGCATGTGCGACTGAGTGGAGAGTTCTCAGATTTGCTAGCTGAAATGGAGCGCTTGAATGCATTAAAAGAGCCAAGCTGCTGGGGGTAAACAACGGGAGCAACGTTACGGTTGATGGAGAAAAGGAAGTTATCCTGCCTGAGATGACTGCGATACCTTGATTATTGTCTTCTCATCTGTCTTCTAAGTGGGATTTCTAAGTGATTCACTGTTCCTTGTGAATGAAATGTACTTGCTAAGGCTTAAATATTTCTGGGTATTATGAAATGTGAAATGAGTTATTGAAGCATCTTTGTCCTAGTATCACAAAAGATCTAAGCCAGTCATTCCAAAATGAGCTTCTTGTCTTTCCTTCTTCTCACCCCTGGCAGAAAAGAAGTTACAGTGGCCACTGTAGTTTGTCTCCTGCCTATAGTATCTCTTGTCTAGTAATAGGTAGTGGGGAGTTGTTTTATTACTCATTAAAAAAAAAGCGAGAACCACTGTTCAGACTAAGTAGCTACCAAGTGACTTCTGATCCATGAAAGAAATGTGTATTTAAGAGCAAGTTCATGTGTTGCAGTCTCTTTTCTGAGCATATTTTGGACCCTGTAGAAAATTTCACTGATACATGGCCTATTGATCATTTGGAATTTAAAGAGGTGGTGTATGCAAGAAGAAAAGGTAGATTGAGGGAGAGGTTGGTTCTTAGTTCAGAGGATCGTATTACAATCAGACTATGAAGTTTTTCATAGCCATTAGGCCTTGCTGTTGCTTAATATGTAAATGCTGCAGTGTCAGAGGCAATGCCTCCTATGCCTTAGAAAATCTGCTGAAGGCTTCCTATCTATGGGTGGGATAGAAAAGCAATAGCCTTTGGGACTCCAAAAAGAGTAGCCCCTGGGGGTTTTCATACTGAAGAAGATTATAGAGTACTGTGAACTGTGTTGAACTTTATGCAATTATACTGCACTGAATTTTAAGATTTCATGGGGGAGAGGAGGAGGATAGGGAAGTAAGACTAAATGTACAAGCATCTGCCTGCTACAAGCAAGGAATAAAACAAATTCCTAAAAGGAATTCCCTACCAGGACTGTGAAGTTAAGTCAACTTCCTCTACCTGAATGGGCTGGCTTGCTGATTCCCTCTAAGCCTCTAAGAAATGCTTTCGGAAACAGCTAGATACATATTAGCCTGGCTGCAGTTCACTCCCTTGCTCCCATCCCCTGCCCTTGACAGAAGAAAAGCATCCCAAACTACAGGCAAAAGAGATGTGTTTTATCTGCCCATTGGCTCTTCATCTACTGTGATCTGTGTTCACATTTTTAGCTGCTGCACTATTTTGTGCTTGACTGCAGAACTTAAAAGATTTGCTAGTTCAGTCAGGAACCAATGGCTTCCTCCTCCTCCTTTTAAGAAATCTTAAAATCAGTAAAAGGAGAAGTGCACTGGAAGGGCATTCAGGTTTCCTGGTTCCTCATAATTTCAGGATGGGACCCATTCATGCTCTGCCTCCAAGAGGTGAACAGAAGGCTGAGGATTCACAGGTAGAAAAGTCAATGTAGCAGAAAATTGGTTTCCTTCAGATGGACATAGTCTGAAAGAAATCTACCAACTGTTCTCTATGGTGCTTATATGATGGGTGACAATCGTCTCCCGTCCACTTGTCCCTGGCACTGTGCCTTCCCCCTGGTCACTGTGAAATGCAGATCACACTGGACTCAGAGGCCAGAATCCAGGACAAGTTCTCCCTTCTCATTTGAGCCCATCACTTCTTTCTACAGCTGAAAATGTAGCATTTACTTCTCTTTGAGAAACTTGGGGTCCCCCTCCAAGGAACAGTAAACTGTTTAAAAGAAAAAAGATGATAATAAGACTCTGGTGGTAGCTATCAGATAAAGAGATCATAGGAAGATTTCGCTCCCCCTCGGTTGATACTGGTAACAGCAAGAATCAACTGTGTCCACATCCCCTGAGTTTCTAAAGGCTCCTGTAGCACTTGTAGCAGTTTCTCTCCACTTGCTAATCAAGGAGGAGTCATACTAAAACAGACAATCAGTTTCTAAAATGTAATCCCTGAAAGGGAATGACATAGGGTATTTTTAACTATAGTTAAAGAGTTTGCCAGTCTGTTTTTATCCTTTGGAGGAAAAGGAAAAAAAAAACCTAACATTTGAAATTTCTGGTTTTTTTTGTTTTTTTTTTTTCTCTTTTTATTGGTACCAGGGATCAAACTCACAACCGCCTGCTTGCAAGGCAGATGCTTTTGCCGCTGAGCTAAATCCCCAGCCCCTCTGTTGTTTTGTGTGCAGCATTTAATATAACAGTGGAAAGCCAGTGGGCCAGGAGAGCACTCCCCTCCCACTGGCTTCCTGTGCTGAACTGGCTGCATGCATCTTACTCCCTAAGACGACCTGTTTTTATTATGACGTTAGTATAAATTTCCATATATACATGGAATAGGAGTTTCTCTCACCCCACCCGTGTTTAATCATCACTTAAATGTAAACCGCCACCTCTTCCCTCCCCCTTCACTGAAAATAATGCACTTTAATTCCCAAGGAAAATGGCTAGCTGGTCCTGGCCCTGAAGCCAGAGTACTTCAGGAGGAGAGCTGAGGAGGGGAACTCTTGGCAGACCTGTACATTAACCAAGTTTCCTAATGTGAACACATAAAATAACATCCATTTTTAAATGGCCCCCACCGTCTCCCTGCCAAAGGAAAAAAGAAACAACAGCCAAATTTAAAAGTCTTCAAGTGGCCTACCTTGATTTTGAAAGTTTCACTGGTTTAATTTATTGTATTTTAAAATTACTTTTTTTTTTTTTTTTTGGAGACAAGGTCTCACTTTGTATTTAAGGCTGGCCTTAAACTCTGCAATCTTCCTGCCACAGCCTCTCAAGGGCTGAGATTACAGAAGTGTACCACTACGCCTGGCTAAAATTAGCTGAGGGCTGGGGATGTAGCTTAGGGGCACAGTGCCTGCCTGGCAAACGGGCGGCCCTGAGTTTGATTCCTGGTACCAAAAAATAAAAAAATTAGCTGATAACTTACCAGCTACTAAATTGTCATAAGTTTCTGTGTTCAGTGGAGGCTGAGATGTGTTTGATTGAAAGTCAAGTGAAAACAAGTGATCCAGAATTGCATCATCTCCAAGTATCAGGTCTGTTGGCCCTTACTTTGATGCTGGGACTCTCCTCCTGCAGGTTCTGTCCTTCCCTCGACTACAAGCTAGTAGTCCTTGGCGGGTAGCATGTCTCCTAGAGCCCCAGGAGCCCTGGAGGGTCGGGGTGGGGGGAGGGCGGGCCAGCTAGGGTTGGGGGAGGGAGATTCAAAGAGAGTTAAGAGATGGGTTTATATAAACATATTTAAAGCAGTTTAGCAAAAGCTTTCTCGTTGAACAGCTTTAAGAACAATGTGAATGAGATCTTAGGAACTTGGTTAGTAATCTGAAAAGTCTATTAATGTATACTTGAAATTCTGTTTGTATAAGAAATGCATTTCCCTCTTTATTTTAACACTGTGTAAAAGAACATTATGCATGTGAGTGGTTTGAGAATTAAATGGTTAATACTCAAATTTGGATGTGTCTTATCTGTGCTCAGAGAGATTGTTCATTTACATTTTTTTTTAACATGAGAATCTTGAGATTTCAAGCTTCCCCTTTGGGATGTCTGCCACTTTCCAAGATGCAACAGTGACATAACTAACTCCCTACTTTCTTGACCCAGGTGTGTTCACTGGGTGGAAAACAGTTGAAAACATCATTTTAATAAACGCCCCAATACATCTGTTTTTCCATCCCTGGTCTTTATTTCACATAGTTGTATCTTTTTTTTTTTTTTGTCTTTTTTTATCGGTACCCGGAATCGAACTCATGACTGCCTGCTTGCAAGGCAGGACTTATGCCGCTGAGCTAAATCCTCAGCCCGGTTGTGTCCATTTTTGAGATGGGAGCAGTTGTATTTACCTTTATTTTTGTTCACAAACCAAAATAGGAAGAAGTACAAGGAATAAGAATATTTTAGTTAACACAAGGGTTGGCTACTCTCCCCATGAAGATAATAGTGTTGAGAGTAACTTCCCGTATAAGAACCAGGAAGGGCCTGTTGGCCTTAAAGATCACCCTGTTGGGGTTCAGCGAACGGCCAGCGAGCAGGACGCCCGTACTCGCTGCTGCTTCACTGCCTTCCTCATTCACCTGCAGAGCAGAAGGGAAACAAGATGGCCAGTTAGCTGCACCGCAGGTCTCCACAGGCAGGCGAGCCACCAGCAGACACAGCCATTCTCATATGCACTGGGCTCAGACTGCCTTGCCCCAGCCCCATTCACCCAGGGAGTGGAACACACTGGTGTTCACTCGAGTCTGTGACATTCCAGTCATGTAACCCCGAATCAGAAATCTGAATGTACTGAAGGTCACATCTCTGGCTGGCATCGTGAACCCACATGGTGCCACAGAGAGTATTTTGTACCAGCTGATAGCAGAGATTCTGATGCAAGATCAGTGCTCTGTAGTGGAAAGGGGGCGTCAGAAATCCAGACGGCACTCCCCTAGCTGCTCCTCTCTGGTCCCTCTAGTTAGAAGAGGGGCTCCGGCACCTGGATGAGTTTTTATTAGAATTATAGACTGGGGTTTGGACTTGGCTGATACGCAGAACCACGACACATCATTGGAAGATATTGCCTAATTGCTCAGAGCAAAACTGACTTCCAAAAAAAAAAAAAAACCTGACTGTTCCTGAATTTTTTAAATTTTATTTACTTTTTCGGTTTTTTGGGACAGGCTTTCACTGTGTAGCCCAGGCTGACCTTACACTCAGTGATCCCTCCCCAAGCGTCCCTGGGTTTTGGGTGTTCCTGACAAAGCACCTTTGATCCCTGAGTTAGGGAGCTGATTTTTGTTTGTTCAGTTCATTTGTTGGTTGGTTTATTTATTTGAGACAGGGTCTGGCTGTGTTTCCAGGCCAGCTTCAAATTTGTTCTTATGTTTGTTTCCCTGTTTGGGGTTGTTTGTTTTTGGTTTGTGACAGGGTCTCACTATGTAGCCCAGGTTGGCCTCGAACTCTTGGGATCCCCCAGCCTCAGCCACCTGAATGTTGGGATTACAGGCGTGTGCCACCCTGCCGGGCAACTTGCTGGTTTTGGGGACGGTCTCCTTACGTAGTTCAGGCCACCCTTGAACTTGCCGTGATCCTTCTGCCGCAGCCTCCTGAGTGCCGGGGTCACAGGCGGGCACACCATGCCCAGCTCTCAGACTGTAAAGCAGGCCGTCTTCCCATGTCCCCTTGCCTGGCCTTGTCAATGCTGGGGTCACAGGCTTTGTACCGCTGGCTGGTGTTTTGTCCCCTCCCTGCTCTTCCAGTCCCCCGTCTTCACCCTCTACCTCCTCACGTTTTCATTCTCTAGAACCGCAATTGTGAGCAGACCAGAGCTTTTACAAGCTCAGCATCCTTCAGACTCCTGATGGCCTCCCTCTGCCCTTCTTCTTACCACTTTCCTCAGAACCAAACATTCCCCCCCAAGAGTGGAGCCCCGGACCATTGCAGGGCGCCGTGCTGGAACCTTCCCTGGGACCCTACGACGCCAGCCCCGTTCTCGGCTCTGGGCACTCCACACCAGCCCGTCTCCCTTCCCTTCCCAGCTGCCTCCCACCAAGAACATCCGCACCGCTGGTTCCCACGTCCCCTAGGAGCTCTGAACAGAAACCGATTCTCTGCCGTGTCCCGAAGTCTCCGTGGGAGAAAAAGCAGTGGGGGGGGGGGCTGAGCCGGGAGGCGCCCGCGCCGCGCCGGGGCGCACCAGCAGTCGCTGCGGTTCGCGCAGCACAAGGTCCTGTGCATTGTCCGCAGTGCCCTGTTGTTCCCCAGGATGCCTCGAGGTTACCGATCCACACTCAGCGCCATCCCTCACCCGGTCATTCGGTTCTCTTGTGCCACCAGCCCCTTCTGTCCTGTTTCCTGGGGAACAGGCGAGGCATCTTCTTCCCCTCCAGAATTATTTGTTTGTTTTTGTCTTTTTGACACCGGTGTCGTTATGCAGCTCAGGCTGGCCCTGCGCTCACTTTGCAGCCTCGGCTGGTCTAGAACGTGCAAGGATCCTCCTGCCTCACGTCCTAAGTGCTGAGATGACGGGCTTGCGCCACCGCGCCCGACAATGCTTTTCATTTTAGGACTCTCCTGGCTCTCAAGTCCTTCTTGTGGCATTGCCTTGCCTTTCCCTGTGTCGCCCTCCCCGTAAGTGTCCCTGCGTGACCCGACGGCGGGAGGGGTAGTCTGCAGGGCACGCGGTGGCCGCCGGAGCTGCGGAGCACAGGAATCCTGCCGTTCCCCAGCCCGTGTCGTCTGTGCCCCGCGCTCCAGGGTTACAGGTCACCCGAGACACCGCTGAGTCAAATACTGAGCTCAGAAACGCAGCGCGGAACTCACCTCGAGAAACGCCTTGTGGAACGCGTCGGAGACGAACAGGTCTTCCCGGCCATCGGCGGTAATACCTAGGAAGACCAGAGGGGGCGCTGAGACCCAGCCGGCCGGCTTCACCCCCAGGTAGGGGGAGCCGGTGTCGCTTAGCGTCCTTTGGGGCTTTTGGAAAGTAGAAAAAAAATCTTGGAACTTCACCTAACGATATTCCCCCTATAAGTATGTGCTAAAAATCCAACGTAGCTCTCGTGGATTTAATCTCACGCTTCCGCTCTTTTGGAGTAGAGGTTAGAGTAGTAGGTTAGATTACTGTTCTTAAGCCTCACATCCTTGTATGGATAGCTTTCTTTTCTGTCTGGCAAGAATGTATTTTTTTTTTCTTAGTACTGAAATTTGAAACTTGATGCCCTCATACAGTCTCGACAAGTGCTCAACCACTGAGCTACACCCCTGCCCTTTTTATTTTGAGACAGGACCTAACTTCCCCAGGCTGGCCTGCAACCTGGGATCCTCCTGCATCAGCCTCCCAGGTAAACAGGATTACACGTACGTATCATCACCCACAGTCAGTCTGGCATGTTGGGGACCACAAATTCACAGTAACTGGTTTTGTGGGATGAAAGGAAGGATTGGGGTTGTTGATACCACCCAGCAGGGATTTCCCACTAAGATCAAGTCATCTCAGGATTATACTCAAGGACAAGATACTTGTAAGCATAAGATCATCTACGCCTTCTTAAATCATCATAGGATTATACTCGGGTCAAGACACTGCAAAAGAGTATCTATGCCCTCTGGAGTGGAGTCTTTAGAGAGTAAAAAAGGTCAGGTCCAGAGACATTAACTTTCCAGCCACTGTTAAAATATGATACTTGTTTCTGCTTTTTATTTTTCTTGCAACATTCTTGAGACTGACAATTGAGACTCTTGGTCAGGTTCCTGATACTGACAATCGGGACTCTTGGCCTGGTTCCCGATATTGGCAACTTTTGTTGTTGTTTTGAGACATGGCCTCTCTATGCAGTTCAGGCTGACCTTGGGCTCACTTTGTAACCCAGGTTGCCCTTGAATTTGCAACAATCCTCCTGCCTCAGCCTTCCAAGTACTGGAATACAAGTGTGTGCCAAGGCGCCCATCAATCTGGCAACATTTTAAAGAAGGGCTAACTTTCAGAACTAATTTAAAGACAGCCCAGTAAAGGTAAATCCAATTACCTAGTATTATAAGCTTTTTTATGTATTTTTTTCACCATTATATAGTTTGTATTTGCAAACTGAAAAATAACATACTTGGCTGTATGTAAGTGAATAAAATTGTATGAGATATATAATTTTAGAACTTTGGTAAAATGGAAAATATATCAAAAATAAATAAATAAAGATCTGCATCAGCAGTTATAAATATCAACAGTAGCAAAAACAAAGACGACACGGGGTCTGTGCAGTTCACAGGCACATTCTTCTGAGCGCTTAAGGAACAGACAGTACCTATATTTTATAGCATATTCTAAGTAAATAGTTGTTAAATAATTATTTTAACTTTTTAATATATGTTTAGATGCTCTTATTTATCTTTGTGAGACAGGGTCTTGCTATGCAGTTCAGGCTGGCCTTGCATTTCCTTTGTAATCCAGGTTGGTCTTGAATTTGCAAAGATCCTCCCTACCTCAGCTTCCTGCGGATTACAGGCGTGTGCCACCACACCTGGCTCTAGATTGCTATTTTTAAAGGATGGTGAATTGAGCAATCACAGCAGCTTAACACCATTAACTTGGAAAAAGTTGGCAGTGTCTGTCCAAGTGACACTGAAGAAAACAAAGAAGCCTTTGGCACGTTAGGTGAAGGGCTGCTACATGTCAGCTAGGCCCAGATGTCCCCAGAGCTTATGTCTGTCTGTGCTCTGAATTCCAATCTGCTTTTGTGTCCTTCTCTACCTGGTTTCATCTATGAGATAGACTGGCAGGCGCTAGTGTCGGCTGGGCCCATGGAACTAGACCCGCAAACTGTCCTCTTTGTAGATAAGGAGACCGAGGTCCCCAGAGGGCAGAGGGTTTCCACAAGTTGGCAGTCACCCTGGGATTGGAATCCAGAAATCTTGACCTGAGGCTCCTTTCCACTCTTTCACTCGAATTCAGACCACCGTGGGGACAGAGAGGAAGAAAGCCCTGCCTGGTACCAACCTGGGAGTTTGGACTTCTCAGGAGTGAACAAGTCGACCAGACCCATTTTTTGCAGATGCTCCTTCAAACTGAAGCTGTCCTCAATGCGGAAACGTGGTATGTGGACCACCAGCAGGGTCTCCACCAACTCGTCCAACCACTCCTGCAGCAGCTCTGGGGTGAGCTCCTGCTCCATCTTGTCCAGGTTTTTCCCTGGCCCGGGCAGGATGAGCACCATGGTGATGTCATCACCTTTGAAGGGCAACTCCAACACCTGGGTACCTTCTGCCACACGCCGGTACCGAAACTTGCTTTCCTGGTACATCATGGAGACCAAACACTTCTCCTTGTTTGCCTTGTGAAACGGCTCCTGCTTTGTGCTGTCAGGGCTGAACTTTGACTTCCACAGGCCCTGGAAGAAGACACAAGGGGGAAGAATCCCAAGGCAAGAACAATCCATGGGAAAAGTATTTATTGGCATGGAACATTCACATTATCTTCTTACATTAATCTATAGAGTTTTCAGGAAAGAAAGTTTAGAGGCCTGTGCATGAAAAGGTGAACCATCACTGTGTCCATGCAATGGAATTAGAAGAGGATTTTCTAATTGTGTACTTTTCTGTGTTTCTCAGATTTTTAGCAATGACTATTGCCTTCATAACCAGAAAAAATAAAATCTAAACCCAAGGATAGCCTACAAGCTTCCTTACAAGTTCTCTTTGATTGAACTCTAGTTGCCAGCCTGCCCTGCCAGAGAGAGAGAGAGAGTCCTGGCTGGCTTCACTTCCATTCCTTAGCACTTCCTGGCTCTTTGATCTGGAGACAAGTCATTGACTTTTCTAAATGGTGGTTTCTCACCTGTGTGATTAGGAACTTCTGGCAGCCAATATTTATAAAGTGCTTGTACAAGAAGGGTGTACAGGCCATGTTCCGAGCATCTTATGTATGTTAACTTACTCAGTCTGCTCTGTAATCCTATGAGGTGGATCTGTCATTATTACCATTTCATAGGTACAAAAATCCCAGGTAAGCCACTTACCCAGTCTGCTCTGTAATCCTATGAGGTGGATCTGTCATTATTACCATTTCATAGGTGCAAAAATCCCAGGTAAGCCACTCAAATTCACGTACTCAAAAAATGAGTCAGAATTTAAAATTAAGCTGTAGGACTGGCGATTTAGCTCAGTGGCTTAAGTGCCTGCCTAGCAAGCACAAGGTCATGAATTCAATCCTTGGTACCAAAAAATTAAATTAAGTAAAGTTAAATTAAGCTATAAGAGTTTTTCATGTTCTCATTTGTGATGTTGTGAGAATCAAGAGGGTTAATAAATGGCAGGTCGGGGTTGGGGGTTTAGCTCAGCGGCACAAGTGCCTGCTTGGTAAGCACAAGGTCGTGAGTTTGATCTTTGGTACCCCCCCCCAAAAAAAAGAAAAGATAAGAAATGATAGATTGCTGAGTGTGGTAACACATGCCTGTAATCCCAGTACTCAGAAGGCTGAAGCAGGAAAAGTGCCATGAATTTGAGGCCAAGCTGGGTTACATAAAGAGTTCGGGGCCAGCCTGAACTACGTGGTGAGATCCTATCCCCCCCCCCCAAAAAAGTAATAAATGGTAAATGATTCTACACTGTAGAAAGTAATACACGTTGTAGAAATGCAGTTTCCTCTGTTCCTGGGGAACAGGAAGCCCCACGAGACAGGCTGCCGGAGGAAGAGGGAAGAATGTGTGTGGACCGCATCTCTGACGGGTGGCCTTCCTGCTCGGCCAGGATCTGTTTGTGCCCGCCTCCCTGAAGCAGTGGAGCTGGAGCAGTCTGCAGCACTCTGGACTGGCTGAGGGCAGCAAAGGGTCTGCTGTAGGCGGTGGAAGGGCAGAGCCTTTCTTTGTCTACCCTGAGGGGAGCCCGCTCCGGGATGTTCAGATGCAGTAGAAGCTGCTCTGGACACCAGGGAGATTCGTTCCAAATTCCAAAGGGAGTTAACTGGGTGGCAAAAATACACCCCTCACTGTCACATCAGGATGTGTGTTTGTGTATGTCTCGCGTGTAGGAGGGTTTACCACCGGGCACACCTTGTAGCCAAAAGGGCTGCCTGTGTGGTGTGCAGACACTGCTCTTGGTGAATGTACCTGTCTTCCAAAAAGCGTGTGGACCATTTCTCAGATGCTGTCTTCCTCCACGTGCCCAGAAGTATGAAAGAGAATGAGCTAAAGAGCAAGAAGAAGTGGCTGGGGTCTCCCGAGGCCCAGTTCCAGTACCTTGAAGTAGATGGTGTTAACCAGCACCAGAACGGTGAACTCATCGATGGTTCCGTTGGGAATGACGTTGGTGATGCGGCCTTCTGTCTTGTTGGCCACCCAGTCATTGATGATCTGTCTGGACTGCTCTGCATGGGCCTAAGGGGGACAGAAAGCAAACCTGCCCACCCTGTGCTCCACCGACTTCTTTCCCTGGCAGCATTTTATTTCCTTCATTATCCCCCTGCCTTTCAACTGCTTAATTAAGAAGCCATCATTTTAGGGGCTGGCAATATAGTGCGGTGTCACAAGCACCTGCTTGGCAAACACAAGGTCCTCAGTTTGATTCCTGTTCCCCTCCCCACAAAAAATAAAGCAAACTGAAGAAACCTCACAGATCTAATATAGTATCATTGATTTTTATATAGTTAATAAATATAAGATGGTAAAGAAATAAGAGATAAAGGAATAGAAAGGAAAGAGGGAGAAAAGTCTTTTTAAAAGAAGCTAAAAGCTGGGGTATGATGGCACATGCCCGTAATCCTAGCATTCTGGGAGGCTGAAGCAGGAGGATCTCAAATTCCAGCTCAGCCTGGACAACTAGGCAGTGTAGAGAGACCCTGTCTATTTTTTTTTTTTTTTTTTCCTTTTTATCGGTACCGGGGATCGAACTCATGACTGCCTGCTTGCAAGGCAGGCGCTTACGCCACTGAGCTAAATCCCCAGCCCCCAAGAGACCCTGTCTTGAAACAAAAGAGCTGGAGATGTAGCCTAATGCAAAGTCCCTGGTTTCAAATTCCAGTACTGGGTAAAAAAAAGAGAGAGATGAAATGTCTTTTCTGACATCAGAGCAACTAAACTCTCAAAAGAGTTTCCAAAAACATGCTCTACAGAAACAGTGAGTGGTGACAGGGTTGAAAGGATAGGAGGAAGAGGGAAGGGCCTACGTGTTCAAATAAATTGAAGGAGTTCTGGCTGAACAGAGCCAGTAGGTCTCTCTGTTGTAGAACTCAGAACACTTAACAGACTCCTGTGCTTCAGGGATCCCCCACATATCAATTTTATTTGACTTCAGCAACTGTGTACATTAAGTAAAGTCTCTCATAGGACTGGCATCTCCAGTAAACCTTTGTTATAAATCTGAACTAGGTGGAATGAAGCGCTGATTATTTATACGGCTTTGTGAGAGCAGCCTCTGCAATCCAAGCTGTCCATACCACTGGCTTCTGAAGTTTCCAGAAGAGTTGGCATTCGGAGCCAGCCGCCCCTGGTCTTTAGCTGGCAGAGCAGCATTCCTGGGACCCTCTACCCCTCACGCTCCAGGAGGACAGGAAGAGCTCCGAGGTGAGAGGTGGCACCTGCGACTCACCTTGAAGTCCAGGGGCTGGAGCTTGGCGCCGTAGACCGCCTCACTGATGCCCTGGTAGCTCTCGCTGAAGGTCAGGGATTTGTCTCCAAAAAGGCGGTTGGCCGCTACTACCAAGGAGGACTTGTTTGCTTTTCTATAGAGGCGACAGTTGAGTTTGGCAAAGAAGAAGTGGATCTGATCAGATGTTTTCTCAGAGATGGTATCAAACTTAAAAACCTGTGGGAGCCGGAGGAAGATGGTGGGTTTAGTGGGGAGGCCCGGCTGCCGGGGCTGAGAAAAGCCACCCAAGTGTGCTTGGAGCTCAAGCCTGGCACAGTGCGAGTGCTTGACCCCCAGTGAGGGTGAGTATGTGGATAAACGAGATGAAAGGGCAGGAGGCACAAAGATAAAGCACCGGCAGCTGGCCAGTCCTGAAGAGTTCCATGCCCACATGAGGATCTTTCCTAACAGAACACCGAAAGTCCCCTTGGCAATGGGGACAGAGAGACGCTGCAGCCGCAACTTTCCTGGTAACAATCCTTTCTTGGCTTCTACAGGGGCAGCTGCTCTTGGAGCTCTTGTGGGACACTGACTGTGATAGGGCTGACAAGGGAAAAGAGTGATTCCCTTCCCAAGGAAACAAACGAGCGTCAGGGCTGACAGGACGGTGAGGCTGCTCTTTTCCTCACCTCCAAACTCTGTACCAAGTGCCAAAGGCATTTTGGTTTTATATATTCTGATTTTGATTTTCCTGATTTTGTTTCAGTATATAATAATAATTATTATTATTTATTTTGTACCAGGGATTGAACACATGATCTCATGCTTGCCAGGCAGATACTTGTGCCACCGAGCTAAACGCCTGGCTCAGAATGTAATTGTTTGAAAAACCAAAAGAGCTGGATATGTTGGTGCGCATCTGTAATTCCAGCACTTGGGAGGCTGAGCCAGGAAAGTGGCCATGAGTTTGAGGCCAGCTGAACTACACAGTGATTCTCTGTCTCAAAAACAAACAAATCCAAACTAAACAAAAACTGAAAGCTTGCCGCCCAGTTTCTTCTCTAGAGTCCCACCACACTTCTGTAATAGATAACAGGGCATGGTGGTTTGGAAGTGTTGTTTGTTTCCTTGGTTTTTGTTTTTTTGTTCTGCTGGAGACCAAACCCTGTGCACCGCTGAGCACACTCTTCCCCTGGAGCCAGGAAGACACCAGTGAGGGGTGGGAGGTGGGGGGACTCTACCTCCATCAGCTGCTTGAGGGTGTCATTGCAGGCACCCAGCTTGGTCATAGCGAAAGCTGTGGAGATACTCAAGGGCGACAGGAAGATGTTGTCGTTTTCATTCTTAGATTTGGCCAGGTGCTGGTACATGGTGGTGGCAAAGCGGGAATTGGCCTTGGACAGTTCCCAGACTCGGCGATTGGTGGCCTCGGGGATCTTCTGCTCTGTGCCTTCATACTCGGTTGCTTTCTTGTCTGGGACTCGGTAAATGCACATGGGATTCCAAGGCACATCCCTGGGCTTCGCCACACAGATGTCCTCCACGGGGTTCCCTTGACAGGCCACACTGCTCCACAGGGTGAGCAGCACAGAGAGCAGACAGACCTGCCTGCGAGGGACAGGATACGGGATAAGCAACACAGAAGGGCCGGCTGTCACCAGAGAGTCCCGCTCTCAGGCCCACCAGGGCCCAGCCTTGTCACCAAGCACTAGACCGTGGGACAGGGTGACAGGGCCCTGCTGGGCTTGCGGTCAGGCTCTGTGGCCGAGGCTTGAGCTCTTGTGCGCTGGGGGTGCATCCGGCCCGCAAGGATTCTCCATACCCTGGTGCTCAGAACAAAGTGAGGGCAGCCATGGGGCCAGCAGCAGCTGGGGAGGGAAGCCCTCAAAGGGCTGGAATGTAAACCTGCGCCCTCAAGGCTGGGAGAGAGTTTTGACACGGACAAGCATGAATGAGTGGAGCAGGCCACATCGAGGTGCGCGCGACTCCCAGCCCTCCAGCCCTCCAGCTCTAGCCCTGACCTTCCACGGGGCTCGGACTGACCGCTGCATGGTTCCACCGCAAGTCCTGCAGTGGGACCCAGCGGGCCGGCCCCGCCTTTCCTTCTGTGGCCATCCGCGCTGTGAGCAGAACCAGCATCCCCCAGAGGTCCAGTCCAGAGACCTGGAAGCTCCCAGGCTCCCTGCTTTCCATCCCCTTCAGTCACCTCAGACGCAGCTCCTGGCTGCTGGCCTGCTGCTGTTACTGCCTTCACTCAGCCCCTTGGCCCGTTCTGTTGCCCAAAATGTGTAAGAGCTTCCAACAAGGGGTCAGGAAATGAAAACGAAGGTAATCTCACTTTTTAAAAACAGAGTGAAGGCGGGAGTCCGGCACGTGTGCCTGTAATCCCAGCGCCCAGGAGGGTGAAGGGGAGAGTCGGGGTCCACTGCTGCACATTCAGACCCTCAGATGGAAGCTAGAGGGGGCCTCAGAGCCCCACTGAGCACAAAAGAAAACCATGACAGTGGACCCGCCACCTCTTGTCACCCGTGCCCCCTGGTCAAGCTGGATCGAGGAAGAAATGTGTGTGGTGTTCCCTGGGGAAAGCGGTTCAGTAGAAGCTCCCGAGACCTTGGGGAGGGGCACCCAGGGGGAAGAGGCACACAAAGGGGGTCAGGAGGTCCTTGTGGGCTCAGTTTACCCCCTGGCTCCTTGGAGGAGTAACAGTGTGGAAAGGGAAGGCTCAGCCCTCTTACCTCTTCCCTGAAGCCCTGGAAAACATGGTCGCTGGGCTCCCGGGGGCTGGCAGGAGAAGGTAGCCCTGGAGGCAACCCCTCTGACACTGGCCCTTTGCTCTGCCTCTGCCTGAGGTTCTAGGGCCGGAATGGGGGATGGAGCTGTTCGGAAGGGGAGGGCTGAGGTCAAAGGCTGATGACCACTTCCCGGGGTTAAGCAAAGTATAGAGTTCCATGTTACTCAATGGGCAGAGAAGTTAAAGTTCAGTCAGGCCCAGGGAAAGCATGGCCCACCTCTCCTAGCCACAGGCCTCATTCTCCTCCTCACCTTACCCAAAAGGAAAGGACCATGTCATGAGCTCAGTTTGCTTAGGAAACACCTGATTCAGGAGAACGCAGCTCGACTCTTTTTTCTGGTTAATCCCATAAGAAGGTAGCAATAGGGTAGGTGAATGTAAAATAAGTTGAATGTATAGAAACTTCTGGCTGGGTATGACGGTACATGCCTGTAATCCCAGCACTCAGGAAACTGAGGCAGGAGGATCACCGTAGTTCAAGACCAGTCTGGGCTACACAGTAAGGCCCCCTCTCTTAAAAAAAAGAAAAAGAATGAAGAATGAAAGCAAACCAGCTAGATTTAGCTTCCCACTTCTTTAATTTAATCCCCTCCCAAACTCTCATTCATAGTTTTCTTTGTGGAGAGAGAGCAGTGGGAGAGAGACTCTTGAGTCTATCTACTCGGAGGAAGGAGAAATAAGCTGCTACCTGCAGGCTTCTGAGAGCTGCGGTGTCCCAGGCCCAGGCCCTGGCACACAGTGGTCACAACTATGGCCCCAAACAGACCAGTCCTGTTCATCCAGGAAGTGCTGGGAGGCAGCACAACTGCAGGGTGCATGCGGATAAGCCGGTGTTCGGGAAATACTTAACCAAACTCTGTTGGGGGATTGGGAGTAGGGGCAAGTGAAAAACATACATGCAATTCAATCTTTTTTGTGTGTGTGCTAGGAATCAAACCAGGGCCTTGTGAATGTTAGACCAGTGCTTACTAGTAAGCTATATTACACTTTTATTTTTTATTCTTTTTTTTTTTTTTTTTTTTTTGGTCTTTTTCATTTTTATCAGTACCAGGGATCGAACTCATGACTGCCTGTTTGCAAGGCAGGTGCTTATGCCGCTGAGCTAAATTCCCAGCCCCTATTTTTATTCTTGAGACAAGGTCTTGTTGACTTGCTCAGGGCCGCCTCTAACTTGTGATCTTCCGATCTCCTGAGTAGCTGGGATTACAGACCTGCATCACAGGTGCATATCAGGTGAATGAAATTCCTCAGAAAGAGCAAACAAACTGAATTGTGCCTGTGGGTATTGTTACCTTAATAGCCAGTAGGCCGGTAAGTAAATCCAAACTAATAGTATAGATAAAGGGCAGGTTTAGTTTTCTTTCCCTTTTCTAAATAGCCAGAAACAGTATCACCAGAACTGCTGCAACAGTGTCCACAGAAGGGGCAGGGAGTAGCTAGTGGTGCAGCACCTACCTGGCAAGCGTGAGGTTGTGAGTTTGATTCCCGGTACCAGCAACCAGAAGACAAAAACCCTGTGTCCACAGAATATAGAGGACAGCTTCTGTGTAACCCAAGATTTAGAATCTGCTGCTGCAGTTATAAGACTTTTAGAGTGCTTTTTACAGACCCAAATCCAAATTCTTGGTGGTTCAGTGAGATACTGCGAGGACCCCTGTGGACAATGTGAAGAGGTTCCAGGAATTGTCATGGGTGCCCCCAATGAAAGACAGTGAGCCCAGCTAGGCCCGGCGCTTTTGGGAAACTGGGGTTGCACATCCTGGAAGAAAAGGGTCTACCTCGTCTCCAGATCAAAGAGCGAGTCCCTGCCTTACTCTGTCTAATCCAGCAGCGCAAGCATGGCTTTGAGGAAGACGTGGTCATGATACAGTGCAGGGACAGCAGGTATGGCCGTCATTGGCATCACTCTGGCTGCTGGGCTCTTGTCTGCATCGTGCTCTGTAGGGCTCTTGAGAATTCCAGATGATCTTTTTTCCTAGGAGTCTTTATACCAGCCTAGCCTCTGGCACTGCCTGAACACGGTACCTCTTGGCTTTCACTGTCTAAATTCTAATGACCTCATGTCCCTGTCCTCTTGGTTCATCTTCCACTGGTTGGATTAAGAAAGGAAAAAGAAGCCGGGCATGGTGGTGTGCACCTATAATCCCAGCACTTGGAGGCAGAGACAGGAGAATTACCATGAGTTCAAGGCCAGCCCGGGGTACATGGTGAGTCTAAGCCAGCCTGACTACATAGTAAGACCCTGCATCAAAACAAACAAAAATACCCCCAAAAACAAAACCACAAAGGAAAAGAAAAACTACTTTCCTGTGCTTATGTTTTCAAGAGTTTACCTTGTAGCCCATGGCAATGTCCTGCGTGAGTCCAGCTGGAGGCCTAGAGCTCATGATAATGTCTTATTCAAGTCCATATCAAGGATCTACGCTGGGAAGATCCAAAGGTCAGTCAGTGGTGGAAGCCAGACAGTCTGCACCAGCAGGCTGAGGGTTCTGCACTTGAGCCAGGAAGCAACACTCAAGGTAAGGACCAGAGCTCCTCCAAAAAGAACCGCAGTCATCCTCAGTGACAGTCAGGACCCGAGTTCCTCTGATGATAACAGCTGAGTTCGTATCAGAAAAGCCAGAGCTATGAGCTTCTCCAGGAGAATCAGCAGCACCCCATTTTCCTCTGCAGTTCTTTTTATGCTGGTGACAACAGTCCTCAGGTGGGCCTTCCACACCCAGCACCACACTGATTCACTTCAGCTGGTGTCACAAATTGACTATTAGTTTACCTACCACACCAGCGTATATTATAAATACAGTCAGTGGGATTTTTTATTTTTGTTTTTGGATATCAGGAATCAAACTCACGACCTTATGCTTACTAGGCAGGCACTGGGCTGCTGAGCTATATCTCTGGACACCCACGTTTTTGGTATTCTGCAAAGTGGGGTTTTGTTTTGGGTAGTAGGGTTTGAACGCAGGGCTTTTGCAGTGAGCTACATACACCTCTACCTTTGTAATTTTTTAATTTTCATTTTTTCACTTCAGGTAGGGTCTCTAAACCAGAAGTTGTGGGTTGAGTTTGAATTTGCAATCCTCCTGCCCTAGCCTCCTGGAGTGCTGGGATTATAGGTGTGTGACACCATACCCACCTCCTGTAAAGCGTTTTAATAATTTTTTTTTTCCTTTTTGAGACAGGGTCTCATTATGCAGTTCAGACTGACCTTGTGCTCACTTTGTAGCCCAGGCTGGTCTTGAATTTGCAATGGTCCTCCTACCTCAACCTCCTGAATGCTGGAATTACAGGTGGTGCCACCATACCCAGCTGTCGTCTTTTGGAAACAGGATTGTGCTTATGTAGTTCAGGTTGACCTTGAATTTGTGGAGATCTTCTTGCCTCAGCCTTCTGACTGTCATGTTGTCAGGTGTGCCACCATGCCTGGTGTTGGGCGCAGGCGCTCAACATACCATACCCCACCCGGGACTAAGGACCACGCCAGCTTCCGCAATGCGCTACGTCCCTCCTTAAATTAGCCAACCCGTGTGCACTTCGTGCTCACTCCATACTCTGTGGCAACTCCTGATTGGCCACAGCTGGATATAGTAGCCGGAGCCTACATCCCATTCCCGCCCTGCTTCCTTGTGGCAGCCTGTGATTGGTCACGGCCGAATATATAAACCAGAGCCCGCCTAAATAAACTAGCAGTTAACTGTCGTCCACAAAAGCGTCTCCTGTCTCCTGTTCATTGGAGCTGCGCCGGTCACCTGGAATAACTGTACATATTTTTAATATAATAAAAGTATTCTAAATTAAGTCCTTTATAGAAACTTTTAAACATTAGTGGAACTTGAAGCAAACTAGAGAACTTTTCTCAGGCACAACTTTGTTTTTGGAGGAGTCCACTTGTGTGCAGCACTGTTTTTCTCTATTAGAAGTGGGAACAGGATTGGAAGGGGCACTGGTCCCTGTGCTTTGCAGATGGGGTGGATTGAGGAGCCATGGGGAGGAGAAAATGTAGCATTTGATCAGCCTCTTTATTATTTTGCTTTTGGTTTCTTGAGACAAGGTCTTTCAGGTTGGACCCGAACTCACTATGTAGCCTATGCTGGCCTCAAACACGGCTGTCCTCCTGCCTCAGCCTTCCAAATGCTGGGAATACAGGTGTGTACCACTATGCCCAGCTCACCCTCTGGATTTTACTATTTCCAAAATCAGCAGTACCTTCCTCAGCCCTGCCTCCAGCCTGGCCATGTCTCAGGTGCCGGGCAGTCAGCTGGCCCCGCTCAGTGCCTGGCATCCTGGAGACAGACCCTTCTTCCCCTTAGTCCCCAGCATGACTGTGGCAGGGCCCAGCTCTTTTTGTGGCTACTGAGTAACTCAAGGATGAACACTTCCATGGAAATTTGGTGGGAAATCTAGCAAGAAAACACCGTGGGATCTCTACCTGCCCTGCATTTTCAGTTTATTAGGCAATGGTAGTATTTTCATTACAATGAGACAGTTTATCAAAGTTAATCCTGCCCATTATTTGGCAGCTGTTAGCTGAGACTCTGAGTATCACCCTGGAATTTGCCCTAATCCTCACAACAGTTAGAAAGTTCAGTTTGGTTTCAGGGAAATCAAAACAGCAAATATTTATTGAACATGTCCAGTGCACACAGCTCTGGGCCTTGAAGGTCCCAGATACTCAATAACATTTGTGTTTGATGCTTGCTTTGGCAGCACATGTACTAAAATTGGAAGATACAGAGATTAGCATGGCCCCTGTGCAAGGATGACACGCAAATTCATGAAGTGTTCCATGTTTAAAAAAATTTTTTGTGTTTGAAGAAATTTAGACCCATTGAAGTTCTGCGGACGACTGACAGGCAGGCTCTTCCCTCCTGCCCTCCTTCATTCCCTTCTTCCCGCCCCCTCCCCAGGGCAGGTGTCTGGGCAGGGTAGAGCTTAGCTGCTGAGCCGGTATGACTTTGCACATGGTGCAA